AAACTCTTAAAATATATAAAAAAAAAATGAATATTTCCAGCTTAGGCTTACTGTGACAACCACCAAAGCCAAGATTAAAAAATAAAAGAAGAGATAAAGAACAATTAATAATCCTCGCACGTCACATAGATGGGTCCAGACTTGTCAGCTAGAACGTCATATGGGGCAAACTAAATCAACTAGTTAACTATTTTGCCCCAGAAATAATCGTAATCAGTGATTGAATAATCAAACAATAAGGCAAATAGGACAATATAGAATAAAAAAAATGTGAAATTCTTAATTTCTATGTGATTAAGAAATTTAGTTTAACATATACCGCTATATGTAACTACATCAGTTACGTCATGTAAGTTATTATGATTTTTTATATTTTCTTTGACTTTTTATATTTTACATTAATTATATTTTAACATTATAATTAAAAAGGAAAAGGATCCATTTATAAAAAAAAATTATAAATTTTTATAAATTATACTATATACTCCCGAAAATACATAATATTATAATCTTGTATACTTCCGAAAGTTTATAAGAATTTGTAAATAAAAAATTTGTAAATATAACTTTTTTCGTTAAAAAAAAAAAATACTTTCCAATCATAAAATTTTTTCTAAAAAGATTTGTCGTGATGTATTTTCCCCAACCAATAACAGAGACTTTCTAATTGGGGCCCTTGTCTCGAAATTTTATAATTATCTTGGACTTCAACTCTCGAGTCTCGAGTCTCAAGCACTCTATCTTTGATTGTTCTTTCATCTTTGGACGTGCGTGGCGTGACCGGTGCTGGAAAATCACCATTGGCTTTCTGTCGTAAAAGACAATACAATAAAATTAATGACTACTAAAACATCGGAGTTCTTTTAAATATGCTACAATTTTCTTTTTTACTCCTTAACTATATATATATATTTGTCATTTTAAAGAATACAATTTTATATCATTTTAGGTGAAACGACGTTATTTTTATATATAATTGATGATTTTTTACTTTTTCTTTCCTTCATTTTTTCTCTCTTTCTAATTTTATGAAAGAGAAAATATAAAAAATTACTAATTATACACCAAAACGATGCTGTTTCATCTAAAATCACACAAAGTTATGTTATTTAAAATGATAAATATTTTTTCAATTTTTTTATGGGATATATTTTTCTTATGTTGTAGGAAAACAATTACCTCATGTTGTAGAAATAAAAGTATAAACGGGACCCACAGGTAAGAGGAGAGAGAAAAAAAATAGTGGGACCCAACTTCTTTTTGTGTGTGTAAGTGAGTTGTTTATCTCATGTAAAATAAGATAAACATAACCTTTTTTTTTATATTATATCTCTTTAATACTCTTTTTTATTTCCGTCCTACCTCTATCCTTTACCATTCATATTTATGTTAAAAAATTTAAATTCTTTGAGTACCAGTAAAATACAAGTTTTTATGTGTGTAATGCTAAGAACATAAATCTTAAGTCAACTGCGTAGATAAATTATGGATGTAATTGCAGCGTAGTTTAAGTGTTCGAATATATTTTTAAGTTAAATTCAAATTTAATCATATTTAATAAGTTGTGCATTTTATTTTATTTTATTTTTATGCAATTTATGCAGAATTGTTTAAAAAAAGGTTATATCATTACATGAGCTATACGGCAAGTTGCCTCTGAAGAAAATTCTCAGGCAACAGCGAGCAGCGAACAGCGCAGCCTACTTGCATTTTCCTTTTTATAATCTTTTTCGGAAAAAAGAGGAAAAGCAACAGCAACGGTACAAGAGAGAGAAGGCTTCTTTTTTTCCTATCAATTAATTATTGTACTTATTATCCCCACCAAGTCGGTCATCACACCGAGACAAAAGTTCATAAAGCTTTGTAAATTCCAATCGCTCATTCTTAAAAAGCTAAGTTGAGATCATTAAAGTGATGCTGCTTATGTGATCTATGCAAAGCATGATAAGTTCCTTTTAGAGCACTCTATCATTTGGCACTTTTGATTGCTCCTCCTCCAATTTATTATAATTATGATATCACATAGCCTTTATCGTTCAAAAAGACAAAAATTACAGTGAGCCTTTGCCACAAATATGAAATTTATAGTAAAATTTTATAACTTAAGAGTTAAAATTTCAATTTATAATCTTGGGTTTGTGTTTGTATGTTGTTCTCTTTCTCTTATTTATTATTATTATTATTATTTCTCTGTTATTTTTTATTTAAACTCATCGAAGTATTCCAACTAATCTGGATAAAGATAAAGTTGTTAATGTTATATTTATGAAAAAAAGAAGTCTCATGTTATAGATATAATAAGTGTGGGATCCACTTATTAAAAAAAAAAAGTAGAACATCTTTTTATTATGATGTCTGTAATAAGGGTTCATTTTCTTCTAGTACATGAAAAAAACAAACCCCATTATATATAGTCTTGCTAACATATTCCCTTTATTTATTTATTTTTGGTACAATAACATATTCCCTTTATTGATTAGGAAAAGAGAGATTTTGTTTGGGCCCGGAGTCTAGTCTGGAAGACCCAATTCATGAGAGAGTTGTTGTACATGGGGCCCAGGTTAATGAGGAGCTTAAATCACATACCCATGATCACGTTGCCATGATTTCTTCACAGCCAAAATTAACACTATCTCTACCTCTATATGAATGTGAAGGAATGATCTATTTTTAGAGCTGTCCACGCCCGCCAATAAAACCTTCAAATTAGACTCTGTTCCTCAGAGAAGGATGACTTAAAAAGTTGAAACCATCCAGGGTGTAGGGTATTTAACTAGAGACTATTTGGGTAGCCGGAATTTTTTCCTCCTTTTTCTCTGTAGCTTAAGTCCCATCATCCTTTGTGGGGATTCTAGTCTCACCAATTCCAACCCCTATGGTCAACTTATATACACTCGCCGAATTGCTAGTCTTGCACATCTCAGCAGATTAGGTGTGAAATGCTCTCTAAAGCAAAGTTAATAGCTTATCTTACCAACAGTTGGAGGGGCAATTGTCCAACAGGACCCGCTATTGATGTGAATGCTACAAGGATCTCCTCAATAGGAAAAAAACCTACAATACTACCATCGTATGCACAAGAGCATAACACATCAGTTCACATATTTTATGGAAAGATTTTTTTTTTTAATATTATAATTATATATTTTCCAAAATATATAATGTAATTTTATTTTAAACTACCGTCGTATCCAATACTCAATACGACGGTAGTAATGAAAATGCTCTCCCTCCATAGGGACCGGGAAAGTAAGTAAATAAAGTATATTGTGATGTTTGAATACTGTTGTCTCATTTTGTGGTTCATTAGATAAATTACATAAATGAGAACACTTTATCTAATAAATCAATAACCCTAGGAAAAGCAAGGTGAAGAAAATTCAGGGTGATCCAAAATGTTATATCACTTTACTCCACATAATCCCTTGTCCTCGCTGGCAGAATTCAATAATATAATTATCACGTGGTTAAAATGTAGAACTGTAGGCGTAGCTTGGGTAGAATTTGACCCTTAGATCAAACTATCTTTAAAAAGACCAGTTACCACACTAGTAACTCACCTGAGCTAAAACTCTTTTTGGGGTCACAGCTAACACTCCTCTGGAATGCTTCACTTTTCCACGCATATGAAGCAGATCAATGTTGTCGTAATTAGACGGACAAAGACATCAAATGAGAAGTGATATGAAATACCGAGTAATTGCTTTTAAGAAAGGGAAATATTACTCTCCTTTTGCATAAGATTACTTCTCTCCTACTCTCTCACTTCGATTTCTACACCTCACCTTTTTCTTTTTTTTCTTTTTTCTTGTAATGGTGGGACCCACCCATTTTATCTCTACAACATAAGATACCTATCTTATGTTGAAGGAGAATAATAAAACCCTTTAAGAAAACATATATAAGTTCTACTATAATTAAAAACAATTTATTTGCTTCCATTTTGTCCACCTGCACTTTTACAGCAACAGTTACACGAAGAGAAAGCGAAATGTTGCTCTAATAATCAACTGGCAATGTTTTTCATCCAAAAGAAAAGACATTAAACCCAAACGATATTACAACTGAAACAATCGCCACCTACTTTGAAGTGTCAATAAGGCTAGACCGGAACTAGGCCAAGGTTTCAACTACAAAAATATTTCAGCAAACCTCCAAAATCCGATTTCTTTTTAGTGTTAACGTATTGAAACCATAATAAATTGTGTCTTTACAGAATATTAACATTCTTCTGGTGGAATACTAGATTCAAAATCGATATTCCAAAATCCAAAATGCAAGACTCGAAATCCAAACTTCAAACCAAATGTAGCAGATGATTATCCCCAGTTTGGAGAAGCCGATAGAGGGACTGCAAGGAGCATTTTTTTGTTGTTGTTGGGGGTGTGTGTGGAAGGATACGAAAAAAGGGCATTTCTAAATTCTAACTGTGTAACAGACTTCCATACATTCACAAATGTAGGGAAAGGGAAGAAGTATAATCGAGCAGCTTATACTTTTATACTATTACATGATCACAGCATGGACACACAAAATTTAAGAATTTAGATTTATTTCTTCCCACAATGAGCAGCTCTGAGAAGAAAAATCAGTACCTCCTGCTTTCCCATAAAACCAACAAGCAGATGACATGTTTAATTATATTATTAGTACATATATACATGGTTATCAACTATACTGTAGAATACTGCAAGAAACAAAGTGCTTTGAGATTCAAAATCCAAAAACTTTGGAACAAAAGTCCTTAGAAAGTCACTCAAAGTTTAATACGTAGAACATATAATATATTTATTATTCATATAGACACTATCGAATTGTATACATGGAGAAACAGAATGCAAATAGACATCTTACAATAACTCTTATATTTGAGAATAATCCTCAACATATGAGAATCTAAACCCTCACCCCACTCTAACAGTGTTTTTTTAATCAAAATAAAGAAAGATATATGGCATGTTAATGATTAATACATCATCACTACGACGTAGTTAAATTTCATATTTACTGCGGTGACAAATTAATGATTACGGGTAGGTATATCTACAATTGCCACTCCACTCCACCAACGCAAAACAATTTATTGCGGTCAAGCACAATATTTGTTCCATTTCCATTGCTGATAAGAAGCACACAGCACATAATTCCTAGAGTTGCATTCAAAGAAAATGATAAAATCAAATTCAGTGCGTTCCTAGAGTTGCATTCCTAGAACGCTGTTGCCCTAAAATTGATCATGGTCTATCTGGAAAATAAACCTCAAACAAACAAAACACATAAATCTACAAACTTGCATACCAAATTGACCCACCGAATCTCTCAACTAAAAAAATCAAATGCCCTTCTGTTGTCTCCAACCAGCATACGATTTATCATTCCGCCATAAGGACAATAAAGTATATTTGTTACAGATATAAGCTTAAAATTCAAAAGATAAAAGGAAATGCAGCTCAACAATCACAAGAACAAAGAGGTAAAAGGAATCTGATTATTGAAAGGCAACATTGTGAGCCCTAGAAAAGAGTATTTTTTTTATTTTTAATTTTTGAAAGATGAAAGCTTGATTGGGAAAATGGTCATTTCTTGTTGAAGCGAGCTACCTCATCGTCGTTAGGGAAGAAACCCATGAGTCTACCAGCGGAGTTCTGGTAAGCGTACATGAAGCCACCCATGACTCCAATCAAACCCCCAGTCACCATCGAAGGTCCCTTGATTCCAGGCTTAATCCCTAACAACACAAAATTCCCAATTTCCAAAAATTCAATAGTTCAGCATAACACATCGTGGAAGTAGGGAAAAAAGAAGAAGCGAAGACTCACCGGAGAGGTAGCCGACGGTGACGGAAACGCCAGAGATGGTCACTAATCGGAGATAATCGAGGGTGCTGAAGTTTGCGACCACTTTGGTGAATGGAGGGTTACGATCAATCACAGGGTACTCTGGCTTCGTCGAGGCAGTGATGTCAGTGTTCATCTTTCCTTTCTATCAACAACTGCGTTTGTGTTTGTGTGTGTGCTCTCTGCCTGTGTCGCTGCTTCTTTCATTTGTGCTCATGGGCCTTTGATTTTGGGCTTTCACAGCTTATCCCATTAGCCATTAAAAGTTTTTGCATTCATATTTCAATACCACCACTGCATACCTAAATTGTTTTCAACTTTTGTTTTTGTTCAAGGGTTTTATAAGAGTTATGTTGTAGGAAAAAATGATTGTGTAATATTATAGAGATTTATTTTGCGTGCCTTAGTTTTTTTTTTACTTCAAAAAGTGTGGACTCCACAAAATATTGTGTGTGTAGGAAGCTTTTTTGTGTCATGTGACAGAATAGATTCAAATTCCTTTGTTTAATTGATTGTCATATGATAAATATTCGGAGTGGTCTCACACGATGCAAATAATACACAAACATTAATGTGTTATTGTTATGGTGTAATAAGTAGTTGAATTCTTGAATCTAAATTTGTTTGTCAGAAAACTGGACATTTTTTTTGCATCGACGGAGATAATAAAGCACAAGAGATGACTCTCTTTTTTTTTGGTAAGCAGCACAAAAGATGACTCTATCATTATAGGTACCATCCGTTGTTTGCAATAGTTGTAGGTACATCCATATTATTAAAGAGGAAAAGTATTTTGGACTTAAAAGAAATTATAAAAGAAAGCATAGATAAAGATAAAAAAAAAAAAATTTCTTTTTTAGTAAAAGAGAATATTGAGTTCGGCACTTTCGCACCATTAAATTTTTTTTTCTTAGTGCCTGTTTGGATTCTCTTATTTTTAAGCTAGAAGCTACTTATAAGCATAAGCTAGGCCAAACAGATTTTGAAAAAAGCTCTTATAACGAAAAGCTCTTTTTTTATAATGAAGAAAAAAGTTGAAAATTAAAAGCTCCTAGGAGGAACTTTTTTTTAAGCTCTTATCTGTTTTTCTTGAATTGTGTGCTTTTTTTTAAAATGAAGAGTGATAAAGATAGAGAGAGAAATAATTTTCTTGAAATATGTGCTTTTAACTAATTTTTAAGCTAAAATTTTTATGTAATTTCCAAACAGCTTTTAGCTTCTTTTAATGCTAGATCCAACCACCTTAAACTTATGTACATGTTAGAGTAATACAAATTTATTAGATGGAGTGTCAATGCACAATTGAATATTTGTGTAAACAAAAAGTTACATTACTAATGCATCAAAATTAAATTTATAAAAGTAATGCCACTTATTCTTTTAGATATATTGAGTCTAGGATTAGATGCTTGAGTTTGTTTATATTTTATTATATGTGCACGTATAAAACAAAAAGAGGGAATAATTGAGGACAATAAATGTATTTTGTAAAGAAAGAAATGTATACAGTATCATTATGTATGTTTATTTATCTTTCACTCTCCTTTACTATCCTTTTCATTTTCATTCTTTCAAATTAAGAATAACTTGTATACTGGCTTCATGGTTAGCAGAGAATCTTCACAACAACCTAGTGGCATCGAGCGAGGTTTCTGGGTTGTTACGAGCTAGTAGATATTGCTCCTTTTGTTTAGTTGTTTTAGGTGTTTTTGCCATTGCACCATAAAGTACCAACCAGGTGTCGGAAACATCAATTGTGCTTGTGAATATAAAATTAAACTGTCTGCTGGTCCTTGCTCGTGGCTCAAAGCAAAAAGAAGCTGGACCAAAAGGACACATTCCACATTGCCAATTAACTTGGTGACTCAAATAGCAATAATTTATGTCCTGTCCATTGCAATAATTCTTCTGATGGTCAACTCTAGAAATCAATTTAATGGCCAAATAGTCTCAGGTCCTTGAAAACTCTGAATAGGGAGTCCAGAAGCTGTGCTGAGAAGACCAAAAGCAATTGCTAATAATATCTCGGACGCTGACGAGAGTAAGAGTAGAGAGTGATTGTCGGTGCGAAAGGACACAAACAAAGAGCAGGCTTCCAGCGACGGAGTACATGAATGAATCAAATCAACATCCGAAAAAGAGAGATTCCAGAGATTGTACTGGTATGAGACGGTACAGTTGGAAATAGCTTATAAGAATTAATTAGTACTACCTATACTAACAAGATGTATCTACTTTTCGATAGCTCAGAACAGAAGAACTGTATAGTTAAGCGTGCTTGACTTGGAACAATTCTTATAAGAATTAATTAGTACTACCTATACTAACAAGATGCATCTACTTTTCGGTAGCCCGTAACGGAAGTTTCATAGTTAAGCGTGCTTGACTTGGAGCAATTCTAGGATGGTGACCTCCTGGGAAGTTTTTCCAGAAAGTGGGCGAGTGAGGACAAAACATGCTGAAAAGTCTTGTCTTAGTGTGTGGGGACAGTCGTTGATCCTTGTAAGTTGTCAGGCGTTACAGCTAACTTCTCATTGTGAGTTGCAAATGTATGGTTAAAATATGACATAGTGTTCGATCCTAGTCAGTACCATAAGTTTAAAGTCTTAATCCTAAACTATTCCCAAAACAGAATAGTCTTCCATGAAGAATAAATGTGGTTTATCCCGGAAAAAAAAATACAATAGTGTTTGTACCCAAAAAATAAAAAAAGGTACAACATACAGTATTCTCAAGTATTTCATCCAACATATGTGATTTATCTCCAGAAACAAATCATAAACTGCATTATCAACTTCAATTGAGGTAATTCTTATCTATGAGAATTCAAGAAACTTAACACTTGCAATATTTTGGAGCAACTCTGTGAACACTACTCATTGATTTGAAGCATCCACGTCCCCTGTCAAATATGGCTGCATGCACTTAATACATATAAAGGCAACACCATTTGGTTTAATTACATCAGTTATCATCTTGGAGAAATATTCTAGAGTGAGCTCAAAAAATCCTTGATTTTCAAGACCCATCTTCACACTCGAAGTTCAAATAAAGATATCCTTCTCACCAATGAGCTCCAACATCATCCTCAATGAATCAACCTTGTCCATTTCTCTCTTGTATTTAGGAATCATCTTGCACACACACAGAAGACTTTGATTACAGTGATCTTATATCAGCCACGGCAACATAAGCTAGTTGAATATCAAGAAACAGCCTTAATACCCCGTTAGATTGTTGTCTCTGTTCACCGACAATCTAAACCAATTTCTGAGCTGCCTCAACATCACCAAGTGAGACCATCCTTATCAATAATGAATGGTATTCCATGAAAACCGGTCTCTCAGGCTTTCTGATGAACAGTTCCCGTGCTATGCTAACACACTATACTATACCTACATAACATCATAGGAAACCAAGTCTGGTGGTTCTTTTATGTTATCCAAATGGACCAAAACCCCGCTTGCATGCTCCATGCAACCACATCTTGCATACATCTCAATGAGGGAAGCTTGGACCAACAAATCAGGTCCAATAGTCCAAACCCAAGTTTGGCATATCGACCAAAACTAGTAGCGTTATAATTTTTATTAATAAATTAGAGATTTGAACAAATTCATTCGAAGAGTGGGTTGCTATTAAACTTTTTATCAAATATATATAACATAAGAGTTAATCATTTATACAAGCTTAAATTGTTAATATTAGTTTCTCACATATCTCAAGCTATTACTTACATAGTATTTATACACAATGTGAAAATTTATGTAAAATAGAAAGTCAGCTGCAAAAAATCATAATAATCAACATCAGTACATATAATCACCATCATTTGAGAATCAAACCTCACAATAAATACAGTAGAATTCAAAAATAGTGAACTGGTGTTAACAGATTTAACATCAACAATGTTACTTGGCACATGTAAGTACAAGCAGGCGCAACAATTCAACCGGCAAGATCTTTAAGTGAGAGACATACTTTAGTTTATTTTGAGGATAAACATTTTCTTAGTGGTGTTGTAAGATATTTAAAAAAATATAAAAATTTATTCCTCCCAAAATCAATTTGAACCAAACGTGCAAATAGTTGTGAGATTAAATCCACAAATATTAGGAAACGTAGCTAGGAAGCTAAGGTACGATATTGAAATATAGATACTACAAATTTTAAAAATTATAAGACAAGACAGGGTTATAGTATAATATATAAAATTATGATAAAATTTGTATAGAAACACAAAGTTTAAATTAAAAAAAAAATGGAAGTTTAACATTAGTTAATAAAATATTATTTATTTGGAATATGATATTATGCCTACCTTTTTTTATACATAATTTATCCGTTCTTCTCAAACATTATTGGATTAGAATCTCAACTAACATTTATCATTTCTTTCTCTTATTGAGATTCTGTTCAAATAATATTAAAAAAGAGTAGGTAAAATAGGCACGAAAAAAGATAGGCTTAGTATCCTATCCCTATTTATTTATCTAATTATTATGCTATTTTTATTGTTATTTGTATAAAAATTTAAAGTATAAAAGTAAAAAAATTACAATTTGTAGGCCGTAGGGTTGTAGGCCGTTGGAGATAGAAGTTGAGAGAGGAAAACCACCAGTGAACTTTGAAGAAAACCCCAAGATACCACTTGGGATAGGGTTGGAGGATGAGAACATGGAGGAGAAACTGCCGGTAAAGGATATCTTAGGGAGTAAGCCACTTCGGCAGTTTTCGGAAGGGGTGCAAGGGCAGAGTTCAGGCTCTGGGGGAAACACTGAGAAGAGTAAAACCATATCCTATAAGGATAAGCTGCTCCATCTAAATGGGGAAGGCTATGTTTCAGAGGATGATGAGGAAGACTGGATGGAGAGACAAAGAAGAGAAGAGGAGGAGGAAGGCATGGAGGAGGACCTGGAGGAGGAAGATAACGACCCTTTATGCCCTACCTATAAAATATCAAAGGCTCAGCACAAGGAAGACTGTAAGAAATGGAAGAAGGCTTTAATCATTAAGCTGTTGGGTAGAAGAATAAGCTCAAGATTCCTACTAGCAAGACTCCAACGTCTGTGGGGTTTGACTGGAACTTTCGAAGCCATTGATTTGGACAATGGGTATATAGTCTTATGTTTCTCTGATGATAGAGACTATATCCACGTTCTGCAAGAAGGCCCTTGGGTGATAGCGGATCATTACTTGATAGTCCAACGATGGAGGCCGTTGTTCAACCCATATGAAGACGTTGTTCAGAAACTAGCTATCTGGATGCGTTTACCTGGGTTACCTATTGAGCTCTATTCCAATCAACACTTGTGGAGGATCGATAACATATTCGGTAGGACCCTTAAGGTAGACAAGAACTTCATTAGGACAGCAGAAGAGGGTGATGGAGAGATCACAGAGAAAGCCCGTTTTGCCAGAATTTGTGTTGAAGTGAACTTAAATAAAAGTCTAGTCTCTCATTTCAAGATAGGGAATTGGACTATCCAAGTGGGATATGAGGGGCTTCACCTCATCTGCTTCTCCTGTGGAAAATACGAGCAAAAGAAGGATCAATGTGGGATAGCAAGGGCTCCCGTTGCTACAACAAGCTCCTCGCTTAACCAAAAACCTCCAGTCAAGACATTGAGCCCTGAAGTTGAGTGTAAAGCCAATATCGAAGACGAAGCTTTTGGAAATTAGATGGTGGTGCAGAAGTATACCAAGGGCCGACGACAAAGAGCAGTGCCGGTGGAGGGAAAACCAGAAGCGCCTAAAGTGTCGATGGTAGGAGGGAAACCAGGTGCGGTGAGGCAAGGACCAACAGACAAAAGGATCAAATTCCCAGTTAGACTACAAACAAAATTCGTCAGTCCTGGGGGAAACACAAACAGTAATCAGAAGGCAGACGTTGCAGAGGCTACTCAGGAACAAAACGGGAGCAAAAAGGCAGTCCAGAAGGAGGACAGTGCTAGCAGTGTTAGACAAGCAGTTTTTAAGGAAACAAGCTTGAAAGTAAAAGCAAAGCCAGTCCCACTTTAGTAGAGCCCGAGGCCATAAAAAAGTCAACGGAGGGGACTCGAGGATCGAGAGGTGTAAGTGGAAAATCAATGGGACCCAATCCCATGCAGAAGTTCAAAAACAGTATTAAAAAGAAACTGGTACGTGGGAAACATATGAATAAGAACCACTTCCTCACTGATGCAGTGTCCCCCACACCTGTTGGCGAGCAGAGGGGAACAATCACCAGTCCCATTATCAATACACAAGACGAGGAGGATGGAAATAAGGGGAATGAAAAGGACAACTCCATGGAAGTCCTGGAAATGTTGAAGTATGGCCCAGACTGCCTACATGATCAGGCTTTTGATAAAAGTATCAAGATGCTAGGGGGGTCAGAATCCACTCATAATGTCTTCGATATTTGTATTGTTCGATTCTTTTTATAATTTTATTATGAATTACTGTAGCTGGAATTGCAGGGGTACTGGTAAAAGAGGATTTGTTCCCCTAATCCTCGATTTGAAGTCTAAGTTTAAGATTAGTGTGTTGGCTCTTTATGAAACCAAAAGTAGTGGTCAGAGGGGAAACTCCCTGATCAGGAAGATGGGTTTTAATAAGTTTTTTAAAAAAGAAGCAGTGAGATTCAGTGAAGGGATCTGAGTTCTATGGGACGATGTGGAGCTTTCTTTAGAGATTATTAGTCACCATCACCAGTTCGTGCACACCAAAATAGTGCATAAAAATTCTTTGAAAGTGGAGCTGGTAACTTTTGTGTATGCAATCCCGAGAAGAAGTGATAGGAGAGCCTTATGGACAAGCCTTAGGGAGTTGGCAGGAACTATCGATGATGCCTGATGATTATTGGAGACTTCAATGCAATGGTGGATGACTCTGAGAAGGTAGGAGGCAGGGATTTTTGTTGGGGAAGTGCTCAGGAATTTCAAACTTTCCTCATGGACTGGAATCTAAACGATCTTGGATTCAAAGGGCCCATGTTTACATGGAAACAGGAAGGATTACATCAAAGGCTTGACAGAGCCTGCGGTAATGAGAGATGGAACCTTCTATGGCCTCAACGCAACATTTCTCACCTCCCTTTCTATGGTTCTGACCATAGACCTATGTTGGTAATGGAGGGTCATCCTTGGTCTCAACCACAAGGCCCAAAACCTTTTAAGTTTCTGGCTGCATGGCTTACTGCTGAAGGTTTTGGTGAAATGGTTAAAGAGTGCTGGGATAACAACCCGAATTGGTTTGAAGCCAGTAGTTCCTTTCAGAGAAAAGCTACAGATTGGAAGGATTCCATCTTCAAGGCTTCCCAAAAGCAGAAGAACAGACTCCATGTCAGGCTGAAAGGCATTGACCAAAGTCTCAGCTACCAATATAGCAGTACCCTCGATGATCTTCAAAAAGAGCTGTGGAGGGAATTGGACACTATTCTTATCCAAGAAGAAATCACGTGGTTCCAAAGATCACGTTGCAATTGGTTCCAATTTGGTGATAGAAATACAAAGTATTTTCACTCTATAACTGTCTCTAGGAGGAGAAACAGAATTGTGACTATCATGGATGAAAATGGCAGATGGATTGCAGATACTCAGGAACTCATAGATCATGCTACAGGGTTTTTTAAAGACCTATACGCTGCTGAAGAAGATAACCTGGATCCTTTTCCCATCACTAGTCTCTTCCCTGCTATCGTTGGTGAGGGTTTTTTGGAGTTGGGTAGCTGTCTGTCGCAGGAGGAAATCAAGCAAGCTGTTTACAATATTGGCAGCTTGAAGGCTCCTAGACCTGATGGTCTACATGCCTTGTTTTACCAATCTCAATGGAACGTGGTAGGTCCTTCCATCTGCAGGTTGGTTCTAGATATCTTCGAAGATCCCACAAGAATCAAGGATATTAACCAAACATTGTTATGTTTGATTCCAAAAATGGATAATCCAGTCAACATGAAGCAATTTCGACCCATCAGCTTATGCAACGGTTCCTACAAGATCATCTCCAAAATTATTGCCATAAGGCTCAGGAAATTCATGCCTAAGCTAATTGCACCAAATCAGTGTAGCTTTATTTATGGTCGCAATAGTGCCGATAATATCATCATTGTACAGGAAATTATCCATTCTATGAGGACGAAGAGCGGATCTAAGGGGTGGATGGCTATTAAGATAGACCTGGCAAAAGCTTATGATATGATAGATTGGAAGTTTATCCACGATACTCTTCTAGATGCAGGTCTTCCTCACAATTTGATTCAGCTTATAAATCAATGTGTGACCACCCCCTCAATGGACCTCCTTTGGAATGGCAAGTCTACAAACCCTTTCCTCCCCACTCGTGGAATCAGACAGGGAGATCCAATCTCCTCCTATCTCTTCGTTCTATGCATGGAAAGGTTAACGCATCTCATCCAAACAACAGTGCAAGCGAAAGCTTGGAAGCCCATAGTTCTTCGAAAGGATGGTCCTCCCATATCTCATATGTTGTTTGCCGATGATATACTTCTATTTGCCGAAGCCTCCATAGAGCAAGCCAGATTGGTGAACCAGGTTCTCAAGTCTTTCTGCCAAGGCTCTGGTCAACGTGTTAGCCATTAGAAAACTAAAGTATTCTTCTCTAAAAATGTCAACTTCACTAGAGCTCAGGATATCAGCAGCTATATAGGCTTCATTGTTACCGGGGATCTTAGGAAATACCTTGGGATTCCTTTACACAGCAAAAGAGTCACAAAAAGCTCGTTTAACCATATCCTGCAGAGATTCCATGCTAGATTAACTAGCTGGAATCAAATTTCTCTCTCCCTTACTGGTAGAGTGACCCTAGCTAAAGCTGTCTTAAATGCACTGCCTACCTATACCATGCAAACGTCGCTTGTGCCACTCACCATTTGTGATGACATCCAGAAGTGCACTAGGAACTTTGTGTGAGGTTCGAATAGTGCCCAAAGAAAAACTCACTTAGTCAACTGGGAGACGATTTGCAAAGTGCCGAAGGAGGGAGGGTTGGGTTTAAAGGACCTACGTTCGTTCAACAGTGCTATGATTATGAAAGTGGGCCACAGAATTATCACTAACAAAGATAGCATTTGGGCTAGGGTTTTGAGGACTAAATATAGAGTGGGCCCTGAGCTAATTCTTACCATACCCAGGAATGCTAACAGCTCAAATTTGTGGAAGGGAGTATCGAACCTCTAGCAAGATAGAAGAAGGTTCAAGGATTCTTTCAGGGGATGGGCTTGTAACAAATTTCTGGATGGATGCCCAGTTTCCCTCTGGCAGAGTGGTAGACGTTATAGTGAACCATGTCCCCGAATCCATGCTAGAGGGGAAGGTAGCGGAGTACGTGGATACTAATGGTAACTTGAATTGGACCCTTTTCAAACACCTTATTTCTAACGAGGGCATGAATTTTATTGCGGGGATCATGCCTCCAGAGACAAATGGTGGGGGGAGGATAAAATTACATGGGCTCACTCTAATGATGGAAAATTTACCATCAAATCTACTTACCAAAGGCTGACCGGCGAGGAGGACTATTTGAGTGATGTTGACTGGAATCTGGCCTGGAGATGGAATGGCCCGCAGAGAATCAGAGCTTTTATTTGGCTGTTGCTAGGAAACAAACTACTTACAAATAATATGAGGTACATAAGACATATATGCAATTCATCCATATGTCCTAGATGCAATTTACAGGTGGAAGACTCCCTTCATCTCCTTCGAGACTACACTTGGGCAAGGGACGTATGGCTCCACCTTCTAAGCTTTAATGATCGTGTAACTTTCTTCCAGGGGAGTGTGATGGACTGGGTTTCCAGGAACCTTAAGGATCGCAGAATTGGTCCATCCCAAACCGAGTGGAATCTGCTCTTTGGAGTCACGTGTTGGCATATATGGAAGGAGAGGAATAACATTGTCTTTAATGGTGCATTAGATAGTTCCCAACGAGTGAGCTTCAAGGCTTCCCAGTTTGCTCGTAATGCTCAACACGCTCATCATACGCTGGTGAAGGCAGGTCTAGTTGTGAGACAGAAGCAGCTAGCTTTTATCAAGTGGTGCTTCCCGGATCCAGGGTGGGTTAAGGTTAATACTGATGAAGCTAGTAGCAACAATGGGAGGAAATCAGGCTGTGGTGTCGTGATCAGAAACAGCCAGGGAGGATGGATTGTGGGTTTTAGCAAGAACACAGGTTTTAACAACTCCTTCATAGCTGAATTATGGGGCATATTAATGGTTTGGAACTGGCATGGGTAAGACAATTTAAATACGTCTTGCTGGAATCAGATTCCTCTTTGGCATTAGAAGTGATAGAGAAAGGTTGTGCTGACCATCTCCCATTTTCCAAATTGGTTTCAAAGATCCAGATCCTTTGTAGAAAAGATTGGACAATCAGGTTCTCTCACACTCATAGAGAGGCAAATGGAGTAGCTGACTGGCTTGCATCAAACCCAGGGACTGAGGATTGGAGTATCCAGTTTTTTGAGAATCCCCCTCAGGGTTGTAGGGATTTACTGGATAATGATTTGAGAGGGTCCTTGTACCCCAGAACGATCAGTAGCTAAGTTTTGTTTTTTGCTGTTTTTTGTTTCCTTTGTATCCAAAAAAAAAAAAAAAACTTTAAAGTATGAGAAATATGTTTTTCATGTTGTCTCATGTAACCTACAAAAAAATGAGTGGAACTCATTAAGAAGAAGAGAAAGAAAGAAAAATAATAGGTCACATCGACTTTTTGTGTGTGTTGTATGAGACAATTTATCTTATACATTAGATAAACACGTTTCCCTTAAAGTATCCATGAAATGTTTAATAGAGGTACAAGGACTATTTTGAAATATTCATACTTCCTAAAATGTTGAGCAATCTTGGAACAATTTGTTCAAGGTTTTGATATTTTCACAGTGAAAGTATATAAGTTACTTATATTTACTCCCAAAAAGGCATCGTTTTGGGTTGAAAAAATAAAAAATTATAATGAGAAAGACTAGCATAATTCTAAAATAAATTATGATTATAAAAATACCTTGATTTTCATATCAAAACTACATTGCTTTGATCTCAATATAGATAAGTTATCTACATTAACCGCAAAAAAAAAAAAAAAAAAAAAATTGCACGTTAGTTTAATTGATACATTCCCCACCATATTGTAGCCATCCCCACAATGCGGTCAAATGTGCATCATGACTTCATGTGCTGTGGAAACTGAAAATCACAGGTTGTAGCAACAATGTCATTACTCATTAGGCATTTTGTTGATATGATATGTTACTTTTTCTTTTCTTTTTTGGTTTGAAGTCACCTACCCTATTTTCTGAAGCTGCTACGTCCATCCAAACTCAGCTCCAAACCTTTTTCTTCATTGGACATAGCGCGGCACAAGTCATAGCACTAACTACTCAGTGCTCTATCTGTGAATTGTAGTCCCTTAACCTGTATTGGCTCATCAACTTTTTATGCTTGTATGTTGCTAATTTGGCCAGAGATTGCTCATATCCTTCCACCAACATATGCTTTTTATTTAGCTTATATAATTAATAGCCAATGAGATTTAATATAATAGGATTTATAATGCACGCCTTGTCTATCTTTGAGTCTAATTTAATCTCAATCAGTCAATTTGTGTTTCAAACTTCAAAGACGTAAAGAAAATAATAGAGGAGGGGGGCGCTTCTGCCGCATAAAAGAAGCATCCAACACAAGCATTAGTGGTATCTGCAGCTTTCATTTCTGCATGCCATTCACATCCAAACACTTTGAGACAAAGAACTTGCATAGAGATAGAGAAAGAGAGAAGAATGTTGGTATGTTTGTCCTTGTCATACATAATTGTTCAATCAAAGCATGATGACCTCCCAAGATTATTCCTCCTTCTAAGCCTTGTCTTTTTGCTATTACACTGCCCCCCACCCAAAACCAATTCTCCAATTTCCCCTTCTCCCAACAAAAGGAAAAAGTTAGGAAGCATATATTATAAAGAAACAACTAAATCTAAAAGGAAGAAAAATAAATAAATAAATAATGTGATATCCAAATAAAGCCCACCAAAAAGACTCCACCATCTCCAAAGTTGAAGAGGGCTTTTGGGACATGTTAGCAGAGCATCACTCCACTCATTATTCCTCCAAACACACCCTTCCATGTGCTACTTCCGACATTCCCTTGGACTTTTCTTTTAGTCCTTTTCTGCTTTAGTATTGCTTTTGCCTCTTCGTACCGAAAAATGGGATAGATATGCTTGTGCCTCCTTCCCCCACATACACGGCCTATGAAACTCTTTTAGATTGGCCAATCAACATCTTCTTTTTGGACTTTGCACCCTTTCTGCCGATTCTCATTCCTTTTTTAAATCATTCAGAATTTCATCGATATACTAAAAGTAATTAAAAATCATTCATATATATCAAAGTAGTAAAATGATCTTAACCATGCCATCACACTATATATACACACCTATATCAATTCATTCTTCCTTATACCTCGGCTCTCATCTCATTCTCGCTTTTTTCAAGCCACAAGATATATAACTATTATATATTACTATACACTCATCATAATGGGTAGGGAAAGCCATGATGACCCCACTGTGGTTCACTCTTCCATTGCTCTTCTACAAGAGAGGTTTAGACAGTTGCAGAGAGTAAAACAAATGAGAGAAGAGAGAGAGCTCAAGAAGATGCTCACTGAACCTAAACAATTCAATTCCATTACCACAACGAGTTATTATGAGCCAACAAAGATGTTTTCTCATCCTGAATTTAACACCCCGTCATCAAGGTCACCACCCCATGTTTCTCTTTCTCTTTGGCCAACATCGCAGGACATGCAAGAAGACTACACAAGAGTGCAGACCCCTGCCTCAATGAATTTATTACGCCCCACAGATTATACACATGCACAGTCCTTGCAGGTTTCATGGAAGAATGTCTATGATTGTGAAGCTGGCTCTGATTCTGGTGTTGACACTTCTCTTCACCTGTAAAAGAATCTATATATATATATATAGCTATTCTAATTATGTACCTTAAGATAGGTCACTTAACACATAGTGATTGTGACACAATGGCCTCTCTATAGTGGCTTGGCATGAGTGTACTATCATATATAATCAGCTTAGCTATCTGCTATCACTAGCTATTACTACCAGAAAAAAAAAAATCAATGATATGGCTTGAAATTGCATGAATATGAGGGCTGTGTTTAGAAATTTTTGGGGAGTCCTAGAATATATATGAACCATCTGTTTCGTTTTCTAGGTTGGTTATTGGATTCTACATTTCTGGTTTTGATCTGTAATCTAGTTATAGTGTATTTTTAGTTAGCAATAGCATGTGTACTTTAAAGCTGGTCAGTGGTCAGCAATCTGCTTAGCAATCAACTTTATTTTTTTACTTTAAAAAGGGACACGTAATTAATAGGGTTTGTATAATTTTTGTTATCTAAAGGTAATGTGCCCTACTGCAATTTTATTAGGTTAAACAACGATCATGGACATGGCCCCATATTGGAAATCTTGGTAGGTAATGACATGTCTCGGGGAAAGAAGAAGAGAAGATAGTACATGTTAAGAAAATGTGAAAAGCACATCCAAGAAACGGTTTTCATGCAACGAGATTTACAAGAAAATACAACAATGAAGATGACTTCAAAGTTCAATGAATCCAAACTGTCTTTTCTGTATGTTTGGATATGAGATAACCTCATAATATTACCATTTGAATACTAATTAAGCCTGGTAGTCATATATATACCAAAATGAGGTTCATAAATTATTTTTTTACCATTTATTTTAACAAAAATTTTCTCTAATGGCAATGTATAAATTATACTGCATGTTATGCATCTATAATTTTTTATCATCACATCTAACTCCTTGTTTTTTAACATTTAAAAAGTAGCACCAAATAAATAATATTAAAAAAAGGTGAAAATTAAGAAGTTTGAAAGATAGTGATATTTTTATTTCTGTAAGATAGAATTAAAAACAAGTATCAGGACATTTTCTGATAGCACTAGAGGAGAGGTATTCCTGGCCAGGGTTGCTTGCACCTGAAGGATGATAATACCTCTAGATTAATTATTTGATATGTATTGTCAAGCATCATATTCAATAATTGCATCAATTCCATGGCATTTGATGACAGAGCTCAAGCAAACATTTGCTGTAACGATTTGAGCATTATTAACAAAGAAATCTCCTCTCCCACGGTTGTGGATCCTCATCATTTTGGAGCTTATCCCTGAGGGAACAAGGGTCCCAGTTGGGAAATGAGATAAATCATTGAAATAGAGAGGCATTGGAATGGCATGGCTTAGTAAAAACTCTTCTATTCCATCAGCTGAAATAGATGAAGCAGATAATTCTCTATCATCTGGCATCAAGAATGTTAGTTCCCGAGTTGGTTGTGATGTTCCATTCAGCATTTGCAAAAGCATTGCAAATCCGTAGTAAGATTTTGCTCTCATGTCAGTTATTGCTGCTTCTAAGTCAGTATGGTTAAAGGGATGCATAAAAGACTGTGATTCTGCAAATCCAAGCAGAAAAAAAAGCATAAACAAACACTGTGGACCCATATTGGGAAATATATAAGAGAAGCTGAGAATTTTTGAAAAATTGATAGGTGTAAGGTAGGGTCGTATGTGAATAAATAAGAAGACAAGGAGGAAGAGTTAAGGATGTTTGTACCTGCAGGCATGGTAAAAGAGCATGAGGACTTTATCATCATATTCTTTTACTGAACCTAATTGAGAGTAGGTTGTACACGAGGAAGCACTTTCTTGGGAACCATGCAAAACATGTTTGTGATATGCTTTTCAAATTCTAGTTTTGTATAGTGTGCCATCAACAGGACAGATTAACCTTTGTGATACTTCTAACCCAACCCATCCATCCCAAGATCTAGCATTTTTTTTCTTTTTACCTTGGTCAAAGGAGAAATAAGAACATGAAAAACTCAAAAAGGAATGTATTATAAGGTATTAAAAAGAATCATTGATTTGTTAGCAATTCCTGTTGTTGCATAAGAGAACTGAATTGATCAACCCACAGAATCATTGATCCCTGTAAGTAATACCATGGAGGTTCCCTTACTTTGCTTTCAATGGCATATGCAACTATCCACTCTTATTAGGCCAAGTTATTAGTAGAATAATAAAATAAAAAAAAACTAAGATATAACTATACAATCTCCATATGTTCTTAACTGTAAGAAAAGGGAAAATTTTGATATGATAAAAATCATGGGGATAGAGACATTCTAAAGAAAGCAAGTATCGAGTTATGGTGGTGACACTGCAGGAATGCAACTCTGTGTCTCATCCTCTAAAAGAAGATTGAAAGTGAAAGTGTCTACTAGCTATAGTCTAAGCTTTATTAAAACTAATTTGAGAGCTACACTTTTGAGGATATTTGTGTTCCATGATGGGAAGCAAAGTTCAAGGTTAGATCCCAAGAAGCACAACGCTCAACATTTTGATGGCTCTGCTCCTTTTTACTCTCCTCAAGCATATAGTAAAATCAGAATTATCACTATTTGTTTTATGTTGCGTTTGCCTTTACACCTTTATATACATGTTTTGAAAATTTTCACCTTGGATACGGCATATAGATATAGGGATTTATTACTCTTATGTTGCATAAAATATAATCTATCTCCTACACACACAAACTCAAAATGGGTCCCACTTTACTTTCTCTCTCTCTCTTCTCCTAAAAATGGACCCCACCTGCACCAATGAGTGTGTAGGAGATAATACATATCTTCTACAACATAAGAAAACTATTACCCATAGATATATATGGTAGGGTATGACTATTTAAAAATTTAGTAAAAAACACACAGTTGTGTCTATTTCGAACTTTTAAATAAATTTTAATACAATAGGTGACTTTGTTAGCGTATTTTTTTATTTTTTTTTTATACATATATTTATACATGACTAATTTATTAAGATAAATTTGTTTAAGAAATAATTTTGAAACTTATACATATAAGTTTATTTTATCTATTGGAAGCTAGACCCACTTGTAATGTCATATTTTATCTCCTGAGTTATTGGGTAATTTCAGGACAACATTTGGAGTAGTGGATAGTTGAAGAGCTTCCCAGGCCCCAGATGATGAGCTAGAGCCTGGAGGGGTCCCTGGATTGGGCTTGTGGAAAGGGTCTAGTCCTTGAAGCTAGATAACAAAGTGAACTTTGAACCAGCCCCTTTACCTACCCATTGCGGGGAGGGACCTTGCTATTTTAATGCTGCTGCTATTTTTGAGGCGTAAATGGGATAGTCTGGTCTATTGAAAAATTATATTAGGTTTAGACTTATAAATTAGTCTTTTTAAAAAATAGGCTATAGGCCAACTAAGTAATAGCCTAGCCTTAAAGCTTATAGGCTAGCCTATTTAATTTTTAAAATATAATAATATATTTATCAATTATCATAAATATTATTCATCTACCTAAGTCTACTAAGAAAAAAAAATCAATCTTTGTGTCATGAACAATATTTAAAAATCTCTGTGTTCTTGTTAAAAATTCTATTTGAGAATTTTTGTAATTTGGACTCTTGTTGGAAATATTGTTTAATGAATAAGATATTTTATTTTATTTTAGTTTAATTTGCAACTTGGTAGGCCTAAAAGGCCTCATAGACCATATTAGGCTTTTTATATTGGGATTTGCATTTGTCATTTAACATGACACAACAAATTTTTTTACACACACAATATTTTGTGAGGCCCACATTTTTTGAAGAAAAAGAAAACAAAGAACTTACGGCACGCAAAACGAATCTTTATAACATTACACAATCACTTTTCCTACAATATAACTCTTATAAAACCCTTTTATATTTTAACAATAGGTCAGGCCTAGTCAATAAACTAAGCCTTTAATAGGCTAATAGGCTAGATAAGCTCACCATCTTTTTATGTAGGCTTAGGCTATGAAGAGCAAAGTCTAGCATAGCTTAACCTGTTTATACCCCTAGAACTCAGGATATTCCCAAGCTATAACAGAAGACTAATTCTGAAGTGGCATTTGCCTTTACCGACAAAGTATTTTTCATACACGTGATGGAATCGAACCTTGTTAGCGTGTTTAATGGACTCAGCTATTTAGCAACTGTACCGGGCTTTGTTGGTTACCTTAAGTGATGTTAACCTAAGTAAGATCTCTACAAAATCACCCGTAAATCAACTTTAGCTTAATGCTGGATTAGTTAATATTAAAGTTCTTTCTTAGTTTATGCTTTTTGATTTCATACTATAGAAAAAGACATTGAATACCAATAGGAGCACAAATTAGTTGAAATTTATTTGTTCAACTTTGCATTTGAAATTGCAGTCACAAATCATATTTGTCCCGAAATTTCTTCCAAATAAAGAAAATAACACTAATAGCTAATTGAGTAAAAGCTATTCGTACAACTTTGCAATTACAATAATGCTGGTTGTTGTGTGTGAATTTAGTTAGGGGTGACAATTTGTGATCCAATAGGTGGATGAGCGAACATTGGTGTTATTTATGCACACTATTAATCAAAGTTAGCATTCTGTATATAGAACATGCAACTGCATCCAAGTTTTTTAAGCCTAGACTTTGCTCGATAAGGTGGGACTAAAGCTGCAATACGCCGTGGTGTTAAGAATACGATGTTCTGGTTGTAGAAGTAAGATTGGAAAAAGAATTGGGCCCTTTATACTACTAGTGCAGTTTGGGCTCTTTTGATTTTTGAATTGGGCCTGAGGGGAGAGGAGAAGGAGTTTACGGTGTCTAACAACTATGGGTCTGTTTCATTGTCTTCTATGTTTTTTTTTTTTTCTTAAAACTATTTTGTAAAATAGTAAACGAAGCATGTGTTTTTTACATTTTTTTTATTTTGAAAATAAAAAATTAAAACACAATACAGACCTATTCTTTAAATTTGATTCTAAAAATAAAAAAACAGTTACAATTTTTAGACTGTTTTACAAAAAAAGCTTTATAAAAAAAATTATGAAAATCAAAAAACTATTTTTAAAAACAAGATTCATACAGGCCCTATAACTCGTGGAAAGTGTAAACATCAATGGTCCATTCCTCGGATACCAACGGAGCCGTAGGTCTTTTAAAATCTGTTTAGATGCACTTTTGAAAAAAATATACAAGTTAAAATTATTTTAGATTTGAATGAAGTTTATTAAAAATACTTTTAATTAAAAAAATTATTTGAAAATGAAAAGTAATTAGCATTTATAATATGGGATAGGATATTGTAACAAGCAATTAGTGTTATTACCAATATTACTATCAATCAATTTCACCGTTAAATCAATTATGTTGATCCAACGGTTATATTTATTTTCATCTTTATATAGTTATGATTTTCTATATTTAATACTTTATATTTATTTCTACCGTTGTATGATTATGATTCTCCATATTTAATGTGAAAACGCATTAAATATGGGAAATCATAACTATACAAAAATGGAAATAAATATAACCGTTAGATCTATATAATCAATCTAACGGTGAATTTGATTGATAGTAACATTAATTGATTATTACAATATTCTACTCCTTATATATATATATGGTAAAATCATTTTTGCAGCCGCTTTACGTACAACAACGACAGGTGTATGGTTATGATTTCCCACATTTAATGCTTTCATCATTTGTATGATTATGATTCCCCGCATTTAATTCTTTCAAGTATATATATGACAAGTATTTGATCGTTGCACGTAAGCAGCTGTAAAAATGTAAACTCCTATATATATATATATAGGGAATAACATCTATCCTTTTAGAACCTAATCGTTGATTTTCGTCCATCAATGGTTATAATTTATTGGATTAAAATTATTAATTAATTAATAATAAATTTGGCCCATTAAGTTTGACCCAATAGATTATAACCGTTGATGGACGAAAATCAACGGTTAGGATCTAAAAGGATATAAACTTATATCCTTTAAAAAGATAGATGTTTTTCTCACACATATATATATATATATATATATATATATATATATATATATATATATATATATATATATATAATAACATGGGGATGATAATGATAATAGTGGAGTGGAAGTGATGGGACTGGGTTAAAGGTTAAATTGAATTTCGAGTCTCTTGATTTTTATTTTATTTTAAATAAAATCTTTGTTAAAAAACACAATTTTAATTTTTAAAATTTTATTTTTTAAAAGCTTCATCCAGAAATAGATAAACAAAAAGCACATTTTATTTTGAAAAAGAAGTACTTCGCGATGAAAACGTTTAGATTTATTTAAAACATTATGATATTTAAAAAAAAAAAATTAACTTGTAGATAACATTAAAACGACTTTTTGGTGGTTTTGATTTTTTCATAAACTTATTTAGGGGTTTGTATTTGTCATTTAACATGACAAAACAAAGTTTTCTACACACACAATATTTTGTAGGGCCCACACTTTTTGAAAAAAAAAAAAAAAAAACTTCAGCACGTAAAACGAATCTCTATAACATTACACAATCATTTTTCCTACAACATAACTCTTATAAAACTCATTTATTTAATTTTTATAATTAAAAAATAACTAATTTTTTATCAAATAATTTTGTGCTCTAATTTTTTTTTCTTAAAACACAATCAACCATATCCTAAGACATTCGAATTTCAATGTGCAGCATGCTTTTTATCTCTTTCAATCTAACGCGCTTCTCAAGGCCCCTCCCTTCACTTTGGTTTATACTTTATACCCCACCAGACCTTCTGTCCACACCAAAATAGGTTTTGAAGAATCATGGTTTATTTATAATGAGTGCTTATATATATATATATATATATATGAGTTTTATTAATTTCTTTTTACATAAAATAGTTATCTTATGTGGTAGAGAAAAAATGAGTGAGTCTCACCATTGTAAGAAAAAAGAAAAAGAAGAAAAAAGTAGAGTGCGAAGTAAGAGAAAATGAGATAAGTTATCTTATGTGAAAGAAGAGTAATATTTTCCATATATATATATATATATATATATATATATATATATATATATATATGGAAAAAAATATTTAATGTTACTTTAGATAACTTTATCTAATGTTCATCAAAACGACGTCTTTTTAGGGTTAAAAAATTAAAAAATTAGAATGATAAAGACTATTATAACTCTGAAATAAATTAAAATTACAAAAACACCATGATTTCCGCCCCAAAACGACGTCGTTTCGATGAACATTAGATAAAGTTATCTAAAGTAACTTTAGAAAAAACAAATCCATATATATATATATAAGGTTTGTTTTTCTGCAGTTATTGCAGGTAAGTTATCTGCAGTAAGCCCAATACGACATTGTTTTGGGGCAGAAATCATGGTGTTTTTGTAATTTTAATTTATTTCAGGTTATAATAGTCTTTATATTTATAATTTTTTAAGATTTTAATACCAAAACGACGTCGTTTTAGGAATAAATGCAGATAACTTATCTGCATTAACAGCAGAAATATTTTTTCCATATATATATATATATATGGGTGAAAATATTAAAATTTTATTATATTAATTTATACTCTTTATTTTATTGTGAGTTCAGAATTACTCATGTTTAAGTTTATCTTTGTGAAAAAGTTAAAATAATTTTTTTAATATATTTCCGTTGCTTATTCACATTCTCTAAACTAATTATAACCAATTTACAATTCTTATTTAATTTATATATCCTCCTAAATAATTAGTACTAATTTAAAAAGGAAAAAGTATTTCTCCAGTCACAGGAGATAAAATTATCTTTAGTGAGCTCAAAATTTTGGGATTATAAGATTAAAAAATTATAATGATAATGACTAATATAATCCTGCAATATATTATAATTACAAAAGTACATTGATTTTCGTCCCAAAACAACATCGTTTTGGGCTCACTGGAGATAACTTATCTCCGTTGACTGGAGAAATCCTTTACCCATTTAAAAATTATAATATTACATTTATTGCATGCATTATTTGAAATAAGAATAACATAGATAAAAATTTCAAAAATATTTCTTCTCCAAGAATAATTTTTTCTGCCAGTTATTTATTTATTTTTACAATATAGGCGGACACGAATGTAAAAATCTGAATTAATTTTGTTTTCATATTTGCGTTTCTAGTCTCATGCTTTTTCATTATTATTTTGAGAATCCAAACTTAACCAAGAGTGGGGAAGAAATTTGCAGCGAGAAAGAAGAAATTAGGGGTAGGTGAAACAGGAAGGAAAAAAAAAAAAAAAGATAGTGATAGAATTTTAGGAAGTGATATTAGTCTCTAAATTTATTTAGAGTGAGAAATGTGCATTTTCTATTAGAAGGATTTGAAATAACTCACTTTCCATTTGTAAAGGCAATCTTACAATTTTTGAAAGGTAAATTTAGCAAGTGCTGTGGACCCGTGGTTAGTGGAACAAAGTAGTTGATATGTAGTGGGAATGTAGGACTTTGATTTATCTTCATTTATACTTGGCATGGTTTGCAATATATTGGTGTGTGAACACTGAACGCTTATTTCATTATTTCTGAGACTGATGACACGACAATCACAAACACACCTGGCCTACCAAAAGATCCAAATAATAATCAATAGTCTTAATGCCCTTAATGATTCCTCCATCAGCTTTTTTCTTTGCTTAAGTTTTCAGCAAACAAATTTCCACACTAAGGCCAAACAAGAGAAGCTCACCGTTATTCTGCTTTTTCAGTCATATTTACCACCAAACTAAAAGGTTTTCTGTTGAGAACCAATCCGTTCCCCAAACTCCAAAGGGAATGGTAAAAACTAAGCATCATGTCTTCCTCTACCATCTGTTTGGTGTATGGTCTAGGCAAAAGAAATGGGGCATCATAAATTTATCTGCATGGTCCTAATTAGATGACAAGAATTAAGGCACTCCTCACGCTATCCGATCCTTTCTAGGGACAAGAAATTGTTACTTTTTCCTAGAAACAATAAAGGAGCACTAAAAACCATATTTTTCTTTTTATTTATCAGTCCTTAAATGCATAACCAGAGGTGATAGCAGACCCATTTAATGACTGCATGTATGCAAAGGCTGAAGGGCCTTTGTCTATACCTGCTTTCTGTCCTAGCAGCCTCAAGTTTTGACCACTTGTCACACTGTGCTACACGTGTGTCTATATAAGTAGTGGAGAGCTCTAGGTTGTTGTTCACACATGGTGCTCAGTGCTCACTACTTAAGTGCTTTTACTTCTTGGTGTATTTGAGGATTTCTATTATATTGTTCTGTCTCTCTTGTTTCTGAGTGTTGATTTTAGAGGAAAGAAATGAGTTATTTGGGTGTAGGTGTTAGTCCTGGGAATGTCCCAGTGTACCACAGCACAAACCTGAAAGTATTGGATGGAAGGATTAGGATAACAGAGTTGGTGTTGAGGTGTGTGATCCTTGGTTTGGGAGTTCTTGCAGCTGTTCTTGTGGGGACTGATTCCCAAGTCAAAGAGTTTTTCTCCATTCAGAAGAAAGCTAAGTTTACAGACATGAAGGCTTTAGTGTAAGCTCTCTTGCTCTCCAATCTTTTTTCTTTCGATTGCAAAAACATTGCAGGTTGTGCTCTCCTAATTTTGATGGCCAAAAAATTTTGCAGGTTCCTGGTAGTTGCTAATGGGTTAGCTGCTGGCTACTCCTTAATCCAAGTGTTGCGCTGTATCGTGAGTATGGTCAAAGGAAGAGTACTCTTTAGCAAGCCCTTAGCTTGGGCCATTTTTTCTGGTGATCAGGTACCTTTATATACCAAAACACACACTGCTTATTTGCTCTTCTTTTTGCAGCATGTCCAAAATATTGGTTCCTCACTGCGTTCTCATTTCACAGCATTTTGTTGATAGCTTTCTGTGTGACAGTTGCCCAAAATTTTGAAGTCTAGCTCAGGTGTCTCTCTTTAGTTGCTAAGGTGTTCATGTCAACCATTTTTAACTAATGCATCCAATTACTTTTGTTCAGTCTATCTAATTGATCAATGGAATAGTGAAACCATATCAAACTAATTAGGCAAAATCAAATTCATAGGAGAGAGTGGCGTTTAATTGATTCATCTGATTGACTTTCAATTCAAACATTTGATTTTGTTATGTAGTAGAGGCCCTTTGCATGCATACCCTGTGTCAAAGACTCAGAGTAGGGTCGGTTTGGATTATGGTTTGAAGTTGAGGCTCAAATTTGTACAGCAAGCTATAATGTTCTCAAATTTTGTCACGTCAAGCAAGGGTAACTGGTACTGTGGGACCTCTTCACCTGTTAGGGAACTATGCCTGTTTGATATTATGAGTGGTGAGGATCATTCATCCAAGGCATACTTAACCCCATGGTTGGGGATCACAAATGCCTGCTGGTTGTTGAAGTTTTTAATTTGTGGTTTGGAATGACAAAAGCAATTTTAAGACAGTGGGTGTGGTAGATATGGTCTTTTCTTTCAACATGTGCTACACCTTTATTGAAGAAAGGTTTTTATATTCGTTTTATTTCTTTAATAGATCTGTTGAGATATATAAAACCATTAAAAAGCCCTCACTCACCAGCTTAAGCTTTTGGGTTGAATTGGTTCTTTACATAGTATCAGAGCCTCGTGTCCTGGGTTCGATCCTCGCCGCTCTTCACTTTTTTTCAAGTGAAATTTCTTTGTTCGCACAGGTAGGTGGGCCTGTGCATTGTCCACCCTTCAAGCCCAATGAGCTCTCGTGTGAGGGGGCGTGCTCAGATATATAAAACCATTAAAAAGCCCTTACCCACCCGCTTAAGTTTTTGGGTTGAATTGATTCTTTACGAGATCAATCTCATAGGAATGGATCCTGATCCTAAAGAACAATTCTTTTCTTTTCTTTTTTTAATAATCCACGGCTGATAAGTTAAAACAAGTACTACACAAACACAGTAATAACACTAAAGACATAACTTTTCTATTTATGCAGGTAATGGCATATATAACATTGGCTGCAGTGGCAGCTGCAGGGCAATCTGCTGTGTTTGCAAAGCTGGGACAGCAAGAACTGCAATGGATGAAGATATGCAACATGTATGGGAAATTCTGCAACCAGGTGGGAGAAGGGATTGCTAGTGCTATTGTGGTTAGCCTTAGCATGGTGGTCTTGTCTTGTATTTCTGCTTTTAGTCTCTTCCGTTTGTATAGCGGTAACAAGAACAAAAATGCATGTTGGTAGTTTAGAAACTACCATAGATTCGAGTTAATAACCTACCACTCACCCCCACTGTTTCTTGTCCAGCATAGTAGTTATGTAATTTACAAGGCTCTTTTCGTGTATATGTTGTAGTGAATGATGATGGTAATATGAGAATTCGGCTGTGTTATTGATCTAGACATCGAGTGCTTGATAATTGGTGGCAGTAAAGTTGGAAGTTCTTTGATATATTTAGCTACTTGAGCATGCTAGATATGATTCTTATTAATAGAAAGGGAAATGATTTATCTTAATTTATGTCTTTTTAGAATTTTATAATTATGTACTAATGATAGTACATAGTTATAATACTAAAATTGAAAGAAAAAAAATTCTCTCTTCAAACAGTGTTTGCTAATGTGAAAAGTGAAAAAAAAATACAACTTTAATATTATAACTTATATTATCCTTAATATAGTTATAAATTGTTAAAAGATTATAGTTTACATTTTTTAAAAGGACAAACTTTTAGTCCTTAGTTACTACCTTTAATATTATAACTGATGTTTTTAAACAATTTGATGTGTTTGATTTTGCACTTTGCACAGCTTTTTTTTAAAAGAAAATTATGTTGCTACAAAACTTTAGAACTCCCGAAGGTAAGAAATTGTCGCCACTAATAGGAAGCATATTTACTGTGTGTGATTTGCCTTAAAATAAGGTCGTTACAAGCGATTTGGGTTGATGGTGACTTTTATATGTCAATATATTCGTGACTGAATTTTACAAGGGAAACATAAGTATCATGGATATAATAAAATTTTCTATCTGCTTCAAAAAATGTGGAACCCACTTAATTTTATTCTTTTTTTTTTTTTCCTATACGAGGAGTCGTAATGTTTGTATATCTTTAACAGAAGACAATTATCTCTTGTTGCAAGAGAAAATATGCTTCTATATTATAATATATATATATATATATATATATATTAGTTACTTTTTAAAATTATTTAAAGTAAACAGACATATTTTATTTTATTTTTGGTAAACTTCTCAAGTATTGTTTTTGTTTAGTGATTAAGACTATAATGGTGATAAGGAATTTAGGCAATTTAGAAAATATTACCTTTGTATATTTATAATCGTTTTATTTAAAAATTTGGAATTTCGATCTAGAAACGGTCAAGTGAAAACATGTGAAATCATTTTAAAAATAAAAAAAAATTGGAAATTGGTTTATACAATGCCGTTTTGAATTAAAAAAAAATTCTTTTAAGGGCTCAACAACATCTTAAATACTATGTGAAGTTTGAATTTATTTTTAAGTGTAATTTTTATGCTTAAGGTTGAACTTGAATATGTTCTCCTAATAATTTATTTGAATGTACATTACTTTATGGATCTTAGTTTATTATTTAATTTATTATATAAAATAAAACATATATATTAAATTATCATCAACTTGAGTCCACTGTCCACCATTAGACCAACGAACAGTGGACGAATACCTTCGCTGATTTAATAATCAATCTAACTTTTAAAAATTGACATTTTTTCCTTTTTTATTATTATGAAATACACACTAAATATAAAAAGTAGATGATTTATAAATCAGTCAATCTTTTGCGTAAATTACTTACCACTATTGATGATTAATTTGTTTTTACTATAATTCCTTTTATGGTTTTGTATTTATATCTTATTCATTTTTGTTTTATATTTTTTCTCATTTATTATTTTTTCAAGGGAAAAGTTCACCAATGCTCCACTGGTTTGCTTCAGAATCACCTATGTCCCTGTGTTTTTTTTCTATCACATATGCTCCTGTGCTTTGTAAAAAATTAAAAAATCAAGAGGCATATGTAATAAAAAAACATATCCTTTTACAAACCACAAGGACATATGTGATAGAAAAAATCACAATGACGTATAGTGATTTTGAAGCAAAGCACGTAGACTTTGGTCAATTTTTCCCTTTTTTTAATCCGTTTTGAAGTTGACGTTGACCTTTGCATTAATGTCAACTTATGTTTTGTATTGAATTCCCGATTGCAACGCATCCTTTGGTAATAAAATCTTCCATTGAAACATGTGTAGTTGTATTTATGGATTTAATGTGAGGTGTAACGTAAGAGGTATCAAACTGGTTTCTTATATTTTCCAAAATAATAAAAAAATGTACAAAAAGAGAAAAGGGTAGGTAGACTCCACGAGTCACCTTGACGAGGTGACATGTAACAACATTAACATGCGAAAAGCAACCATACCCATACGCCGTCTTCTGAGTTTCATATTTTATGTTTTTCTTTTTATAATTGTTTTACTGCAATATAAATAATAATCAGTTTTGGGTTTTTAAACTGCATTCCTCTATCCAAAGGGTTGTTTGGTTTCTAATCTGCTCACTACTATGGTAAAGTTTCCATCATCCCTTTTATTTTAACTTTGGTCGATTTTACATTTGATTCTCCTTTTTTGTTTTTGATCAATTATATATAGCTTTTGTGATGATGATGCTGCGATATATCTATTATTTGTTTTTGTTGATTGTCACTGAAATCGCATGATTTATCTCACTGCTTCCTAGAGAATCACCCTTTTCTATTATTTATTTCTCTTTTATTTTTAATTGTTAAAAAACAAGATTTTGGGATTTCTTCTCTCCGCTGAGCTGATGAACCACTGTAGTGCAGACTCGTTTGAAAACCAATTTTCTTGAGTCCTTCGTGGAAACACATTATTCATGAATTTTCTTGTAGCTGCTTTGTTTCAATGCTGGGGGAAAATCCCGAGGAAAAAAAAATCTTAGCTTACCAGCATAATTTCTTATTATTATAATTGTGTTAATATTCTATTCACAAAGAAGCCTGGATTTAAATTTTAGATTTAAATTGCTTTCGTTGTAATTATAAAAAAAAAAAATTGTAGAAGAAAATGTGATTCCACAATTACATTTACAATGCAGTAGGCGTCTGCTAAAAAATGATATTATTGTTGCGGTCCAATTGTGGTTGCGACCTTTGCTGCTATTATTGTTGCGGTCCAAAAAAAATTTTGTTTTTATGATTTTTTACGATATTGTTATGTTACGATCTTATGTTGTATGATTTTTTATTTCCTTTCAGATTTTTTTAATTTTATGTAAAATTTCGATTTCAGACTACTTCAAGGCGCCTAGCAGACAGGAAAGTCGCGAGGTTTCAAAGGAACATTGCAAAGAGAGGATCTGAAAACAAGAAAGGAAATGCCTACCCTGTTGGCCCAATTGTTCTTGGGTTCTTCGTCTTTGTAGTTGTTGGATCATGTATGTTCTTTTACTTTCTTGACTACATCTTTCTCGTACTTTTTTTTCTTTCAATTAATCAATATTCGAACATTTGATCAAAGATTTATTCATACTACATCATTCTTACAATTTTCAATTAACTTATATTCAGAATATGAGCTGAAAACAGGTTATTAGTCTACTAACTTATTTATATACCTTGTTATGCACTGCATCTTTTGTTCATATACCAAATATATTGAACTACTTAAGCTTATCAGGATTGGATATTTAAGTTCTGAAAATGTACCTTCTCTCCAATGGATTCCAACAAGTTATTTGCAAATGAGATTAGTTTAAGTAAATAGTGTATTGTGTAAAAATTTATTGTTTGCCCAGACTTACTTTTTCAGTAAAAAAGAAGGTTGACTCATTTTTTTGGTTCACAGCTCTGTTTCAGATCATTAGGACCGCTACAAGTCGTGGGATGGCATAAGGAAGGAGGAATGTTTATGAAATGTTATGTATAACAAATAGGTGTGTTCATCAAGAGTGAAATGAGAACAACTGTGATTTGCTAATAAATGAATGTTCCATTTCTTAAAGTGTATTCTCTCTTTTTCTCTAATCTACTATGCAAAACAAGCGAAAGCGAATCTTTTATTCCTAAATCATAATTTGAAGTAGTAGACATATTAAAACGAAATACTTCTTAGGATAACAATTCCAAATGGTCAAAATCATAAAGGCCATACATAATGGTGTCAAAATCTTGATCTGTATTTGTGGGCAAAGATAATATCATATTCTAATTAATTAAACTAGTACTTTGTGGTATTATGAATAACGGAAAATGCGAATGCCCAAATAGGGGAGAGTATTGTTTGGCGTGGACATGTTCTGATAATATAGCGGGAGCATCCATAAATATGGTCCAAGAATTTATTTTTGTTTGTTGCAGCAAAATTGTTAGACGCAAGACCAGTATCACAGAAAATTGTCAATTAGACCCAATGCTCCATTTTCAAAGATGGTAAAAGCATGCGATTCAAGTGTATCCAAATATTTCTGGACGTTTAGGGTGTTTATTCTTTTTGCAAGTACAAGACTTATGGGTTTGTAGTTTATATCGAATTTTCAAGCAATATAGTGAGGGACTCATCGATGTGGAGGAGACCTTATTCATTGCTCATGTCAACCATATACAACGAGTAATAATTTAATCTTACATGTTTTAAGAGACAATTTCCAACTTCTGAAACAGACATATAGTATACTAACAAAACTGAAAGATGGCAACAGGGAAAGAGATAAGAAATCTCAACAAGGAACAGGATATGGTTACTTAGGCAATTTTACGGTTCATTCTACCTTCATATGCTGATTTGCTCTCATCAGATCTTCGACTTGCTTTGGTTGTGACGCTTCTGTTGCTGTAGTTTCGGGAACAGTCAGAACTTTTGGAAAACTTCCGTCCATAAGAGCTAAAATCATCCATCTCAGGATATACTTTAGCATCATCCCCAGATAAGCTTTCATCATGCAGAGAGCCAGAGGCCAGACCCTCAAATTCCTGCAGGAAATGAAGTTATTTGATAAGAAACTTGTTTCAGAAAGACAAGGGAAAGAGGAGGCACTATTTCAATACTTTTACAGTACAATGCTTGAGAGGTTTAGTTACCCTGGATCTTGACTTGGCATTGTAGGGTGTTAAGCATGGATTTAGATCTTTGAGTAATAGGTCATCGGAAAGGTCCTCAGAGCTGAATTCCTGCATAAATTGTTGAGCGGATAAACCAAAATATTTATGAGGTTCAAAGATAATAGAATTGCTTATGGTATTTGGATTGGTTTCCGTGACCTAAAATCCATTATATAATTACATTTTCAATTATATTCTAATTGCAAGCATACCCAAGAATTAGAAGCATCTTCCCCGGCATGTGTTGGTGTCCTTGGAGAACTTCCATAACCTTGGAGACCTGCTTTTGCTGAATACTTATCGGCTTTGACCTATCAAGCAAATGAAGTATAAACAAATGAAAAAGCAATAAATATCCTACTACCAAAAGCTGAAAAAGAAGATTCAATTTTAGAAAGTTTCTATGCAAAAACATATAAATAGTTGCAATATGTTTATCTCGACTCATTGTATGCAGGTTGAGAGATCATCCCCAAAAAAGAAAGGAATTTCAATGAGTAGCCTTTGCTTGACAAATAATGACAATGAAATGTTGCAATAAAAGGATGTAAGCTATACCTCAGCAAGATCCTCTGCAAGGCTTTGAAGCTGACCAGTGAGAGAAGAAACCTGTTGCTGTAGAGATGGAATGACCAGTTTTGCCTGCTTTAGTTCTGAACCTTGTTTCTCTACAAGTTCTTGAAGCTGAGAATTCATGACATCAGGGAACAGTACTGCACTCTTCAATGACTTGATTTCTTCTCTTTGCTTCAAGCACAAATCCTTCAGCTTCTCCACCTGCAAATTCAACAAAAGCAAGGTTCAAAACTGCAACAACGGAATATTCCGGGGCATAAGAGCTGAAAATTCAATCAAGTTTTAAACTTGATTACAAGTAGACATTAATTAATACAAAATTCAAAGACCCAGAATTGAAATGCATGCTATTTATCATTCCCCAAGAAAATCAGATCACAAAACAACACGAATGCAAGAAAAAAACACTTACCTCTTTATTCTTTTCATCAAGCATGAGTTTAAGCTGAGAAATTTCCACCTCATGCTCCTTGTTGATGTTGAGAAGCTCCCTCTCGCTCCTAAGCACCATGGCCAGTGTCCTGGTGTTCACCTTCACCTCCGTCAAGGCCTTCACCGTATCTTTCTTCTGAGACGACGCCGTACCCTTTCCGAAGAGCTTCTTCTGCAGCGCCGAGAAACCGGTGACCCTCTTGGCATCCTTCTTCAAATCTTGGGCAATGAAATCCGAGGGAATAATCAGCTTTGTGCTGTGGTTCCCTGACTTGGGTTTCTTCTCCATGAACTTCTTTACCATTGTGGTCAAGCTTGGGTCCACCTTGGTGGTGGGTTTAGCCTTGACCAGTGCACGAGAGGATGAGGATTTGGGGTGTTTCAACTCATAGGATGAAGAAGGGTCAGTTAATTGAGAGGAAGTTGAGGAGCGAGAGTCGTAGGAACTGTACCTTGAAGAGGGCTTCATAGAAAACGCCATTGCAGAATGAGAATGAGGTACTTGCTGAGACACACACACACACACAGTGACAGAGAGAGAGGGGGGGGGGGGGGGGGGGGGGGGGGTTTGAGCTAAGGTAGTAGAAGGAGGTTTTTCTTTTTTGAAGGTATTAGGATGTTGTGTTGAGGACACGTGGCGGATGATTAAGAATGTGTCTTTTGCCGCTGTACTAATTCAAATTTTCACGTACTGGGCGCGGGCTCTGGTTTGATTCCATTTGCTTCCTATTATTAAAAAAATATACCAATCAATCAGTTAGAACTTAGAAGTGATGACCACAGGCAGTGCGGTACTGTTCATCATTCGACTTGTTTTCTCTCGCGTATACATTTGCACGCACGGCTAAACACCCTTCTAAAATTATTGGGCAGAAGAATTAATCGGTCAAAAACTAATACAGTTAAATATATTATGAAACCTTACAAAACTATTCTCATCACTGATCGTGATAGGACTGATATCATATTAAGGGGGGTTTGGTTGATGAGAAATTTTTTGAATACTAGGAAAATAGTTGGAAAGTGAGTTTAGTAGGAAAATGTAAAAAAAGTTGTTTGGTTGGAAAAAAATTTACTAGGCAAATTAAGTAAGATTTATAAAGTCTATGTTTGGTTTGAGGTAAAATATACATGGAAAAATAAGTGACAATTACGAAAATATTCCTGTTTTTAAAATTTTTTGAATCAACGTTTACCTTTAGTTTATTTTTTTTACCAACCCCTCTAATATAAAAATTAAAGAAGTTGCTAGAGAAATATAATATAAATATCCTTTACCTAAAAGTTTAATCTTAACAATGTTCCACATTTTCCAAACTTAGAAAGACGCATAATCAGTATCTTGTAAGCATCCTTTGCTTACAGCATTGTATGTAGTAACATACACTCAATCGTGCAATCAGGACGAAAGGCATCAGCTTCCATTTCCTCCATAATCCTCTCAATCTCATTGACTCTTCCAAACTTAGACCAACCACCAGAAACAGCATAACATTTAAAAGGTATCTTGCCTTTCATTGAATTAAAAACAGAACTTGCAGTGCGAGCGAATGAAGACTTACCAGAGGGTATCAGAGGGTATATTTGGGATGATATGTTGTGGGCCCATGTGACATAGATGGGTTTCTTCAAAAAAACCACCCCCTCATTTGCTTTTCAAACAGTGCCTATGCATAGCTAAATGGGAAAATCGGTGGAATGATATGCATTGTGTTTCCCTGGGCATTGAGCAAGATCTCCTTCAACCAAACGCATGCTTCCCATAATCCTTGATTCATTTGCATAGGGTAATCCAAAAAACTCCGCAACCAAACACCACCTTAGTTCCAAGTAGACACTTTCGTGATAGTAAAACTTCGAAGGGCTATACTTTTTGGCTCAAAGTATCAAAATTAGGTGATTTTATTTTGATTTCACATAATTTTTCGATATCTACGCAATAACACCATATTTGGCATATTTTATCTCCCATAAGCATAGTTTGAGTTTGCAACAATAGTTCCACAATCACAATAGTATTTAAACTCATAGCTCATGAGTTCTTTCTGAACCAACACTGTGAGCTGCAACACGTGCCATCAATTTCTTGGCCTAGTTTTTCCATGGTTAGCCTTTGAACCAATCATTTTTATTTTATTTTTTGGTAAGGAACCAATCATTTTTAAGCAACAAGATCTATACTTTAGGGCTTTCCGTAAGAAGGAAACATTGTTATATGTGGTTGCCTTGTATGTGTTGATAGAAAGGAAACCACTATCATGATTAAAAAATTTGGAATATAGATACCTACTTTCTGACAAGTTGAATAAGTTTTACATAATAAGTCATCATTCGCATAGATAAAATGTGTGAATCGATGGCATGTGTTGCACCTTATGGTGTTGGTTCGAAAAGAACTCGGGAGCTTCTGGATTTAAACGCTCTTGTGATTGTGGTATCATTGTTGCAAATTCGAACTATGTTTGTAGGGGATAAAATATGTTAGAAGAGATGTCATTGCATAGATCTCGAAAAGATATGTGAAATAAAAAAATATCACCTGATTTGGATATCCTAATCAAAAGATATGGCCTTACGAAATTTTATGGTGACAATATTGTCTATGTGGCGCTAACATGACATCTTATGACGTGTTTGACTACATTGGATTGAAAAAACTTATCCACTCAGCTTTAACTGGATAATTTTTTTGACCAATAATCTTAAAAAAATGCTATTAACCTCGCACGCACCATGAATATTTATATTTAACTCTCATTATCCATGTATTTGAAGTGAGCACATTTCATATATGGATTTAGGGATCGTCTGGTGTACATAATAGGATAAGGACAGATAGGTTAAGATAACCGGATAAGTATGGGTGAAAGTGGGCTGGGCTGGACCAGGCTTTGCTCCGAAAAGCCTAAACCTATGCCAAAAAATTTCAATTTAGCCTAGCTCAAGCCTAGTATGAGTCTAACTGTTAGCCTGACTTGACTCGTTTATAAAAAAACAAATGGTCTGGCCTAGCCCGTTAACCTGTTAATTTTTAACTTTCAAACAGAATCATGAATCAACTTCACAAAATACTAAATTCTATTGCTAAACCAAAAACCACAATTTCAATGTCCAAACAGAATCATGAATCACAACAAAACTTATCACAATCTGCATTTAAGTCACTTTTAAAAGCAAAATGCTCAAACTAAATAACATATATTTCATCATATCCAACAAACAAATCCATACTATGTAAATTAAAATAACTACATGAATCCAACAAACACATCATGATCCTTGTAGTAAATATAACCTCTCCCAAAAATCTTTTAATATATTCATATACATAATCTAACTTGCTGAGATATTAGTTACTCCCACATAAGAAATAAAGTCAGATTTACTATGATAATTCACTTAAAAATTAAAGACATATCATATTAATATAATGAATATACAAGAATAAAAATGAACAATTAAATAAACTCATCTACGATATTCATCACATATATGACATATTATATATATATATATATATATATATATATATATATTACTCTGCATATATACGGTAATTAAAAATTGTAAAATAAATTTACTAAAATATAAATTAGTATATATATATATGTGTATGTATAATTATAATATGAAACAATATAAATTCCAGAAAAATAAATTACTGAAGTATAAATTGCTATAATATAAATTATCGAAATATAAATTAGGCAGAGATAGGATCAACTTACGCTGATGTAAGAATGATAAATCATACATCAAATCTGAACTGTTGAATTTTGTGCATCTAACAGTTGAGATTTATCAGAAATTAAAAATTAATTAGTGAGTGGAACCTAATAAATCTTAATTGTTAGATGCACGAAAATCAATATTTAAGAATTGATGTAATACTTATTGTTCTTATAAAGATATAAGATGATCTTGCCATAATTATATAAATTGTCGAAATAAGTAACATAAAAAATAAATTGGAATGCGGCATCTTATTGGGCCGATTTGGGGAAGAAGAGGAAAAGAAAAGAAATAACAAATTAACGCTTCTATGTAATTTATATTTTGCAATAAAGAAAAAAGTTATCGGAACCTTAGTATTCACCTTTATATTTCCTTATTATCAAACCTCCTCACTCTTAGTTTCTTTATTTTTTTTATCTCCTTGTCCTTCAATGGAGTTTTCTCTAAATTTTTTCACGACTCTTCACTCATTAATTTTTTTCAATTTTTAAGTAATGACTAATAGTTCATGTAGCCTCTTATTATAAGAAAAATATGCCAATGGTAAAAATTAACATGATAATAGTAAAATATTATTTACCTAATAATCATTAAAAAAAATATTTCTATGTGAAATGTTTTAAAATTTTGTTTATGATTGATTTATATATTTTTGGAGTGTTATTGGTAATAATCTATGACTGATTTATATATTTTTGAAGCATTGTTTGTAATAGTTTGTGATTGATTTATATGTTTTTGGAGTGTTGTTTATAATAATTTATGATTAACTTATATATTTTGAAGTGTTTGAATTATATATTTTGGAGTGTTATATGTAATAAATTATGATTGATTTATATATTATTATTAGGGGGTTACACATGTGTGCCAAGATTTCATTTATAACCCTTTTAGGATATTTTATTTTGCTGAGTGCAATAAACTAACAGCATAAGTTTATCGTAATTAGAGTAGGGATATATTATTCTAGAGTGAAGATATTCTAACTACTAAAATTTTTTACTATTAATTTACTACCCATCACATCACCATTGGATCAAAGAGAGAGAATGTTAAAAAAATTTTAAAGAGAGAGAAAATGTTAATCTAATGGTGATTAGATAAGTAGTAAGTTGGTAGTAGAAAATTTTGGTAGTAAGAATATCCTCCTCATTATTCTATCCTATAATTTCATTTTTATCCTGACCATCAAATAAGTTCTTAGGAAATTTTTATTTTTATTTTTTAAAAATTATCTAATAGTAATTTTGATCTAATAATAATAAAAACAATTGTAAGGTAAAAAAAGTTATGGATATAACCTCTCTCTTATAAATTATTTTTAAATGTAAAATAATCTCATAAATCACACTTAACATACGTGACACTTTTTTTAACAATTTTTAAAATTTTAAAAGCATAGCACATCAACACCATTAAATCCAATAACAATTATTTAAAAAGTGAATTTTGTCAAACAGTATTTTAGCAAATAATTACGTGAAATAAAAAGATACACATGTCAAATTTAAATATAAATAACGGGAAAAATGTTTGTCATTTTAAATGACATAATATTTTTTTCTTTTAAGAGAGACAGACACAAATTTTTTTTTATTTAAATTTTAAATTAAAAAAAAATCACAAACTTTCTCTCTCTCATAATTTTTATTTTTCTGTGTCTGTCTCTATTCTAAAATAACATATGTAATTTAAATTAACATAACTTATATTTTCTTGTATAAAAAATAAAAAACACCGGGTACAAAGGAAACAGATTCCTCGTAATCCAGTTCCACTTAACAGCAATCCGAACTCAACTGGGTTTGTGTCTTTTGACCATATCCTATCCTAAAACATCATCGTTTGTCGTTTTTTTTTTTTTTTTTTTTTGAAAAATCCATATTTCAGATTTATCATACAGTATTTTAACATGGAATCCGGAATCAACAACTAAAATCCTCAGGTGCAACCTAAAAGCCTCAAATTTTAAAAAAATCTGAGTGACCTAATTGCAATATCCATTCATCCCAGACTGAAAATTCTAGGTTTTTTTTTTATTATCCTAAAAATAACTTCTACCTGCCCTCTTTTTCCATCGTGATTGTGCATTTCAAGAAACTCAAATTCATTTAAGGGTTCGCGCAAAGAATCAATGGGTCGTTCTCGTGGAAATTTTCACCCCGCCGATGAGGATCCCAACCAAAGGTTCGATCTTTTTTCTTACTATACTTTCGTTATTGCTATTAGTACAAAACAATTTTACTCCGCTGTCACAATGCAAATCTTTCCGCGTGCAATGTTGCTAATTACAATTTAATTTTGCAAAAGTTGTTTTCTTGAATGTGTATGACTGATCAGAGATGTAGTAAAAGCTATGGCGATTTTGCTCTATGATACTCAACTAAGTGTGTGTGTGTTTATTTTTATTTTTATTTTTTTCCAATATGCTTTCTCTGCTTATCTTTCTTGACTGTGTAGGTCAAGGAGAAAAAAGAATGCTGCCAGTGGAGAAAATTCAGAATCTGGAGCAGCAGGTACTTTTTCCACCATCATGTGCTATTGGATTAAGGTCAATTCTACAACACACTATGAGATTATACTGTATTAATACACTATATTATCTCCACTAATCTTAATTAATTAACTGAAATAATCATAATCTTCTACGTTTTCATTCAACAAATCAACTATGAATATATTATAATGTATTCATAAATTGTAAGTCTGTAACTCTAGTGTATTATAGAAGTAACCTTTGAGTTATGTTGTCAACATCCACCAAATACCAAAGTTCTAATTGTCCCTCAATGCATACAATAATCTTTTGCTGAAGATTATATAGGTGTTGCCTGGATTTTTCTTCGATTTTTTGATAAAGTGAACAAGAAGAAAGTTATGGATTCATTGTAATTGTACTGGCAGGCTTGTGGAATGTCTGTCAGGTTAAATATACTAAACCACTTTTTTTCCTGCAAATAAATAAATAAAACACTCTAGCAGTGATAGTTTTTTAGAGCTCTAATTTTCCAGTTATAGATTGTTGATTCATAGATATCGATGTTTGAAAATAATTTTACTTGTTTTCATGTGAGCCAGGTCAAGGAGCAAGTGAAGGAAAAAAGGCTTTGTACCACTGCAATTATTGTAATAAAGATATTACAGGAAAAATCCGTATTAAGTGTGCCATGTGCCCGGATTTTGACTTATGTATAGAGTGTTTCTCTGTTGGAGCTGAGGTGACACCCCATAAAAGCAATCATCCTTACAGGGTTATGGTCAGTAATAGCATTAATTTCAAATTTTTTCTTTTGTTAGAGAAGTATATAAACTATTGATGGACCTTCACTTAACAACTTAAATTTTTGGGTTAAATTGGTTCTTTATATGGTATCAGAGCTTCAATAACTACAAGGTCACGAGTTCGATCCTCACCGCCCCCCTTTCGAGTGGAATTAAAATAAGCACAAGTTAAACAAAAAAAAGTGGCCCTGTGCAATATGCACACTTCAAACCCAAAGGGCTAATGGGCTCTTGTGTGAGGGAGTGTGTTAGAGAATAATATAAATTATTAATGCAGCCTCACCCACCAGCTTAAAATTCTGAGTTGAATTGGTTCTTTACATCTTTTAATGTCTAGTTAGTTTAAAGGTTTTGTTAGAGAGAAAGGTTATCAGTCTCAGGACAATTACAGGGTTAATCAGTTAAGATAAATGGAAATTTAGTCTGAAACTGTATTGTTATCATATGTGGAATATCTAACTCATATTTGAAATAATTTAATGTTAAAGTGAATCTGTCCAAACTATTGTTCAGAAATTGTGTTACTGATAGTTTTGTCGCTTTGTTTTTATACTTGCATTATTCCTCTATGATGGTTTTTTTTAATTCTATTCCATTTGGACAGGACAATTTGTCTTTCCCTCTTATTTGCCCAGACTGGCATGCAGATGATGAAATTCTGCTTCTCGAGGTACTTTCTTCAAATTTATTTCGTAGGAATGGTTGTGACTAGTGGTTCCAAACTGTAAATCATAATATTTGGTGTTCCAAGAAGAAACCTCTTATTTATATCTGATCTTTGTAGCAATAATATTTTGGTTCTAGGGAATTGAAATGTATGGCTTGGGAAACTGGACAGAAGTTGCTGAGCATGTTGGGACAAAGAACAAAGAAGCATGCATAGAACACTATAGGAATGCATACCTGAAGTCCCCGTTCTTTCCTCTTCCGGTATGATAGGCATCAAATGAAGCTGCAATCAATGCTTCTTATTATATTTAGTCTTATAAATGTATTTTAAATCCTGACTGTTATTATTTTTTAGGATATGTCTCATGTTGTGGGGAAAAACAAAAATGATCTTCTTGCCATGGGAAGGGGGCTGGGCGAGGACAAAAAAGGTTTGTCACAACATATAACATCGCATGCATTAGTTTCGAAAGATATTTTTTTTATAAAAAAAAAATTGGATTTCACTTATGTTGTTATAAATCAGACAGGCCTCATTTATCACTGCTGCAGATTGTCTTAAGATAGATGTAGATGTTGCTGATAATTTCTTAAAATGTTCAGACAAAAGTAGAATAAATTTATAAATATTTGTGGCTTCAGATTGTTTTGCATGATTGGTAGGTTTTCTGTTTTGGCGACTTTTTTGTAATCATTGGTCACTTGTGATTGGCACAGGAATTTCCATGGCGGATCTTAGTTTAAAAGAAGATTCTCCCTTTTCTCCATCTAGAGTCAAGTAAGGCTGTGTTTTCTTACGTGCATTACCTCTTGCCATCTTCTGTACTATTTTCTTTTTGACGTTTATTATTTGATTCAGAGTTGAAGATTCCCATAAAGTTGGTTCCTCTGGCCGTTTGCCTTCCAGTTCAAAGTCAGGTAAAGAAAAAAAAGTTCGAAGCTACATCGATACACCAATTTGCTCATGTTCATCTTCTTTACATCTTATCTTGTTTATATTTTTTAGAGTCAGAATCTGCCCCCTCTGGTATCAAACATGCTGCAGCTGGTGCTAACCAGAAGGCATCTAATGTGTCCCGTGGAAAAGGTGGTCCTGGAGTCATTAAAATGGAAGGTGTGCATCTTTTAATTTGGTGCTGAATCCCTATTGACATTAAATACATTCTATCCTTTGGTCTTCCACTCCCATTATAAATTTAAAAAATCCAACTACTTTTTGGAATGATACCTTTTATTCCTAGTAAAATAAAAAGGTGAAGGAAGACTATCATATGTGTGTCTGTTTTGCATGATTTGTCAACTTTGGCAATATATTAACTTTTGAGGAAATGTGGTATTCTTCTATTACTATTAAGACTAAGATTTTGTGTATGCTGAGGTAGGGTAAAGGACGATCAGCTTCTTGCATGAAACTCCTGACACTTTTATATCACTTGGAATCTCAATGGCGTTGCCTTATCTATCCACCATTATAGTCTGAGGAAATTTATGATACAATATTCTGTATTAAGCTTCCTAGTTCCTTTGTCACTGGCAGATTCTCTAGCAGACAGAGATTTTGGAGGAAAGAAGCCAAGTTCCTCAGGAAATGAAGGCTCCTCTTTAGTAGAAATGAGTGGTTATAACCCAAAAAGACAGGAATTTGATACTGAATATGATAATGATGCCGAACAACTACTCGCTGACATGGAATTTAAGGATACTGACACTGAGGAAGAGCGAGAGCTGAAACTACGTGTATTGCGTCTATATTCAAAAAGGTTGACAACCATTTTATTTTATTTTTTATATTTCTCTTCCTGAATCATGTACACTCAACCATTAACAGTAGTGATGTTATCTGGGGTATTGGCAGAGTATTGCTCACACCCTATCTTTAAATTGCAATATCTTGCAGGCTTGATGAAAGAAAACGTAGAAAGGATTTCGTACTTGAAAGAAACTTGTTATACCCAAATCCATTTGAGAAGGATTTAACACCTGAGGAAAAGACAATATGTCGGAAATATGACTGGTTCATGCGCTTTCATACCAAGGAAGAGCATGAGGAATTGCTTAGAACAGTTATCTCTGAGCACAGAACTCTTAAAAGAATCCAAGAGCTTAAGGTTTGAGATGTTTATGGCCTAAAATAATTTTGTAGATTCACTGTTTTTCTCTTTTTGGAAAGGAAAGCTCTCTTTTGGGCTTCTTGTTATCTTTATATTCTGGAATGCTATCCTTTGGTTGCATATAGGTAGAAATTGCTAGAAATGACTTGTTACTGCTTGTGGGATTAGGAAATTTTTCATGCCCGGGAGTGTGGTTATACCATGTTTGAAGTGTCTTATAAGCATTGAAGCTTCCCAGTTAACCATTCCCAGTACTACTACTAGATTTTAGTTGCAAGAATTGGTTGTGTCTAAATGTATAAATCCTTAGATTTGTAATTGTACAGTTATGATTTAATGGATGCTTCTTTCCACTACTGCTGATATTGATTATATGATGTGCATACTGCGTGCACAAATCAAACAATTGACTTAACTCTTAGATTTGCAATACATTGTACTGCAGGAAGCCCGGGCTGCTGGTTGCCGCAATTCAGCTGAAGCGGATAGATATCTGGTACATAAGAGAAGAAGGGAATCTGAAGAAAGTGCTCGTAGGGCTAAAGGTAGTGCTCAGGTTGGCCCAAGTAATCAGGGGGTTCCGAATGCATTATTGTCTCCAGACTCTGCTGGGAAGGATTTGAGTGCAAGACCTACGGGGCCTGCTACTTCAAGTTCTGTCAATGAAATGGATGTGACGGGATACTATGGGGCAGATTTACTTTCTGAACCTGTAAGCGTATAGTCTCTCTCTGCCCCCTCCCCCCCTCCAACAAAAAAAAAAAAATAGTAATACCAGCTATCTATTAGTTTGGCCTTAAGGCCTTTCTTTATTAAGGTAACACAAGCGGTTTGGTAATTAAATGCTATTTGTAAGTCATTGGTCCATGGTATTGGTTTGATGTTTTTAAGAATAGGCTTGCTCCTATTATTGTTACAAAGTTCGACATATAGGTTCTCAGTGGCACCCATCATGCTTGATTTATCGAGGAAGATTGATTTCTGACCTCAAGGGGGCATTTTGTACAAGGATTTTTTTTTAGATTCCTGGGAAAGTGACATTGAGAATCCTATTTACCCATGTTTGGTAGAAGGATTGTGAAAATTTTCCCGAATATGACTTTCCCTTGATTTTGTTTTGTGAACACTTTTTAAGGCAAAATGTGATCCAAGAATACTACTAGAGGGGTGATATTCTTGGATTCCCGAGAGGTGGGAAAATATTTTGGCTTCCGCGTCACTAGCGCCAAGTCTTCAAGTAATATTTTATTCCCACGCCAATTGCACGGTGATGGCGCCACTAGCGCCGCAATGCAGTTTTTAAAATCACCCTACATTCCTATTAATATTTGACAATCAACCAAACATAGAATCAGGAAACCTGAGCCAACATTCCTGGTAATATTTTGGCCTATCAAACAATTTTTTGGTCACATTCCTGGGAAATTCACTTTCCCATCATATTTTTGGTAATCGTGATTCCTAGGCATAAGTTTTTTTCTCTTTTACCAAACGTCCTCCAAGAGTAAAACTGAAAGTCAGGATAAAACCCATCCAATCTTTTTAAATTAGATTCCTTGTTGATGGTGGAAATTTTGATTCTGATTATTAAAAATGCTGTTACTTTTCTGATCGGGTGGAGGGAGATTAATGATACTTAGTAATGATTTTTATTTTGTATAGTAATGTTTTATAGCATCAGGTTGCCCTTTATAGTAATGATTTTGTTTTTGGATATTATGCACTATTCTTTGCCAAGTTTGCCTTTTAAATTAGTGCATTGTTTCTTCATTTATTTTCTGAAATTGTGGTTTATATCTTCTTTGGAAGGAAAAACGTTTGTGCTGTGATATGAGGTTGCCGCCAGCCATTTATCTGAAGATGCAAGAGCAACTGTCTCTACAAATACTTGGTGGCACTGTCTCTGCTAAATCGGATGCTCATCAATTGTTCAAGATGGATACCATCAAAATTGACAGGGTCTTTGATATGCTCATCAAAAAGGGAATTGGTTCACCCTGAGACGTCTAATGCTGCTTCTGATGTGGCACTTCATAACCTATTAGTCTCTCTTCTAGCCTTCCCTAATCGAAATAAATTGCTGCTGTTATATATATAACATTTCTAGAAATTTTGAAGTATAGTATCAAGCTTTAGTTATGGGCAGAGCTAGATAAAAGATGTACTATCCACACGAGTTAATCATTGTTCTATCTGACTTTTGTGATGCTCCTCCCCCGATCCAACTCCTTGAATATGTACTGGGGAATGGGTGGACATTGGTGTGCGTACTAGGATTCAATACGGAAATTAAAGACTCATGGCAAGCTAATGTTAATATGTTATGTAGTCAAGATGTTTATGCAAAAATTGAAAAAGTATCTTGTTAGCTAAGGTGTAGACTTTGGAATTGTTTATTAGCTAAGGTGTAGACTTTGGAATTGGTTGAGTTTTGGAAACACTTTTATGTTGGGTGTGCTTGATAGAAAGATAAACACTAGATAGGGAAAAAGGTCACATTTAAAGCTTTTGTGTAAAAGTGAAGGAAATAAGGATGTAATGGTATTAAATAACGAAAATACAAGCGAGAAGATGGAGTGGAAGCTAAAGCCACAATAGCTTTAATGAGACTCGATGACAATTTCTTGTGGTAGGAGCTATCCTATAATGTAATTGAGGATGAGGATGAGAATTTTGTTTTATATTTCTTTTATTATGATTAGGGTATGTGAAAGTATTTTAATTGTTGACAAACAAATCTGCGATGACGAGAAATGAGAAAAAAATGTGTTCAGACTTAAGATAATGAATGAAAAAGATAAAAAGAAAAAGAAAAAACATTGATTTGTTAATGAATCATTGATTGTCTCAAACATCATAAATGAGACATGAGTAATTCATTTCAAATTTACTCATATTCTTGTTCATGATTTTCATGTGATATAATTGAACTTTCAAAGCTTAATTTTTTTTATTAATATTTTATTATTAATCAATATTTTCAAGTTTCAAAGCTTGATTGGTTAATTTTTTTATTATTAATAAATATTAATTATTAATACAAACATGTTTAGGACTAAGATTTAATTTTCTCCGTTGAAATGTTAATTTTTTTTAAAACTGTTATCTGTTATGCATTAATGAATTATTACAACAGATTTACCAACACAGTTATTTTGAAGAAGTTTAAGTTTTTAATAATAGTGCGCGTATCAAACATTTTTCGAGTGAATGTTACATGGCTCAATATTTATATATATGGGAAAAATGTTTATCCTTTTAAATGACACAACTTATATCCTTTTACTCTCACAAAGAAGTGGGACCCACACCTTTAATTTTTTTGTCAACTCTCTCTCCTCCTTTATCTATCTCTTTCTCTCTCTTAAAATGACACAACTTTACATCCTTTAAAATGACACACACTTTACCCTATATATATATATATATATATATATATATATATATATAGGGGAGGGATCATTTGACTCCAGAGTAAGATTTAAAAGTCTTACTCCTCATCCCAGCCATTGATTTCCGTTCATCCAACGGTTATCATTTATTTGAAATTAATAATTAATTAATGCATTAAATTACTAAATGATAACCGTTGGATGAACGGAAATCAAGGGCTGGGATGAAGAGTAAGACTTTTAAATCTTACTCTGGAGTCAAAGGATCCCTCCCCATATATATATATATATATACATATATATATATATATATATAAAATTTAAATCCGATTATGAGTAATGTTACACGGCTCGATATTTATAAAAAGAATTAGTTAGAATTTTTTATAAAAATGAATTACAGTAATATGAACTCTTTATTCATTTAAGAGTAAATAATAATACAAAAATTATTAACAAATTAAAAAAATATATCTAACTATTGTAATATGTTATAATCAACTTCAAAAATCAACTCTAACATATATAAAAGCCACTCAAATAAAAGAAACAAGAAAGTAGATTGTGAGGAGCTATACTACCAACAATTGTTGGTTCCTTATCTTGTTCCTACCTACTCTTTGTGTGGTCTGATTGTTGAGTAAAAGGGCTCCAATTGTGTGGAACCCACCACTTTACATTTCTCACTGGGCCTTCATAAAATTGTTCATGCCGTTTCTTGACCAGTTTCCAAATATGTGTGAAACGTCAAGCAGCGATAGTATATTTTTTTTAGTACAAAGCAATAGTATAAATTTGATTCACCTTTCATTCTATATTTCTATAGTTAATAATATATGAAAATTATTTCTGTCATGGAATAAGAAACAAGTTCTCTGATGTTGAGAGATAAATAAAGTGAATTTTTTTTTTTTTTTTTTAAAAGAGATACGTTTGTGATATAAGATAAGAATATGATTTCCTATAATATATTTATGGAAATATAAGTTTGATGTTATTGGAGAAAATTATCTTATGCAGTACAACTATCAACTTTTTTTTTTAATTGTGGACCTCTCATAGTTATTTCCTATGAAGCATCGACACTTCAAAAACTCTGACGTGTAGTGTCCGACACTTCCCGACACTCTCGGACACTCCGATACTCCCCTACACTCCAACACACGTTATTGAAATTCAAAAACGATTCACATGTTAAATTGCGTTGAGTTTTTAGTTCTAATTGTTAGATTCGTTAGATTACGATTACTATTTTATTGAGTTTAATATAAATATTTAGAATATCTTATGTTTTTTTGCAAAATTTATGAATATTATAAGTTTAGATACATTTTTTTGTTAAATTATTGAATATTAAAGATAATATATACTACATAACTTAAATATATTACGTAATACCAAAACGTGTCCTAACGTGTCAAAATTTAACATTTTTTAGAATTAACGTGTGGGAGTGTCGTGTCGTATCGTGTCACGTGTTCCGTGTCAGTGTCGATGCTACATAAGTTATATCATCCATGAGCAAATTTTTGATGCACTTATCCCTTTATTTTTTTTAAGATACATAGGGGAATCCTATGCAAATTTTTAGGATATCAAAATTCACCTATATATCATAATAAAAATGCACTAGTGTTGCACTGAGTTCAGTGTGACAAGTGCACTTTAAAATTTTTCCTCAGCCACATGAGATTAGTAACTCCTTTAAAATATACTTATAAACAAATATAGTGATTAATGTTTATTATGTCATAGAAGATAAAATTATTTTTTATACACACATAAAAGTAAATGAGACTTACATTTTTTTCTCTCTTCTTTTTACATGACCCCACACACTTTTATTTGTATATAAAAGATAAAATTATCTCCTATAACATAAGAAACATTAATCGTATAAATATATATAATCAAATTTAACAATAAACACATTATTACGTATGCAGTTCGTCATAAATTTGAATTTACATCAAAGTTTGCCAAGTTTATTTTCCACTTAAAGTTTTTGACTTTTGGAACAAAATGTCTTAATTAATGACGTTGTAGAGTTTACCACAGAAAAAAAAAAGACGTCGTAGAGGAATTTTACAAAAATAATAATAATACTAAAAAAAATTTAATGACAATTTAGCATTACCCTACCATGCTACTGTACTGGGGTACAATACAACTGCATCACCAAGTGTGCGGGGAGAGGAATCAAAGTAGTCAAACAGAATCGTCCACGTGTCCAGAAGTACACATGAAGTGTAGCACCGGAATATCCCTCTGGGAAATGAGAAAATTACCTTGATGCCCTCTGGTTTCTTCTCTTGCACCTTTCTTTTGATTCACCATGTAGCTCTTCAACAACAACAACTCCATTCTCATGTAGTCTATAGTCACCGCTCTCTCTCTCTCTGCAACAATCCTTCTTTACCCATTACCCATTTGGTCTCTCAATAAAAGGGACCATCCCATAAACTCTAAAGCCTCCTTCTTTGCTTAAAAAAGTTTGCTTTTTTTTTTTTTTGGCCATTTGTCTCGCTCTCACCCACACCATTGAACCCACCTAACCCCACTTCACAAAATCTTGGTTTTGTTTCATAACATGAACCTCTGGTTACGTAGCACGATGAATGCACTTTAAAATTCATCTGTTTTTTCCTCTGGTTTTGTTGGGGGCGTTGTTTGACTTCATTTCTGGTCTTCTCTCTCCTCTCATTTCTGGGTGACTCTCTCTCCTGAATCTTGATCCCCCTTTTCTTTGTGACTTCATTTTTTTTTTCTAAAATAATTATTCTGAGGTTTCTGTGGGTTCGGTTCTTCTTCATTGGTTTGAGTTTGAGAGCGGTGTTTTGCCTTAGGGTTTTTCCTAGTCCAATTTGGGTTGGTTAAGGAACGACACGTCATTGCTCTGTGTTTGTGTTCTTTTGATGAGCTAAAGTGGGGTTTGGTGGTTGTTGTTTGTTGCTGCAGAGAATGTCTGTTGGCGAGGTTGCTCCAGTTTTTGTGGCGTGGGAGGAGCAAGTTATATGCCAGGAGCGTGGGAACCGTGTGATTCATTTCTACTTGAAGGATGCATCTGGGAATTCAGTGCTTGCTGTTGTGGGGACTGAGAGGAGTGTGAGGCACATGATGTATGTTGTCCATGACCATTTTTTGCAGGCTTATGGATCCACTCAACCCATCAATGCTTGTAAATGGAGGGCAAGGAGAGAGGTTGTCGACTGGCTCACTTGTTTGGTCTCAAGGAATCGACCGCACATTGATGGTAATTTGGTTTCTGTGTGCAATTTTATGCATTTCAAGTTTTAGATGATTTGTTATGGATACATGTGCTGAATAAAATTACCGTGTGAATGGTTTTTGTGCTTTTTCTTTTTGCTCTTGAATGTTGTTACTCCCACCTAGTGGGATAAGGCTTGGTTGTTTGTCATCAGATTGTTACCTGACTTCTTATTAATTATCTAACTGTTCTTCCCGTGAGTTATCTGTTCTGTTGATTCATACAGTTTATGTCATTCTTGCCAACAAATGAATTTATTCATGTGCATTTACCTGAAAGTTGTATTGTGTACATCTTATTCATTTATCAAATGCGGGTGGCGGCGGTAGCGGCTGACCCCTGAAAATGCTATAGCGGGTAGCGGTATAGCGCAACAGCCAAGTCCTATGCATGAACCTGGTATATACACATATAAATGCTCAAAAATAAATATATTCATTCATAATTAAAATTAATATCTCTGTCATTCCTAACAAGAATTATAAATACCGTCATTCCTAACTCTTGAAGATGTCTGTTCACTGGCTGCCATCTTCAATTTGGTTGCTGGAACAAAGTTGGCTAAGTTGTCAAAAGTCAAAACTAGTAATGTGGATCAACAAAATTGGAATAAAAAAATAATTAGAATAAACAAAATGAAATTGAACAGGATCTGTTCAACGGATTTGGACTTGAACAGAATTGAAAAAGATATAGACTGATAGAATTGGATAGAGAAAAAGAAATAAGTATGGATCAAAGAGCAAAGTTCAACTCTTGCTAAATTTAAAATACCTTTTGCTTCAGCTTTCAAAAATGTCATGAAGCTGTTTTCACTCTTACTGTATTAGCACACAGAGTTTTTGTGAAGAAAATCCATATAACTTTAGATACTTGCATGACATAATACGGAGTTCAAACTCCAAATCCATGTTAAGCAAAAACAGAGACTGGTAGAAAAGAGAGTAGAAAACAGATAGAAAAGCTAACAAAAAAAAGAAAAGAAGACGGAGAGAACCTAAAACAGGGAGAATCATCGCTGGAAGTCAGTCACTCGTCACTGTTCGCCATTTGCCGTTCGCTGTTCACCGAAAGTGGGAGGTATGGGCGCTGCTGGTCGAGTTGAGTCTTAGGGTTTTTTTTTTGGTCGATGGTTTGACGCTCAGAGAGTGAGTAGGGTCAGATTACAAACGAGGGTTAAAAGACAATTTAACCCTTAAAAAAAACTGCTGGGTCATTAAATGAAGGGCAAAAATAGAAATTGGGTACACTTTCCTGTAGCGGCACAATTTGGCCGCAAAAGCAGCTGCTGCAGCCGCTACCGCAATAAGCAACAGTTGTGCAATTGCACGCAATAGCGCTGCAATTAATAACTATTTGGTTTGTTTTAAAGTACTGTAGCTACCAAATGTTTTATTTTATCTATGATCCTGAAATGCACTTGTATAAAATTTATATGCTATTATTTTTTTAATTTAAAAATATGTTAGTATGAATGATCAGTAATTACTGTGTTAGCATCCGTAGCTATTGTATTCATGGTAAGTGAATAAATGTTAGTGACCATGATTGGGTTTTTACTCCGGTTTCTGGCCTGTCATTTTGTTAATGTAATATATGAAACCATCATTATTTTAACCATCAAATATTCATTCTTCTTTCTATCTTGGGAGCATGACTTATGAGGTATTGTAATTATATACATTATGATATTAAATTATAGTAACACCTGTGGTTTGGAAGCGACATGGTTTTGAGATGTAATTGGGCCTTATGATTGGATCAATTATATGAAGATTGAATGGAAAAGCGAATTATATCACATCCTTGCCAACTACCACTATGAAGCGGAGCAGATAGAAAAAGCATAAGCTTCTTTACAGAATTAAGACTTAGAATAAGGAAGATTTAGGTAATAATAAGAGAACTAGGGTTCTAGGGTTGAGGAACCACTCAGATCTAAAATATATCATATGATGACAGAGTACAAGTCTCACGGACTATTTATTCTATGTTTATTTGTATATCACTAAGCCCGGCACAAAGAATACAAGTTTCATCTCAAACTTTGGCCACTAGTCACTGAAAGACCACGTGCTAGTTATTTAACTACTTAATACGGTAGGAATTCTCATTAAAATCACTACAGAAAGGGAAAAAAAATATATATTTTGCCTTTGTAAGGCCATTCTTGTGTACTTTGAAGCTGTTCTGAAAACGCAATACATTGCACAAAATAACATGTTGTATTGAGCATGTAGCTCAATTGGCATTGGCCTCAATCTTTAACATTGAGGTGTGATGATGATGTCGGAAGGGGATGTACTTACAATTTACCCAAAAAATTAAAGAACTTAGAAATGTCACTTAATCATTAGTTTGTGATGGGCCTTAAGTATGTGAATAAAGGTAATAATAGAATTGGGGTGAAAGGAAGAGAGTTTGTTAGGGAGGATTCTTCTAGAATGTTGTTGGAGGCTGGGATAAAAGGAAGGGGAATTTGTGGAGTGAGATATGCATGTATTGAGAGAATTTTGGTATTGGGTTTGGAGGTGCTGCAAGCAGCCCTTTGGAAAACGAACAATTCTTGGCTGTTCTTGTATTTCCTGTTTGTAAGGAGCTTGTCTCCATTTCTGTGTTCATCAGATTCAGTATAGTAAAATTGGGTTTCATCAATTTGATATTAGAGCACTTCTGATCTAGGGGTGTTTCTGGTCCAAATCCTTGAGAGAGTGAAAACCATGGGAGCAACCAACATGTTGGAACTCAAAGAAATGATGAAAAAAATGTCGAAGATTCTGGATGAGGTGATAGAGATAAAGGAGGCACCAACATTCGAAATCAAGAAGGAGCACAATCTTGATGCCAATGTTTAGTCAAAGAAGAATCAAGATGAGGCGGATATGCGATTAAAACCAAATCTACATAAAATCAAGGCTGATACTGAAAAATACGATGGAATTGAAGACACAGAGGTTGAAGAAGAAGCAAAAGAAAAAGCGAAAGAAGGAGGAGGTCGAGATGCAACGATGTTGGCGGATTCTATATCAATGAAGTTAGAAACATTTTGCATTGGCAGCAGGATGGGGAATCATTAGGAGGAGTTCGAGACAGCAGCTGCCATGAGTATGCGGGTTTTACACAGTCCATCAACAAATCCTCCCCCAGCTGCTAGATCCGGACTCACATGATGCGGATATGGGTATTTCCCAGCAAGGCAATCATGGGGATGCATTGGACAACGTAAAAGAGATGAAGGATTTTGCAGGAAGCAGAAAATGGGTGATAGTGAGTGGAAATTCTACAAATTGGGTCTCAAGTTTAGCTACGGGCCAGATCCAAACTAGAGTGAGGCCCAATTCTGGAATTAATGAGGGATGAAATGCTCCAATTGTGCTTGGCCAAGGGGAACGCAATGGGTCTTAGATACTGGGCTCATGTGATATGTATTAGATAGGAGGGTAAACTTGTAATTTGAGCATGGAGTCAAATAAAGGAAATTGTGCAAAAAATAATATGATGGTCGATGGAAAGGGGGCAACAAGCGACTGAAACCGTAACGAGGGAGGCATGGGGGTTCAGATTTCGAAGGTTGTCATTAGAGGAGATGAACGACTGACGATGGCGAAACCTTTGTTTTTCGCTGTGACTTGCTTTTCTCGCCTGACCATGTGTGTCAGAACCAGTAGCTCCATGCCATGGTTGTGGGAATTGATGAATTCGAGCCTGGAGACGTGCGTCCATAATTTTGTGGGTCTCACTTCTAGACATTTATTGAAGTTGTGGGTGAGGTTTAGGTATAGAAAACAGAAATCTTGCTGCCAATTGGACCAATATGCTTCAAGCAATGGGATGCGGGTGGAAAATGTTTCTCTCAATTATGGCTAGATCCTGCCCTCTTCCTTCACTTTGAGGATAAGGTGAATTTCGACGGGGGAGTATTGATGGGTCCGAAGTATGTGAATAAAGGTAGTAATAGAATTGGGGTGAAAGGAAGAGAGTTAGTTAGGGAGGATTCTTCCAGAATGTTCTTGGAGGATGGGATAAATGGAGGAGGAATTTGTGGAATGAGGTATGCATGTATTGAGAGAATTTTGAGGTTGAGGTTAGAGGTGCCGCAGGCAACTCTCTGGGAAAAGAACAGTTCTTGGCTGTTCTTGTATTTTCTATTTGTAAGTATCTTGTCTGAGGTGTAAGTGGGTCAAGCTAGGCCGCCAGGCTTTGACTTTGATAGCCTAAGCCTATGTAAAACATTTAGAGCCTATACTGGCCTATTAGCCTATTAAAGGCTTGATTTATAGGTCTGACATGACCTATTATAAAAAACTAAATAGCCTAACACGACCTATCCAGTTGTAAACTAAAGTTTATAGGCCCAAACTAACACGGCCTATCCAGTTGTAAACTAAAGTTTATAGGCCCAAACTAAAATGAAAAGTAAAAGATAAAATTTCTTATTCACAAAGATCACATAAAATAATATTTTCATTAACACATGAAATAATGCTCATAAAGATCACATGAAAATTTCATTAAAAATTCTCAAACAGTTTTTTTAACAAGATCACAAAGATCCTTAAATAATGTTCATAACAACACATGAAATACTATTTTTATGAGCTTTTTATTTGTTCTTGGCAAATAGCAACCTTCACAATCTTTTAGTGAGCATTCTTCTTATCTTTTTCCAGTTTTAATTGATCATTTTCACTTTTTGCGTCGCTCAAACATCCCCTTCTTGAAAAATAACTACTTATTTTTAAATAAAGCAATGACCAATCATACATGATAAGTGATAAACTCTTAAGGTGAAGTAGAATCTGTTTAAAGAAATAAAATTTTAAATGCACATTTGAGGTCATTGAAAATTTTCTTGTACAAAATATAAAATAAACACTCACGCAGCGCACGCACACGCAAACATATATATATATATATATATATATATAATTTTCACTTTTTTTACTAATTTAATTTAATATTATATTTTAAACTTTAAATAAATATTTATTATTTGCTAAAATAACATCAATCCTATTACTTTGAAAATTAGTGTTACACATCATGATCTCAGAAAATGTCTTTAAGTGAACAACATATATCATAAATATAAAAAACTAAAATGCTACCCTGCACGCTTTTAGGCCAGGCTTTTTAAAGTGGGTATATGTCCTAACTTTTAAATGGATTTCTCTAGAAGCCTAAAAACCTCGCGACCCATTTACACCCCTTGTCTCCGTTTTTGTGTTCATCAATTCCAGTGTAGCAAAATTAGGTTTCATCAGTTTGACAAGTTCTTGCTTTTTTATTTATGTTACCTTTGCTTCGTTGATAGAGAGTGGTGAGAAAGATGTTTTTTGGGTATTCAGTGTCCAGATTTGTGCTGCATAAGGAAATAGGTACTGTTCAATTTGTTGATTAATTTCCTTCACTCTCCATCAGTGCTAGACTTTTTGATTTTTGTGATCTGTTTTAAACTTTCAGATCTATCTGTTCTGACTATATATTTGTGGATCTGTCAATTTTTACTTTCATTCCTTTTTTTTTGGTTTAAGATTAAAGCATTACTCGTGGTGTGATCGTATTCTGCATATTGATTACAATTGGTCATAAAAAACTTTCGATTCTCTTTTTTCTTATTTTATAGCCTTGATGCATCAGTAAGGTTGCTGCCTTGTGACCATGAGTAGTCATAAAGAAAACAGCCTCTCCGCATAATGGGGTAGGGCTGCATACAACTAACCCTCTCCAAGGCCCATAACAGTGGGGACCTTGTACACATGGCTGCATTTTTATTTGCCTCTTTTCATTTGGATGTGAGCCTGAATTGATTTGACATGGCAAGAAAAATTTGATACCGTATCCTTTGATCAAATGGTAAGAAATTTTTTATTGTCTCGACCTATGTGTGTCTATGAAGACAATTAAGGTATATTTTTTTTTGGTAAATAAGACAATTAAGGTATTGAGTTGAGTAATTGATGTCTTATCTGTTTCTCCGATCAGTTTCAAGAACAATCTTGTTATTGTAAAAAAATGATTGATGTTATGTAACAAACTTGATACTTCATGATGGTGTGGCCTTATCCCATTGCACTTCAATTTCTGTTTAAAAACCAATTCTTAGGTTCAAAATGTACGAGGACTTTCCATTGATGAAGATTGTAGTTTAATCTTCTACTTGATATATCCTGCTAAATTCACTATTTTGGTTGTTTCTAACTCTTAAATGAATGTCTGTGAAGTGTATTTTATGCTTTGTTGCATAGATAAGGATATGAATACTGGTATTTGTACGGGTACAGGGGTATGTTAAAATTTCTAAAACTAAGGTATGGATGCAGGAGGATATATCATATAGAAATATGAAACCATAAACAATAAATATCAAAATCATAATGTAATGTAAAGGCACAAGTCTTGAAGGGAATGAAACCACGTTTTATTTCATTTAGTAACAAACCAAACAACTTAGCAACCAAACTTGTTGTTATGCATGGACTGATGTGTACTTGAGTGATAAGTGAGTGTTGAGTATGTAACCATGTGTACTCAACAAGTACTGGCACTGAATATGTACCCGGTACGGGTACGGTAACTATTTAGGAGTGCCTATGCATCATAGATTTATGTAGGTACAGATAGTGGAGAATAGCAATAGTTCAAAGTTGTTGTGAAAAGGGACCAAATATTAACCAAAATCACAACTAATATGCAGTTGGATGCCGACATCTATATGTGGTTATTTTAGAGGTCCTTTAGTCGGAATAAAATGCTTTAGGACCTTTTGATGCCAAACTGACTTACTAGTTATTCTAGATGAATCTCCATTTATCTTGTGGTCTTGTTGATATTTTTATTGTTTATCTTGCCCCTTATTTTACTGCATCGTTACATGATCTATCATTTCTCTTTGAACAGCTTCTTTTCCTGTAGATATGGAAAGAAAGTATTCTGAGCAACCCCATTTTTCTGTTACAGGTGTACAGCTGGATGATTCAGAACAAGGTGTAGAATCTCTCAAGATGTTAACAGCTGGAATCAATGCTTGTAAAAAAAGTTTACCAGATAAAATGGTATAGAAAAGACAACTAATTACATCCATCTATATTTCTTTTTGTATCTCTATGATTAATTCCCCATGCCTTTCCTTTATGTACTGCAGATTTCTAGGAAATTAAAATTTCAAAGTTCAGATATTGAATGGTCAGGCATTGGTTGGTTTTGTGCTAAACAGCTGAAGCACTACTCAGGGTTTTGCAGGAATGGAACAACTGTTAATGTAAGAAAATTATTTCATGGGGGATGAGCTTTCATGGGTGGTGGTTTTATTATATCTCAATTAATTATTGTATCATTTACTTCTTGTAAAGGGTGGGGTGGGTAAGTTTTCTGATTCTCAAGATCTTTTTTTTTCTTCTAATTTTCAGGTTCATTCATTTGTATATATTATGGCTGAAGAAGAAAACCACTACCTTGGTTACTTGGAAGATATGTATGAAGATAAGAAGAGGCAAAAAAAGGTGAAGATACGGTGGTTTCACCAGGGTCAGGAAGTTAAGCATGCGATTCCACAGCTGAATCTGCAAGAGGGAGAGGTTTTCATCACACCTCATGTTCAGGTGATCAGTGCTGAGTGTGTCAATGGTCCTGCAACAGTTTTGACTCCTAAACATTATGAGAAATACCTTGCTGGTCTGCCCCATGGCCCTTTATCTGAGATCCATATGTGCTTTAGGCAGTTTAAAGACAATAAGCTTAAGCCCTTCAAACTTTCTAAGTTGCGTGGATATAGTAACCAATCTGTGCTTTCTTGTTTAAGTAGTCCAATTCTCTCCAAGAGAAAGGCCAAGTGTCTACAAGATGATGAGAACTTCACTGAAGATGATTCTTTAAGGTCCAGCAATAAGAGGAATAGAAATTCTAGGGGGTATCAAGTACTTGAAAAAGGTTCTTCTGGTCTGCAAAACTCTGCTCTGATAAATGAGATGACAACATGTGAACCAAAATACCCGAGTTTAAAATTGAAACTATCAAGAAGAACAATGGGTATTAATGTTATTGGACCTAAGCCTCAACTGTCTTTTAAGGTCAATGAAAAGATTGAGGTTCTCTGTCAAGATAGTGGCCTTAGAGGATGCTGGTTTAGGTGTAAAATCTTGACTATGTCTCAGAGGCAGCTGAAGGTCCAGTATGAAGATGTGCTGGATGTAGATGGGCCGGAGAAATTAGAGGTATGCAATGGAATATGTTTCTTCTCTCTCTCTCTCTCTGTTTATATATATATATATATATATATATATAGGCTGGGTGATTTTGTAATCTAGTAGAAGTAATGACTGTTGTGATTTTTGGGCTTAGAAGTCCAATCACATCTCACTAGTTTTGCTGTTGTGAAGCTAGGGAAAGAGTATGATTCTCAGCCCTGTTGTTAACATGTGTAGGAATGGGTCCTTGCATCTAGAGTTGCAGATCCTGACAAATTGGGTATGCGATGTTCAGGCCGCTTAACAGTTCGACCATGCGCTCCTGAATTTACTACAGATCATAGTTTTGAGATTGGAGCACCAGTGGATGCCTGGTGGTGTGATGGATGGTGGGAAGGTGTCATAACTGCCATCAATGTTCGTGGAGTTGGAATCCAGCAGGTTTATTTGCCTGGTAGGAAGTAATAGACTTGTATTTTTTTATTTGTAATTTTCTATTATTATTTTTGTGCCAGAGTCCACTGACTCGTGGATGAACAGTATTCTATTTTGTGAATCATGCTTGTTTGGGTTCGGCTTCTAATGGTTGGTAATATGATTCTCTGTAGGTGAAGATAAGTTTCTAATGGTCGAGAAGAATAACATTCGGATATCCCAAGATTGGATTGGTAACAGGTGGGTTGATATACCTGGAAAGCCTAACATTTGCAGCTATATATCTTTGAATGTCAGTTCCAGCATCAGACTGTCAGCTAATTCTGCAATGGTAGATGGATCTATGTCTGATTGCGGTGCAATATTAGAAAGTAAATCTTCGTCAATTCCCAAAGTTGAAGTTGCTCAAAAGGTTGAGCCAGAATTATCTTGTTTGGAAGCACCTGATGACCTGGAAAGTATGAAGAGAATAACTTTGAGGAAGCCGCTCCATGCCATTCATGAAGAAGACAAGGATAACAACACTGGTGGTGGTAGTGTTGGTGACAGTGACAATGACGATGTTTATGATGATAGGAAGTCACTCCATGCCTTTGATGAAGACAAGGATAATAGCTTTGGTGGTGGCAATGGCAGTGGCGGTGACACTAACAATGATAATGATGATGATGATGCTGACAACACTGAAGGGGACAGTGAGGAAAATTTGATGATGGAGGGAAATTTTGATTATTCCGAACCAAAACTTGATGCAGCAGAAGCAATACAAGTTACATGAATACATATGGTAGAGCTAAATGGTTTGTTTTTTTGGTATCCTAGTGATTATACCTGAAGGTGGAATCACCTTGTATATACAACGAAGTGAAGCCCCGGGGTAGTAATATACATGCAGAGGATAATGAAAGTTTCTGACTTTAAGGATAACTCTAGTGTATAGCTTATGTGTTTTGGTTCAGTCTTTCATTAGATCAATACTCTATAGGATGATATATTTTAGGATGTTTATTAAGTCATGTGGTTGTTAGATGCACAATTGCGCATGTCTTAAGAGTAAAGTTAGCCCATGAGTAAAGTTTGTGATTTAAGATTTTAAGCAGTTTTGACTTTTGACCATATGTATCTTTCAAGATTTTGTCTTGTTTCAAGTTCAAAATCCTTACACCTAATGATATGGCTGTAGCCACATTTCCAGATTTGTCTTCGACATTTTTTTTTTCTTGTGACTAGAAATGAGGTTTTGACTATGTGATTAGAAATGAGGCGGACTATTTTAATCGTTGTATTAGCCTATGATTTTGTGTTGTTAAATATTTGTTTTTCTATTTTTATTTTTGAAAAGAGAGTTTCATTTAACCATTTATTGCATCAACCAAAATTATAGTTAGGTTGGATTTTTTTTTTGCTAGAATCTGTAAAGTCTACCCTAGATAATGTGTAGCTACAAAATATAAATTGGTGGTTTTAGAAGTTCGATTAAATAAAATACAAAAAATACAAAAGAGTTTTCAAAATCCGAGAATAAGATAAAAAATAAAGAATTCAAGCAAAGATTGTTTCAAGAAGGACCATGATAGTTAAATGAACAAACAAATGATAGTTAAATGAAGAAATAAATGAAATGTGGAATGAGAAGATTATTTGTATTCATAAAGTAGAAAAGGAGAGTCTTTGGGGAAAGTAAATGGAATGAATTTCAAAGAAAGAAAATTTAGTGGTGGAATGAAGAGGTGTACGAGGCAAATAGAAAAAAGAATAAAGAAGGGATATTGAGAAGAGAATCGTATGATAGGATTCCAAAAACGGTTCTATGGTGGGTTCATGAGAAGAAAAAAGTTCCATCAAAATATGTAGACACAATCTTTATGTTCGCTTTATATTTATTTATTTTTTTGTATTTTTTAATTTTTTTGTATTTATTTATTTATTTTCTCTCTTTTTTTCTGATTTTTTTTTAATATTCATTAATAGTTAATCTCAACTAATTTGGAATAAAACTATTGTTGATATTAATATTAAACATAGAGAAACAATGTACTAATTTAAAAGGCAAACTTCGGAAAGATTGTGTATAATATCTAAAAACAAATTACAACCTACCTCACACCAAATGTGAATGCCCTAACATAAGGAAGGTTACATATAAACTTATCCCAACCAGGGGCAGATTCAAATAAATTTATTTATGTCTGCATACTTAGTGGTGGGATTTGGGCAGTACCCACTAATTTTTTTGAAAGAAAATTTTAAATACATTAAAAACAAAAGAATATAAACAAGAAAAGAAAAGAAAATTTCAACTTAACATAAGAAAATAGTAATAAAAAAATATTTATAGCCATCTGATAGTAACATAGTATCTATAGCCATGTGTCTAGGAGGCGTTTTGTACACAATGAATTAAGAAAATATTTAGATATTTATAAAAGAGAGGTCATAACTCCCCGGCTTTGGATCTCAACCATCTACCTCCAGCTGACTAAAAAACTATAGAGGCCCTTATGCATCTGATAGTAACGTAGTATCTATAACCATGTGTCTAGGAGGTGTTTTGTACACAACAAACTAAGAAAATATTTAGATATTTATAACAAGCTTCGATTCGAGCAAATTACATTATTTATAGGGTTCATCTTTTCCACAATCAATGTAGATAAACATTGAGCTCAAAACGACGTAATTTTGAGGCGAAAATCAAGGTATTTTTGTCATTATAATTTATTTTAGGATTATAATAGTATATCTTATTATAATTTTTTTATTTTTCAACCCAAAAAGACGTCATTCTGAAAACGAATGTAGATATCACTGTACAAATATTAAAGCCTTACTTATAGTTGATAGATTAGTATACAAAACAAACTTTGATTTGGAGCAAAATTTATATATGCACTTGCAGATACTGGCGTAAGTGTGGGTCCCCCATTGATCTCAATCAAATATATCACCCATACCTATATAAGTAAGAAGGGTTTCGTATAAACTTAAACCCGAATAAAATTTTTTAAGGAGTTATTAATCTTATGTCACATAAGATAAGTATCTTATGTGGGTGAACAAAGTTGTGGGCCCACAATTTTAAAAAAAAATATAAAAGAAAAAGAAAAAATTGACACAAGATTCCATGAGTATGCAACATAAGATAGTTGTCTTTTGTGACATAAGACAACTATTTTCCAACTTTTTATCACTTTTTTCGGTACAAATCAAAACCAAAGTTTTGGTGGTACTTGACCAGGTCGTCTGAATCCATCCAATAGTACAGCAGCGCCCACATTCAGTAATAAAGAAGGGAAAAATAAATTTTATGTTGTAGAAGAATTTTAATTTCATGTCATAGATACATCAAGTGTGAGACCCATCTATTTAAAAAAAAAAAAAATGTCACACTTTTTTATGGTATGTGTAGGAAGAATTTATTTTTTCATGCAACTTGAGAAAATAACATGAGAAAAACAAATACCAATAAAGGAACACATTCTCATTTATACCCGTAAGCATATCTAGTGAATTGGTAAACCAGATAACCTGACCGGCCTAGTCTCGGCCGTCTAGTAATGTCATTAAAAATGAACCATCTTGCTCTATCCCGCATTTGCCTCTATTGTATTCAGTAGTAGGTAGGAAGGAAAGGCCAAGGATAGCTATATTAATCACAATTTTAATAAAAAAAAATGGATTGGATATTTATCAATCCCCATTACAAATATTCAACGGACACAAGTCAATGTTAGTTTAATAGATATTAAACTATAACCAATTACAAAATTTAAGTGTAAAGTAAAATTTTATCTATTAAAAAAGAAGAAGAAGCAGGTTATATGGGCCAACCCACTTCATGACGAGTTCAACCCGCACTTAAATAAAGCGTGTTACACGGGTTGCAAAACATAACCCATCCCCTCATATTTAACAGGCGGGATGGGTCAGCCCAGCGGGTCAATTACCTGTATACATTAGATGACTTAAAGAAACGCGTGAGAATAAATCTCAATAACCTTGACCATGCCGCTTTATCTATCGCGAAATTTGTTGCTGCAATTGTGGGACAGTTTCGACAAGTCATCTTTGTTTAAGTTAATAAACTTGTATAGGTGACAAAAATAAAAAATAAAATAAAAAAATACTAAGGTGACATCATACTTGATAAAAAATACTTAACACATCGTATTAGTCCTTAATAAATATTTATTATTATGTGTATTAAAATTACTTATATATTAATCATCTTTTAACGTGAAATTATTAAAATAATTATTCAAAATTAATTTAATTTAATTTTACATTATTGATAATTTTGATTTTTAATTTTTATATTATTTCATACAATACACCAGCACATATGATAGTATAAATTAAAGCACAAAGCTTGTAATAGGATAACACTTCGTGCAAAAAGTAACTAGACGCGTGACTAATCCTTGATGGGCTATTAATTGTGGAGCTTTAAGAATGAAAAAACTAAAGGAAAATTTGAGAACTACACGCATGCACCTTAATTTATAACACAAAATAGAATAAAAATTCGTATCGTTATTATGAAGCCATTTAGCATTATTGGTATATGACGTAAAAGGGTCACGGGTGGCAACTCAATGCACATACACGCAAAACATGCATTTAAGTGATATAATTAATAACCACGAAAGACTTGCACTCCAAGCAACCACATGCATACAATATATAAACTTGTATATATATACATAATCACGGAGATGGCTCTTAAATTGTTTCAGTCTGCCATGTTTAATTTGGGGTACTCCATGGACAACAAAGAAGAACAGTGCAAGCAGATTGAAGATTATCCGAAGGAAGAGGTGAAGAGCTCTGCAAACAATTTCAAGGCTTCTGAGTTTCAAATGCCTCTTCACTATCCGCGTTACAGGAAAGAAGACTATGAGAAGATGGAGGAATGGAGGGTGGACTTGCTTCTCAAGCAATATGGAATAAGTTTCAAGGGCACCCTTGATGACAAGAGGGCTTTTGCAATGGGAACATTCTTGTGGCCAGATCAATATTGAAATGGCTTTAGCAAGGCTGAATGCTAATAAATGTACAAGTTTCATGTTTTGTACTTGACCGTGTAGGATACATGAATAGTAAAGTAAAAGACCATATTTACCACTCTAGGTTAATTTGATGATATCGTAAATGAATGTCTATAGTTGTGTACTTATAATTGTTCTTCTACATAAAGCATGAGTTGCATTCCATTATTGTTTGTACTACTTTTTTTGGGTGATGTTTATTAGAAAGGTAACTCAGAGAATAAAAATTGCATTTTATTTACTTACTTGAAAACAGAGAATACAAAGGTAATATATAGAAAATATCCGAAGAGTGAGAAAATGGCCTAACATAATGGCCTCACCAAAATGGCTAACAGAATGGCCTAACTAAATGGCCTAACAGAATGGCCTAATAATATCAGAAGCACAAAAATGACAGCTCAGTTTCTAGAAACAATTACAACAGAAAAGAAATAATAAAAACTAAAAATATAAAAATATAAAATGCTAATAGCCCTCTCAAGATGGAGAGTAGAGATTCAGAATTCCCATCTTGGATATCAGAATTGCAAACTTGGAAGGAAGCAAAGGCTTTGTGAGAATATCCGCAAGTTGCTTTGAGGAAGGTACATGAAATGTTTTCAGATGCCCTTTGATGATATGTTCACGAACAAGATGACAATCTATCTCGATATGTTTTGTGCGCTCATGAAAAACAGGATTAGCAGCAAGATGAAGAGCAGATTGATTGTCACAGAATAGATGAGCAGGACCAGAATGTAGAACTTTGAGATCTTTTAAAAGAGAAAACAGCCAGAGGAGTTCGCATGTTACAAGAGCCATAGACCTATACTCTGCTTCTGTGGAGGATCTGGAAACAGTGTTTTGTTTCTTGGATTTCCAAGATATAACTGAATCCCCAATGAATACACAAAAACCAGAAATGGACCGGCGACTATCAATACAAGAAGCCCAATCAGAGTCACAAAAAACATTAAGTTGAACAGTAGAAGAAGAGGAGTAAAAAATTCCTTGACCAATGGTGTGCTTGATATAGCCAAGCAATTTGTGGGCTGCTTGAAGATGAGGAAGCCGTGGAGCAGCCATGAATTGGCTGAGAAAATTAACAGTGTAGCAGATGTCTGGTCTAGTGATTGCCAAGTAAATTAAACGTCCAATTAAGCGACGGTACATGGAAGGATGAGGGAGAAGACCTCTATCAGAAGCAGAGAGCTTAAGTCCAACTTCAAAGGGGGTGCTGCGGGGTTTGCAACCAGAAAGTCCAGAATCTTTAATAATATCCAATGCATAATGATGCTGACAAACAGAGATACCTTTGGCAGAACGAGCTACCTCAAGGCCAAGGAAATAACATAAGGGACCAAGATTCTTGAGCTTGAATTTGTTGTGAAGATCATCAATAAGAAACTGTACTTCAAGAGAATTGTTAGATGCAACAATTATATCATCCACATATACCAATACAGCAATGAAGCATGATCCAGAAGAACGCACAAATAAAGAATGGTCAGATTGTGACTGATTAAAACCAAGTAAATTCGATGTATTGGAAAACTTTGCAAACCATTGTCGTGATGCTTGTCGAAGTCCATACAAGGACTTATGGAGGTGACAAACAACATTAGGTGGAAGAGAAGGTTGAGTAGAAGAATAGCCAGGGGGCAAATGCATGTAGACTTCTTCTAATAAGTCCCCGTGAAGGAAAGCATTATTGACGTCAAGCTAGATAAGTGACCAGTTATTAATAGCAGCAAGGGCAAGAAAGAGCCGTACAGTTGTAAGCTTCGCGACAGGAGAGAAAGTCTCTGAAAAATCAACCCCTTCCTGTTGAGTAAAGCCCTTGGCCACTAGACGGGCCTTGTACCTCTCAAGGGAACCATCTGATTTATATTTGACCTTGTAGACCCATCTGCAACCCACAATCTTTTTGCCAGGAGGAAGAGAAACAACTGTCCATGTTTTATTAAGCTTAAGGGCTGAAAGTTCATCCTGCATTGCAACTTGCCATTCTGGTAGTTGTGATGCAGCAGAAAATGAGGTGGGTTCATAATGTGATGAAACAGAATTTATAAAGGCTGCATATGTAGGAGAAAGACGATGGTATGAAATGTAATTAGATAGGGGATGAATGGTAGACGAAGAACAAACATAATCACTAAGATATGAGGGTGGGTGACGAGGCCGTGTAGTGGGAGATGAAATGGATGGTTCAAAAGTATTATGCTGGGAAGTAGGTAAAACAGTAAATTCAGTATGTGGGGAGGAAGGGGAAGACTTCATGGAAAAAGGAAAAATGTGTTCAAAAAACACAACATCACGAGAAATGAATGTACGGTTAGACTCCAAATCAAGAAGTTTGTAACCTTTGAATCCAGTGGATATCCTATAAAAACAGCAGGTAGGGCTCGAGGGGAGAATTTATGACGATTTTTGGAGAGGGATGAGCTGTAACAAAGGCAGCCAAAATTGCGAAGATGGGAATATTGTGGAGGTTTATGGCAAAAGAGTTCAAAGGGGGTTTTGGATGAAAGAATGGGTGAAGGGGTTCGGTTAATTAGATATACAGCAGTAAGGATGCAATCTTGCCAATATGGCAGTGGTACATGGGATTCAAATTGAAGGGAGCGTGCCACATTAAGGATATGCTGGTGCTTGCGTTCTACAACTGAATTCTGTTGAAGACGATCAACACAAGAATGGTAAGTTGAATACCTCTAGAGGAGAAAAAAGATGTTAAGTGAAACTCAGGTGCATTATCACAGTGGATAGACTTAATAGGAAAAGAATATTGTGTGTGAACAAGATTATAAAATGAAGTAAAAATAGAAGAGAAATCAGATTTTTTGTTTAAAAAATAAGTCCATGTAAAACGTGTAGCATCATCTACAATTGTCAAAAAATAGCGAGATCCCTCTACAGAAATTGTATGAAAGGGACCCCATATATCACAGTGAACCAAATCGAAAGGGGATGCAGATAATTTGGGGTTTAAAATAAATGGGAGGTGTTTTTGTTTGGCAAGAGGACACACAACACAATGATGGGCAGTATGCAAATCATCAGAAAAACCCAGCAAAGATTTCATTGAATTTAAAACTGAAACAGAAAGATGCCCTAATCTGGAATGCCAGAGGGAAGGGTCTTTTACAGTAAATGAAAAACAAAGGGGATGGGGGACATTATCTGCCGGGAAAAGATTTGTGGTGTCAAGTATGTAGAGGTCTCCGTGTCTTCTAGCAATCCCAATCGTCTTTGCCGAAGCACGGTCCTGAAGAGAACAATGAGAGTCAGAGAAATGAGCAAGAATAGGGGAATCACGCGTTAAAGCATTGATTGATAAAAGATTGAAGAAGAACGACGGAACACAGAGGACATTTTGTAGGGTAAAAAGACCACAAATGGACACTGAACCAACATCAGTGACCACCGCAGAAGACCCATTCGGAAAAGAAACCAAAGAATCAGAAGAGGAAGATGAGGAAAAGAGGTTAATCGAAAGACAAACATGGTGCGTAGCACCCGTGTCAAAAATCCAACAAGACATAGGGAGAGCAAGAGGTGGCTTACCACTGAAACTTGCTATCGAGGGAGAGGAGTCAGCGAAGGAAGAAGTGGAAAACGATGAAGATGATGCAGAATTCTGATGTAGCAACGCAAGCAACTGATTATACTGGGTTGGGGTAAATGCAAGTGGCACGTCAGAGGATTGGGAAGGAGGGTTAGGTGAGGATGCTGTCGGTGGGAATTTGGGAAGAGGATGGGAAGGCTTAGAGTGTGCAAAGTGGGCTTGGGCCTGATTAGTAGTGGGGTTGGGCTTAGGAACTCTGGGTTTATACCCAGGAGGGTATCCGTGTAATTTAAAACACTTGTCACGTGTGTGACCAGAAAGATTGCAAAATGTGCATATGGATCTGGGACGGCGTTGAAAAGCAGCAGCCGCCGTGGGTAGGGAGTGAGCAGGAGGAGCAGCCGAGTTAATAAGCGGTGAATCTGGAGCAACCGGATGAGGCAAGGATACTGAAAGTTGACGTTGTCGTTCTTCCTGCAGGGTCATGGAGAAAACCTTTGCGAGTGGTGGCAGTGGTTCAAGGAGAAGAATCTGTGCCCGGACAGAGGAATATGAGTCATTAAGGCCAATAAGAAATTGTAAAATATGGTCCTGCTCCCTGCCTGTTCGAATCTCATGAAGAGCACCACAAGTGCAAGAAGGAAGAGGTAGGTGATCCTATAACTCATCCCACAGAGATTTCAACTTCGTATAATAGGCATTAACATCAAGGGAGCCTTGAGATAAAGAGGAAATGCGTTGTTTGAGTTGAAAAATACGTGGACCATCGCCTGAGAAAAACGTGTCTGCAGATCATTCCAAACCTCATAACCAGTAGAAAAATAAAGGAGGCTATCGACAATCTCCTTAGTGACGGAGTTCAAAATCCAGGATATGACCATGGAATTGCAACGAGTCCATGAAGAAATCAACAGATCATTGGGAGAAGGACGAGGGATAGAACCATCAATAAACACAAGTTTGTTCTTCGCTGTTAAGGCAAGAATCATAGCACGCTTCCAGGAACTGAAATTGGAACCAGTGAGAGAATATGAGACCAAAACCAGGCCATGATGATCTCCATTTTGTAAGAAATAAAGACTGGAAGAATCCTCCATGAAGGAAGATGAACCAGTGGAAGTATCCGCTGGTGGTGGGCGATTGTTAGTGGTACCACGAGCCATGGAAGGAGGCTCGGGTTCAGGAAAAAGGATCTACTGATACCATATTAGAAAGGTAACTCAGAGAAGAAAAACTGCATTTTATTTACTTACTTGAAAACAGAGAATACAAAGGTAATATATAGAAAATATCCGAAGAGTGAGAAAATGGCCTAACAGAATGGCCTCACCAAAATGGCTAACAGAATGTCCTAACCAAATGGCCTAATAATGTCAAAAGCACAAAAATGACAGCTCAGCTTCTAGAAACAATTACAATAGAAAAGAAATAATAAAAACTAAAAATATAAAAATATAAAATGCTAATAATGTTTGATCGATGATGATACCTGTTGGCAATGAGGCAGTTATGGTATGCATGACAACATTCTGATCATGACCCTATTTATGAAGAAAAAATATATATATATATTTTTTATTTCTGTGTTTGAGAAGAGTTTTATGGTAAAAACAAAGGGGTTTATACCTCTCATTTCACTGCAACCAAAAAACTTTTGCAGCTCTCACATCGGTCCTTGTACTGAGTTTTTTTTTTTCTTTTGCAAAAAAACAAATAGGACCCGCAACAATGTGTCTATGACATAAGATGGCTATTCTCCTTTGAAAGGAGAAGTTGTTTTCCCAAAAACAAAATGGGATGATATATTTACCACCAAACAAGTTTAACACCCTTACAACCAACTTAATCATCGTTAATTTCTGTCAATCTAACGGTTATACTTCATTGGAAATTATTGGGTTGTACTTATTAATTAATTATTAATTCTTAATAAATTTTAACCGTTAGATTGACGGAAATCAACGGTGATTAAATTGGTTGTAAATGTGGTAAATATTTTTGGTGGTAAATATATTCTGCCCAAAAACAAAATGTGTTTGTTAACACAATTTGTTTCTATTCCCGTTTGCAGAAAATATTTATTTCCTGATAATCTGTTCTATAATATATGCCTTTAATAAATAGTGTGCTGTCTAACAAAAAAGAGAGCTATTTCTTATTTCGATCAATCTCTGTTTCTAAAATACTGTTCATTATATAAAATAGAAAAATAAACTGATTTTTATCAAATATTGTGGGAACAGTAATCAAAATGTCACTATTCATTAAGTTTTTTACCCAAATGCCATGCGAACAATGTTATTTCCTAATATGTCATGCGAGCAAGTTCGCTACAATGCCCAACGAACTTGGTAGCCAATAATTTTGTGACACGTGGCACATTTTTCAGGAAAAATTGATTTGGTGTAGTGAACTTGGCGCGCTATATGTGGTACACTTTCGCGACACGTGCCACGTGTCCAAGTTCGCTACCAGGGGCAGTGAACTTGGTGCGCTACGTGACACAATCTCGTTGCCCTATCAGAATTAATGTACCAATCAATCAAAAAAAGAAAATGAAGAAAAATGGCTATTTAATTAATGTACCAATCACAATTAATGTACCAATCACCAAGCACAAATAGCATATCAATGAGATAACTTTTGACTTTATCAATCATAATTAATGTATAAATCACCAATCACTTCGGAGTGCCATAACTTTTAATTCGAATATCCAAATCAGATATTTTTTATTTTATTTCACATAATTTTTCGAGATCTATTCAATGACACCTCATATGACATATTTTATCTCTCACAAACATTGTTCGAATTTGTAACAATAGTATCACAAACAATTAATGTACCAATCAAAATTAATTGCGATTGATACATTAATTGTGATTAGTGATGAGTACATTAATTGTGCTCAAAATTAATTGTGAATGATGATTGATACATTAATTGTGATTGGTACATTAATTGTGATTGGTACATTAATTGTGAATGATGATTGATACATTAATTGTGATTGATACATTATAATTTTGATTAATACATTAATTTTATTGTGATTGAAACATTAATTCTGATCGGTCAATGAGATTGTGCCACATAGCACACCAAGTTCGCTACCCTCGGTAGCGAATTTCGTCCAGTCAGCTTTTCTTGGAAAAATGTGCCACGTGTCACGAAATCATTAGCGTCGTAGCGAAATTGGACACATGGCAGTCAACTTTTCCTACGAAAATGTGCCACGTGTAACGAAATCATTGGCTACCAAGTTCGCTGGGCACTATAACAAACTTGTCCGCGTGGCATATTGAAAAATAACACTGTTTGCGTAGCATTTAGATAAAAAACTTAATGAACAGTGACATTTTAGTCACTGTTCTCATATTGTGTCTAAACATTTCTGTTTTCTAGACTTTTAAAAAATAAATTTTTTTTTTTTATTTAAAAAAACGTTGTCATCCACGGTTTTCCATTTCCACAAGGCTCCTGCAGCGTTAAGAAGAATTTGTCGGGAAGAACTCTATAGTCAAATTTGTTGGACGGTTACTTATTTCTTGGTGACTGATTTGGCTCCATTTTTCTTAAATGATGATGCTTCATATTCGAATACAGTATGGAAACTTTGTCGGTCTAACTTGGGTCCCATATCACAACTTAGATTAGTTAAATTCTAAATTCCTGAAGTTCAAGACAAATAAATGTGTCATACTCAACCACAAAATCATGCATCAATAATTTCCCAGTTAAGCATAGGCCGGATGTGCATAACATTAAGAGCACCATAAATCACAACTAGTGAGAAAACATTGCTTACATGTTTTGCGAAAAATAAAATAAAAAATGAATTAATGTTTAATGACATTTCTTCAAAAAAATTTCATCTGATCTTGGAGAAATGAACGGTCGCAAATTGGTTATTAATTCGCAATAAATGATAACCGTTGATTTGCGGAAATCAACGGTTAAGATGGGGTAGTAACATTAGTAGTAACATTATTTGGTTGTCACAATATCTTATCCCTAGTGTCAAAAGAAAAAGGAAAAAATATTTCTTCTTTTTGGGTAACAAAAAGGGGCATAGCCCCCAAGAAAACACTAGAAAAAAAGAAACTACAACAGAACAGGGAAGGAAAGCTACAAACAGAAAGAGAAAAAACACAACCAGAATTAGAGCCTTCTGGGAGCAGCAAGCACCTCATGACCTGGATCTAGCAGATCAGAAGCTAAGATGTTGATAAGATCACTATGAGGGGACGAGATTGAGATAAGACCATGGAAATCATTCATAGCCTTCTTCGCAATCCAATCCGCACAGATGTTGCAAGTCCTCGGGATATGATTCAGAGAAACAATCTAATCTTTCATGAGGAAGACTCGAATCTTAGCTACCAAAGGGAGCTTTCGAGTGTCATTACCAGAATTGATAAGTAATCTTATAGCTTGAATATAATCCGATTCCAACACAATTTTCTTCCAACCATAACTCCACGTAAAAGCTAATCCATGAAAAATAGCCCAAAGCTCTGCTTGTAAAGGGGATCAAGAACCAATAAAAGAAGAGAAACCACTAACCAAAGAGCCACTCCAATCTCTCATGAGGCCTCCCCAAGCAACCATATTCCCAACAACAGTACCATTAACATTTAATTTCAGGAACCCTTGAGCTGGAGCAAACCAAGAGGAGAGGGAAGGAGGGGGAAATGCTAAGGAAATCTTGATATTACGCGTAGTAGATAGTTATAATATGAATTTTTTTTCTCTCTTCAGTAATTTTAGCTGACGTGAAAAGTAAAAAAAAAAATACCTTTTCATATTATAATTATGTACTATCCGTAATACATAATATAACAAATTAAAAGGGCACAACTTATATTCTTTTAAACGAGACACACTTAGAGCCTGTTTGGATCCTCTCTTTTTTAAAGCTAGAAGTTACTTATAAGCTAAAGCTAAAAAAAGAGCTTATAAAAATAGCTAAAAATTATTTGGTAATTATATAAATTTTTTAGCTTAAAAGTTACTTAAAAGCACATATTTAAAGAAAACTATCTCTTTATATCTTTATAGCTCTTTATTTAAAAAAAAATCATACAATTCAAGAAAAACATATAAAAGATTAAAAAAAGCTTCTCCTAGGAACTTTTAGCTTTTAACTTTTTTCTGCATTATAAATTTTTTTTTTTCATTATAAGAATTTTTTTCGAAATCTGTTTGGCCTAATTTATGTTTATAATAAGATTCTAACTTAAAAAAGAGAAGATCCAAACAGACACTTAACCCAAAGAAAAAAAGAAGAAAGAAATTTACATAACCCTAAACCGACTGTCCATATATGCATGAAATTGTTTTTTCTCTTTCATTGTTTTGGATTGACTGAGACAAGGGTGATGGGTTTGGTCCAAACCGATATGCTACATGGGTTTAAAATCTTATCTATTCACAGATGTAGATTTGAACAATCAATTCTTGTACAGATTCAATGGTTGAGAGCTCAATATTCGGTTTCATGGTTTGGTTGCTTCCATTGGGAGGGGCTATATTGACGACAGCCGTAATTGAAGGACAAATAGGACACGAAGTCATGTACAGTTTAAACTTTGGGAGAACTTCATTTATGATTAAATAATAATAATAATAGTTAATGTCTATTCCTACAAGTATACATAATTGTACAAAATATCTCAATGATTATAAATGCGTGATCCTATGTGGTGGTCTATGATGCACGGACACGACAGGACACGATACGACACGTTGACATGTTAATTTTGAAAAATGTCATATTTTGATATGTTAGGACACGTTTTGATATTAAATAAAATTTTTAATATGTATAATATAATTTATATTTTTTTTAGTAAATAATATAATTTATATATAATACATATAAGAGTCCATAATAAGTCATATAACCAATCAAATATTTAAATTTTATAACATAAATATAAATATAAATAATCTTTGGTACTTTGTTATTTTTTCATGTCAAATTTCATAATAGAAATAAATTAATTTATAAATTATTTCTTTTATATTTAGTTAACAAAATAAAATTAAGATTAAAAAAAAAAAAAAACGTGTCCGAACGTGTCTGAGCGTGTTCGAGCGTTGACCGCATGTCGAAAAAAGTTATTACGTGTCGAAAAAACGTGTCAGAGAATTGACCACGTGTCCCTAAATATTGACCGCGTGTCGAATACGTGTACGAGAATGTTCGTGTCCGACACGTGTCCGTGCTTTTCAGGTGGTGGTTGTGTTTGGGGTGACCCACAAATGATAATGCGTAATCGGGCCCACAAATTTCACAATGCACATAAATTATTGAGTTCCAGTCTTCCCGGCCATTGAGGGAAAACACAAAATCATTGTCCCTTTTACTATGTATACAGATCATGCATATGTGTGGCAGAGAAGGGTTAAGCTAGAAGCTTCACTTCTTTTATAAATGATAGCATCACCTTCCGTTCTTTACTTGGCGAACAGATCTTCTTATACGTAATTTAACATTACTCTTGTCATTCGAGATAACTTAACTATTTAGGATCAAATCAACGGTGATTTTAAAATTTTTTCTCTCTCGTTTACGTAACAATGATCATCTTAAATTACACATGAAAATCCATTTCCCTTAATGCTTCTTTCAATAATTGACTTACTTTTGTTTTGGTCTAGCTGCTAGCTATATGCTAATGCTACCTACCCCATGTAATTATGGTGTGTTTGAAAAGCTATGCTTGTTCTTATCTTCCTTGTATACAATCCATAAAAATTAGGCCGTAAATTACTTAAATAGCAATGAACCCAAGAAACTAATATTGATTTAGGCTCACTATAAATAGAAGGGAGCTTAAAATTCAGTGTTCACTAAACCCCACAAGTTCACAAAGTGACATAAACAATATTCCAAACCCATCTCCTCCCTCTAGCAAATTCTCAATAGCCTTTACCCTCCAAAGATGGAACAAAGTGAGGATCATATTCAGAAGAAATTCGACAAGAACCGTTTCTTGAAAAGAACTTTGCAGTTTGTTTTCTCAGTTTCTGTGTTTTCTATGTTTGTTTGGTACTCTTCTGGCTTTTCCATACACCCTCAGTCCTTCAATGCCTGCTTCTCCACGTGCCTTTTCTCCATGCTCGCTCACACCCTTGAAAGGAAATACATGTTTCTCTTTTGTAATGGAATTCTTGCATTTCTAGCCAAGACCTCACTCATGACCTCTTCACCACCCATATCAGATTTTGAAATGGTAGTTGTCCCTCTTGGAAGTTTTGAATCCCAAGAGAATAATGTTCCTCTTATGGTTGAAGAACAAGTGAAATGGCAAGAGGAATACTATGAAGAGGTTTCTGAAGCTGAAGAAGAACAAGAAGAAGGCACCTTGTTTAACAAAACCGAAGGAAGAGATAATGAAGCTTACGTTGCAGAAGAAGAGGAGGTCAAAGATGAAAAAGGAGGAACAGAAAGTGGGGTACTTAAGGATGCACAAGATGATGAAGGAGAAGAAACAACAATGACAACAAACGAAGAACTAGCAAATACAGATGAACTGAACAGAAAGTTTGAAGAATTCATAAGGAAAATGAAAGAAGAGATAAGGATTGAAGCTCAAAGACACCTTATTGCAGTCTAGTTTAACATCTGATCATGATATATAAAAAATGATGAGGAATAAAGTGCTTAAGTCTGTTTTCAAATGACCAAGCCATGTATATATATGGTTCTCTCTTTAGCCTCTTTTGTTTGCATGTAGAGCTAGCTATTCCATTCCTCCAGTTCCTTTCTCTTCTTCTCTTTCCTTTTTTATTTTTAATATATATATCAAAGCTAGATCCGAAATTCTAATGTATCCCACTAATTTAGTTTCGGGTTTGTGACTTTCCTTTTTAGTATGTTAAATTCTGTCATATGGTTTGAAGTTAGTGCAATGAATGTCAACTTTATAAACTGGTCGTACTTCTAAATTAGATGAATAAAGAGGAGAAAACATTCACTAGTTGCCAAGTAGAAGATCATCGATCAAGCCAAAAACCTGATGGCATTTCATCAACATTATAATATATAATTATCTGCACTATATAGTATTTACGTTAAACCCAAAAAAAACTTTTTTAATAATTTATCGCTCAAATTTCGTCAGAAACTACACATTATTTTTCACAAAAGTGAAATCTTTGAAATATAAATGAACAATTATCTTAAAACCTAAAAGGTTAAGGAATTAAGTGGATGTTCAAGAATGATCTTATATTTCCAATGTGTCCTTCTGTGTAAAAATCTTTTGAATTTTGAAGGGTTACTTAAATGTAAAATTATACTTTCATGTTATATGAGATTCATATTTCATATTACACTTATATAAAAAGATGTGTCTTTTTTAAAAAAAAAATAAAAAAATTAATGGACCCTACTTTGTTCATCTCACAACATAAGATAATTTCTCTTCTACTCCATGAGAAAAATAAAACCCTACTTTAATTATGAAAAACATGAACTGTACCTATTTTGTTATAAAATCTCTTAATTGGAGTAAAAAATAGCTCTCTTTAAAGCCTACTTCAACGTGGTGTTCAATTGCATTGGGCGAATTTTTCTAAAATATATTCCTAATAAATATCCCAATACTTAATAAAAAAACATTAAAAAGTAAATATATTTAATATGTTGTAAGCAAAAAAAAATTATTTTTTCATTTAATAATTATGAGTTTAGTAATATGATTAGTTACAAGGATTTATAATTAATTGTTGAAGTACTCTATCCCATTAGGCGTACAATAAAATCAAATGATGATAGTTCAGTTGGTATCAGGAAATTGGGTGGATGAGGGTGAGAATATGTGTCCAATCTTTTTCAATATCGTCTGTGGAAAAAGTTAAAAGCCTTAATCTCCAAACTTGTTTCGAATCAGACTAATTACGAATAAGCGATGAACCAATTAGAATATTTTTTTTAAAAAAAGGCTTAAAATAATTTTGACAATTGTAATCCGTTGACAATTACTTTTCTTATTTTGTTATGCCTTCAGCATGTGACAGGCTAACAGTACATATATCGATTTCCATTTTATAGTGTTGCCGGCACTTGAATTAAAAAACTAATTAGCTGTTTTTTAAAAAATAATAATAATTAGATATTACCAAACAAGAACTAATTAATTCAATTTGTTTAATTTTTTTTATAATATCATCTTATCATATTGGTTTAATTTGTAAACTTAATTTGATCCAGTCTAAAATCGGCTTAAATAAAATGCTAAAAAATCTGTTTAAATTAGATAAGTTTTTCTTTATTCATTTTTAGATACATAAATTCATCAAAATATGGAAATTCAATTTTATTAAAATATATTGATATAAAATATTCTAAATTAATCAATCCAAAATACAATAAATATATGTTCAAATAAATTTATCAAAATATATATGTAAATTTTAAATATAATTGTAAATTATTTGTTAACCTTACGTACGTATGTCTAAATCCAAAAAAATAAAAAAAGATAACTTAAATCAATAGAAAAGCTCTTAAATAAATATTAATAATATTAAAATTCTTAAATAAAACATTTCAAAAAAAAAACACACACATATATATATATATGGTTCAGTTTTTAAATTTAGATTCGAAAATCGATTTAATCTTATCTACATAATATTTTATTTTTAAATTTTTTAGCAAATTTTTAGAATTTTTCGGGTCAGAAACCCCTTTCCTTCCAAGGGGATTAATTTCATTATTCTTTTAGTAACAATGGTCCAATATAACTTTTGTTCCAACGAGAAATTAGTCTTATAGGTGACATATTCTGAAAACAAGATAGATGAAAAAAGTTGTATGAGAATACTTTCAAGTTTCAACGTATTGAAAAAAAAAAGTTTATTGCTGTTGTATACTCAATATCCCTAGAGAAGAATTTTGGTGGTGCGGGACCACTATTAATTCAGTGGTCTAAACTAATCAGAAATGAGACAACTATTGAAGAGAGAAGAGAGGAGAAATAATAACTAAACTTTTGTAGAAATATCACTCATTGAATGAAAGGATCACATAGCATCTGGAACACCAAATTTTTTTCCATATCCGTGAGATCATCTTCTCTGTATCAGTATCAGGAGTAGTGCTACTTGGGATTGGGATATTTGGACAAAAAAATTTATTTTCTCTTTCTTTCATATTCAGATGTTAAAAAATATTTCATTTTAATTAATCCGGACGAGTGAATCAAGCGCTGGGCCGGATCATATTAAATATTTTCCAATATCCATTGTGGAAATTACACAATCCTCACAAACTTGACATGTGGCAGTGCTTCCACTACAGTGCAGCCAAAAGCTTACATTGCAATCGTCACCACATATTTTCAGGCTAAAAAACACAGCCTATGTTAAATGTCAGGCACCAAAAACAAAAACATATTATGCTGTCGGCGTTGAAGTGGACATTTATTTGACAATTGAAAGACTAAAACATCACATTATTTTGTCCTTTTTGTCATGTACTAAATTAAACAGTACTTTCACCGACTAATCAATGAGGCTTCCACACTCGTGGCTAAGAAAGTGAAATGTATTCTTTATCAACCTTTTATTCAAATATGTTGTGATCAAATAATATCATGGACAAGTTGTTTGCCCCCTGGAGGGATGGACCCTCTTTGAAGGGAATATGAGGAGTCCAGTTGAACAAATCCCGGTCCTTTAAAAGAGAAGTCTAGAAGGGTCAAGCACCCTAGCTTGATATGTTTGAGGAGCCCTGCAACTCCGGAACTTAACATGCAAACAAATTATATCCGTAATGGATCAGTACAACAATGATCTTTTATATAATAATATTTTTGTTGGAAAAATGGCGTTTGATTGTGAAAAGACAAGTACACAACTACCCGCCATATGTTTATTCACCAATCACGTGGGTCCAAATATTCAGCTAAAAAGAAAGAGGGAAGAAAATGCCATCACTAGTTCAGCTCTATAACACTCCAATACGCAGAGACTTAAAAAAAAATATTAAAATTCATTACATTTCAGTTATAAAGAAATAATTTTATTATTGTTTCAGTTTGCTCTCTTTAAAAAAAAATTAAAAAATTAATGGATATTATTAATTTTATTTTATTTTTTTATTAAATAATTGAATATTAAATATAATACACATTACATAAATTAAAAATATTATTTAGTATTTAAATATATCTTAATATGTCAAAATTTAATATTTTCTAAAATTATCGTATCAAAATATCATGTTAGTTAGTTAGTTATTTTTTAATATATCAAGAAAGCCACGTGGATACAACAGAATCAGTTAGTTAGTTCTGATTGGTTAGCGTACAGGTACTTAGTTAAAGAGCTCACACGTCAGCAACGATGGCTTAAGCTCTTCTTTTCTTTTTCAGCTCACTGTATATTCATATATAAGTTGAAGAACTGTTGATTGTAACTTGATTTTGATAGAAATGAAAATTCAGTTTACTAAGACAGGTTAACGTGGTGCAACATAGGTTAATACAATTAACTAAAGCTATATGGAGAAATTGGCTCACATTACGTTATATCAATTAGCACAGCTATTAGTCACTGAGACTTGATTCAAATATAGGACTGCTTGTCTAGGGAATTGTAGACTTCAGTGAAATCCTTTTTGTTAACTGAATATGGAAGTAACATCAAGCAATTACTTCAATTCCATAGACTAAAAATGATGTTGAATTAAATACAAGTTATATTCGAAAATAATATAGAATATACCCCGTCAGTAAAATCCTTTGGCACGATCATATTAAATTTGTAGCATGATCTCTAATCCAGGAGAATACAAAGTTGCTGGCATTAGAGAAACAAATCATATCTCAATGTACATGTAAAATAGCCCATTTCAAAATAAGCTGAGTTTTTTTTAACATTTTCTCTCTGTACAGGGATTCTTCAATTTGACACTTCTTCCCATTTGTATTAGGAGAATACTCCGTTTACAATTTTTTTTTACAAATTATACTAAGTATGACCGGTCATACACTCTTGATTGAAGTATGACCCATTATACTTAGTGTAGTTTGTAAACAAAAAAATTGTAAATATAACCTTCACTTTTGTATTATCATGAGTCCAGTGGTTGCAAACTTGCATTCTATTACATATATATATATACAAGAAAACACCTCAAACTAGCTGGTTGGCGAAACAGTCATGTTCATGCAGACTCCACCAGTCTCAGGCAGATTTCTAACCTCATTAAGAATCCTAGTAAGTTCTTTTGTCAGTTCTCTACGAACATAGTCAGATCGCTCCTTTGTAATTGATGATTCCGAAAACAAAGTTTCAGCTAGGGACTGATATTCTTGAAACCATTCCCCACCAACACTTTGACTATTATGATCATCATCATCAACAACAAGTAAAGAGCATTCCGGTCTCCATCTACTTAAATAGTATTTGTCAGGGAGCTGAAAGTAGTTTTTTATTACAAATACACGAAGAGCATGTCTGCATAATATTCCTGAGGATTCAAATTCCTTGCAAGAGCAGTGTATCTGTTCGTCTTCAGCCAACCATATTACTAGCCTTTCCCCATCCATCCTTTTGAAGTGCCGTACAATATATGATCCATTGGCCATCTCAGAAGTAGCATATTGCATTACAAGCAATAATTCTTGCTGCAAAGCATTAAAAGCAAAAGGCGTGAGAATACTTCGTGCATGCTCTTCAATGGGTATGCAAGTTTTGAGATGTATATATTGAGCCTCCTGATGTGCTTGATGTTGAAAATTTGCAGAAATGCCAACCTGCAACAATATCCACCAGAGGGAAGGAAATAATTACAAAGACAACAAGGCTAGTGCAAGCATATGAGACAATATACTTCTTATCAACATACCTGCTCAAAAAAGCTACGCAAACATGTATGTGCAGTGAATATTCCTTTCAAAAATGCATCTATAGACTTCGAGTAAGCTATTGTCGCCATTCGAGCCAGAAAGTAACCTCTTACATAGGGTTGTGCCCAGGATGCCCGAACAGAATACAGTAAATCAGTATGTTTATCTGAACCAAGCCCAAACACAGAAATCATTTGGCTCCACTGAAGTTCAAATTCCTCTGTATTCTCAATGTGAAATAAGGCATCGAACTCGGATTTGAATTCTGCATAGCGAGACCCGAGAGGAATAGAAAACCAGCTGGGTACTTTGTATAGAATATTCCACTGAGGAATGACATGTTTAGTTCCTGGAAATTCGCTTCTAATGGCATCTCTAAGCCCAGGGTCTAGATCAGTTAGAATTGTTTGTGGACATCTTCCTCTCATGAACCGGACAAAAGTCTGCATTGAGGAATAATCATCATAAGAGGAATATTTATGAATACACAAGTAAAATCTTATACAAAGGATGATAGTAGTAAACCTGCAATGCCCATGAGAAGGACTGGGGTGTTTCATCCTGCAATAAAACACAACCAAAAAAAATGGTTCTACCATAGCTATCAATACCAAACCACACTCCAAAAAGCAATCCATATGTGATTGATCGATAAGTAGTGTCAAAATAAACCACATCACCAAACATAGCATTTGCATTAACAGAGTCACCATATGACCAAGCTATATTTTCAACCTTATCACTCTCATCCACTGTAAAATCATACACAAAGTTATCATCTGCTTCTTTCATGATTTTGCATGCCTCAAGAAGTTCCAATATATCATTTTCTCTTTTCTCACAGAGCAATGCCTCATTCTCTTGGACAACCTTCTTACGGTTTTGAACAAAGTTCCTCACATCCCTTTCCAAGAAAGGCAGCTGCCCACCTTGAATCCCCTTTTCGAGCTCAAGCATTTTCACTATCCGATGTATTGGAAACCCAGCTTTGGAAAGCAAGAGTATACGTTCTTGATCAGCCTCATGAATTTTACGATAAGCAGGAAGAAGGCGCACTTGATCATCTTCCAAAAGTTCATGATTGTGTACATTACTAAACTGCACAACAAACCATTGGGAAACCCCTTCTACAACCTCCTTAGACAAATACATTTTTGCATCACATCCACACCTCACTGATTTCCTATCTCTATGGTGTTCTCCATTAGGCTTCTTCTTCACCGGGGCAAATCCAGACCGGTAACAAACAAAGTCACGCTTGTAAATGCCCAACTGAGGGCTAATTCTAGATCTTTCTTTCCTAATAGAGAACCCATTCTTCCTAGCAAAATTGCCATAATACTCAAAAGCATCATCATCACTCTTGAACACCATTCCAACATAGGGGGTAATCATAGCTCCAGATGATGCTTTTTCTGCCTTCACCAATTCTGGTGCTGCAGAACCCTCCTCAGCATCACCCTCATATGTAATATAACACTTCCAATCTCCACAAGGGCACTGTTGCTTTCGAATCCATAGATTTTTCGAAGGTATGGATGTCATTATTCCACTTGAATGAAGTTTTGAAATTAAAGATTCAAACTTCAAGTGACCCAGAAACAGGTAGTATTAAAAAAAACAAAACAAAACAAAAACCTTAACATGAACAGAATAATAAACAAAATCGAAAACCGAAAAGAATGGTCAAACTAAATAATTAAAAAGAATACTTTTTTGATATCCAGAAAATTGCAAAGCATGTATTCAGCTGCCAGAAACAGAAGCTTGAAAATTTTGGACTTAAGAAAAATAACATCGGTAGAACACACACAGAAAGTGTATGAGTTGTTTGAGGATATTAGTTCTGACCTTAAGAACCATACCAGTAGAGAGAGAGAGAGAGAGAGAGAGAGAGAGAGAGAGAGGATTACAAAGAGCTTAAAAGCTTGTTCTCTGGTTCGCCTTCTTCCCCAACTCCTGTTGTGCTCTTTTTACATGTTCGGAGAGTTCCCCAAAGAATGAAGATGAAATCCAATTTGGGTTTTCATGTTGGGCCGGTTTATTTATTGGGCCATTTGAAATTCAGTTGATTTAATGGGTCTACACCTGACCCAATCCCTGATGAGAAGGATTTCAGTTTGGCAGTTTGATACTACTCATGAATTTAGAACTTCCTCAAACGGGGAAAAAAGTTGTTCTTTCTGGATAATGTGACAGAATTTGCTCAAGTGTGCAAAATTAAATCAAGTTATAAGTTGATGTACAAGAAGCAACTTTCTCATGTTCTTAATTTTGTATAAAAATTTAGATTAGGGGAAGGCAAGTCCAAGTTAAGTTCAAGGAACTCATGTTCTTCTTCTATCTATCTGCTGTAATGTCATTTTTTAATAGTGCCTTTTAAAACATTATCGGTTCTCTCACTGATATTTATTTGGTCCCAAAAAGATTGGGTAGCATAAAGTTTCATATACATTTTAAAGTTTTTTTTTTTTTTGTGGTAATTGGCATTTTAAAGTCATTTTATTTAGGGTTTGCTTTTTCTGCAGTTACTGCAGATAATTTATCTGCAGTAAGTTCAATACGACGTCGTTTTGGGACAGAAATCATGATATTTTTGTAATTTTAATTTATTTCAGGGGTATAATAGTATTTATATTTATAATTTTTTAAGATTTCAATACCAAAACGACGTCGTTTTGAAAATAAATGCAGATAACTTATCTGCTGCAATTTCATAGGTAAAAGGAAAAGTTAGATTAGTGCTGTCTTGGACTTCAAAATTACTGGGGATTGGTTATAAGAGTTACCCCATTGATTGTAGTAGATTTAAGAACATTATAACTTTTGTATGATTTCTTAGTCAGATCAAATGAATTTATTGGTTAGTAAATATGTTCAGACTTTGGACTATCAGTCATATAAATGAGATTGTCAAAGCATTAGTTTCTTCAATGAACTAAAATTGGATTCTTTGTGAGTTTGTTCTATAATTCTAGCACAAGAAGAATTTGCAGTTCATGGAATGTTGTCATGGAAAGTAACTCTACTACTACTACTACTAGTTTCATAATCGATTCAAAGGAAGCTTCCTTTTGGTAATCAAACGAGATATCAAAAACATTACAGCAGCTAAAACTATCAAGGCCCTCATAAGTTGAACTTTTCAGTGGACATGCTAACATATGAAACTTTGTTTAGGAAGTTGATGGGTAGAAATGAAGGTCAACAATCATTCCTTTCAGAGAGTCAAAGAGAACATTCTCATCTCAATGGGAAAAGTGGCAGTGCTTCAGAGACTGAGATCAATCACCAAGAACATAATGTTGTCCAAAATCCTTTACACCCTCAATCTATAGCTGCAAAACCACACAAGTATTTAACAACAATAAAATTTTTGTGTATTTACATTTTACCACTGAGAATGACTCTCACATATACTTGCTTCCATCTTCAAAAGGATTCTCTTTCCTAAATTGTCGTGGAAGATGAAAAGGTTTTCTTAGTCAGATTTAACATATATACTCATGTAAAAGAAATTAATTTGATGCAAGCAATCTTTAACCAAACCTAGGGTTCTCCACTGAAAGAACAGAGACGAATAGGAAGAGTGAGAGACAAAAAAAAAAAAAAAATTTGGACCATTTCTCGATTTGTGCGTGTCATCCTTGCGCAGGGGCCATGCTAATCTTCTCTGTATCGTTCCAATTTTATCGGATGTCCCCGAAGGGACACTCCCTGTCTGTGACCTCTGCTATATATTCTGACAAAATTTTGTGTTATTAAGCAATGTGGGACTTCTGACAATCCAGTTCAGGTGCCGCAACCAAAACGATAGAGGATTTCTCATACACCTTTCGCTCAAGTTCTTAGCACAGACCTTTCACTCGGTAGCAGAGAAAAAGAAGCCCGTGCTTGAAAGAGGAACAGAAAATCTGGGATCGAGACTTAAAGAGATATTTGGTTAACATGTAAAAAATCATTTTGGGTAGTGAGGTCAGGAATGCAAGGTGATCGAGTTGAGACAACACTGATGGTATGAGAATCAACTTTCAAATTTTGAATCGCATGCTCTTACTCTTACCTATCATAATGAATCAAGAGATCAGTCACCATTGGACCAGTTCGTTCATGCATTAGGTAACCCACTTAACGTATGTTTCATCAGTCTAGCTTACAGTCAAATATGTTAACAAAATTGAACAAAAGATAAGCAATGCTTCAATGCCCAGATCTGAGAAAGTCAAAATAGTAAGTGATTTGTGAAAATAAAAAATTGATTGGATATATATGGTGGACTACCAGATGTTTCTGTGGAATCTGAGGAAGATCAAGCTACTAGAAATTAAGGCCAAACAAGGAAATCTGAAACTATACATATGTTTTAAATGTGGGGTTGAAAACAAGTTGACACCAAAAAATGAACTCGTGTGCGATTAGAGCATAGCACAAGAAGGAATTACTTGCTCATGAACCAAGTAAATAACAAGCACAAGTAATATCCAGTAATTGTTAGCATAAAAAAATTTATGTGTATTTACCTTATAGCATAGTCTTGTTTCATGTACCTTCCTATGTCAGCTTAATTTTTAAGGAGAGTTAGTACTTGACAGTGCTCTCATTAAAATACGTTTATGATGTTGTTACAATGCAGCATGCATAGGGGCAAGTAAGCAATCCTTAGCCCGCCCCACATGCTTGGTGGCAAGGCACATGTTCCAGGTTATGACTCGAATGTGTGCTACATATCTGCATGGGACTGATACTCTCAACTATAGATTTTGATCTAATTTTTTTTTATGACATAATAAATTTAATCTGACCTTACAAAATCACTTTTATATAATCTGTTATATTTTTAGTGAATCAACTTACTACTCTCATAATATGTAAGAATTTCTCCTTTATATATATTGCACACTTCAATGAACTTAACTACTTGGAATGCAAGGATATAAATGCAGAATCCAAAATTTATCAAAGATAACGGAAAAGTGGTTTCGCAAGTGTTCCACTTGAAAGGGTAGATGCTGTCCTAAATATTTTCATAGAGCAAAAAGAAAGTGAACGAATTAAAGAAAAAGGTGTTTGCAAGTGTAGAGCCACTTGATAGGGTAGATGTTTGAGTCAAGCCTCACCCCTGCTTTGTAGGAGGGCCGAGTCGAACCCCTGACCTGGAACACCACGGTAAGCAAGCTTATCGCTGAGCTAGGCCGGCCCTTCTTTTGTCAAAATGGAAGATGACCTAAAAATTTAAATAATGAGATCATGCATCAAAAGCTACATTTTGTAGCTCTCTAATAAATTTTTGTGACCATTCTAGAGATCCTTAATTTAGTTTTCCATATAGCTAGATGCTCATGAGGCTCAGACTTGAGTGGCAACCTCATACCAAGTCTATAGCTTATATTATCCACTCGAACTCAAAACTTGTTTTAAGAATATAGCTGTTGTTTATTCTTAGCCTCTTATCTAACTGCATCATTCGGAAAAGGAGATTAAAATTTGCATTTAAAAAAAACCTAATTCATAGCATAACTTTCTGTTTTCTTTTTGCTGCAAAACCTTGCCTCCATAAAAAATAAATGTTATACTCCTCAATTGTATGGTACAAATACAAATATAAATCAAAGGCTCGGTGATTGAAATAACCAGGGAAGGTCCAAAAGGAAGATTTTCTAATAATTAAAAATGAAGACAGATTAGTAACTAAGCAAGATGTTTGGTTGCACAGTGTCAATGCCAAAACTATTACGTTTCAGCCAAAGCAGACATGAGACAAGGAGACCAAGAGAATGAACTGAAGAAATTTTTACACTCATCATTTGCAGAAGTTTACACTTGTTTATTTTTTGTTCATATTGCTGCGACAAATATTATACACTTTGGTTTTATACAATCTTATTTTAGAGCAGCAACCTGGTCACAGAGAACATGATATCATTGATCATGGATTTTGAACTTGAAAGGTTCTAAGCCCATCAAAAGTAAGCCTGAAATTGGAACACCCTTCATTCAATTAGAAGTCTTGACCCTCCTGAATATGTTCTGGACTTCCTGCTACATAATTCAAGAGTCCTTCACCAGTCTTTTCACCATGATCTTCAGTTGAGAGTTTTGAAACCCCTCCAAAGGCTATTATTGTGATCAAGAAGACAGTGGTGGAAGCAAACAAAGGCCAAAAATAGGCCAGAATGGTCAGAATTCTTGGGGCTGCATACAAGAGCAAGAAAAATGATAGTGGAACAACTATTGCTACGGTGATATAGTATCTATATTGTAGAAACTTTTCAGATACAACCATGGCCCCTAGAATGAGTACTTTAACTCCAAAGAGAGAGAGAGAGAGAGAGAGAGAGAGAAGAGGGGGAAGGAGGAGGAAGAATGGGAAAGAGTGTGGTTATTTCTCCTTTAACAAGTTTAGTGTTAGCAAGTATTTATATAATATATCTGAAGAGATTCTCTGTTGGAAATAAAGGTCTCAGTGATTTTCAAAGTGCACATATGTTTCCCAAAAATGTCCTCCCATTCAGGTATACTAAGTTGACTCAAATAGGTAGAGTCTAAAATTCAAAATCTATCTTGTGCAGTAAAATTCATAAATATATAAATTTCCCTGCACAGAACATAATTAGATGACAAAGTTCCCTCCTCAAACTACCTAAAATTCTCTCCTCCATTAGATAATCTCACCACAAGACAAACTTTCAAATGAGATAAGGAAGATGACATAACAGTGATAACACTAACATCATTTGCATTTGAGTAGTGACTCTAAAGGTTCTCATGGACGGCCAGGATAAGGGAAGGGATAGCCTATCAATAATTGTTTTCTGGACCAATTGTGAAGGGCATATTAATCCTTAAAACAAGTTGATGGGATACTTTTGGTATAGATTCTTTGTCAAATTCTTGATTGGTCGGTTTGCAGTGTCCTTTTTGGAAGTGGATGCTTTTCATTCGGAAATATTGAATGAAGATTAGTCTTAGGGGAAAGGCACAGCTTCTTATTCTTCTATATGGTGATGTGTATCAAGAACTGATAAATTAATCAATGAACATTCCAATGTCATTTGAGCTAACTTTTGTTCTTCCTTTGGAATTAAGGTTTCTTTAAGCCAGAGACTGTCATCACCCCCACACGATTTTTCTGATTTTAACATCTACTTCAGAACCTGAATGCTGAATGTGCTACTTCTGTAACAATTGCTATAGCAGAATTTGCAGAGCTGAAGTTAAAGGAAATGCAAACCATAATAATTGTGTAATTGTATTAGCGTATATAGACTTAATTGTAAATTATATTAATATTTAAAAGTAATTTTAATTAACAGTGAGTTTGGTATTAAGTGATTTATGTTTTAATACCTTTATATGAATGTTTAGCTTAGCCAATTCTTATTTGACCATTAGTCTCAAATGCAAGCCAAACAACATAAAATATAATAGAATTGGTTTTGAATGAGTCAAATTCACACGTTTGAGTTGGACAAACGCCCAACCGAATACACACTAAGTAAAGCCATAAAATACATTCAATTAAGTAAAAATACCTATGTCTTCTTTTTGAAGGTGAGATTCAAATTTCTAAAAAAATTGCAATGGTATTGGTACAGTTATTTAAAATGATATTTATGCAAAAGAGTGAGAGAGATTGATTTTTAATTAGTTAATTATTCTTAAGTGCCTGTTTAGCATGTCTTATTTTTAACTTCTCTTATAATTAAAAACAGAAGTTTAGCCAAACATATTTTCATAAAAAAAAAAGATTATATAAAGAGTTTTTTTTATAAATAAAAAATTAAAAGCTAAAAGCTCCTTTTTTTACTCTTTATATTTATGTTATAATTTTACTCTTATTTTTATAAATTTTATCCTTTACTCTAATAATTAATTCTAATAATAAATTATTTTATTTTCCATCCTTTAAAATAATCAGAGAAACTATATATAATTGCCAAATAAGTTTTAAATTTATTTTTTAAATTCTCTTTTTTAACTTTAGTTTAAAAGTGACTTTTAAGATGTCAAATAGGCTCTAAATCTATATTAACGACTTTTGATACAAAAGACAATGCATCGCACACTTTGAGGTAAGAGGTAACCTTCAATCTCATAGAGGAGATGAAATTTGTGACTCATTTTGAGGTAAGAGGTAATCTTCAATCTTATGAAAGGAATGACAAGAAGAGATAAAGTCAATCACCAATGAGACACAAACCAAAGTTTTCATTTCCTTCTGATACATGTACTCATCTAACTTAAGTTCGGACTGAGATTTTGTCATAGGAAACCTAAGCCCACCAAAGAGTTGCTTTTGTTCTAAGGATGATCTTTGACTTTGAGTCCATTCAGGAAACTTGGATATTTAACATCATTATCCATTGCATCAAGCAGAAACAGAAAGCTCTATTATCAAAAAAATTGATACTTTATTAAAATGAGAATGGGCTGAGTTTAGACATATTCAACCTGTAAAACCAGAAATGAGGCCCAATTACTAATGAATCTTTATTTACTTTTCAGTGCAAGCAATTTTTAGAATGGAAAAAAGTTGAATAATGATATATAGTGGCATGTGTGTGTGTGTGTGTGTGTCTGTTGTTCAAAATAAATATCATGACATTTAAATTATTATTATTCATATTAATAGAAATACATAAAAGTTTAGAATATAAATTTGTGCTAATAATTACATCCCTCTTTAAAGGTCAACTTATGATTAGAAAAAATATTAAAACGTTGTATTATGTTTTTGTTCTATTTTTTCACTTCGCAAAATAATACAATCATCACAATGATGTTTACCATCAAGGATTAGGACTAAAGGGAAGTTGAGGGCACTTGTCTTCCTTTCTTTGTTCTCCATGCTTTCGCATTACAATTGATGGATACAAATATAAACATCCCTTTCTACAACTACCATTACGCGTAGAGGTTCTAAACTAGTATTATCTTATCAGTTATGTTAGAATGAATATTAATATTATAATGTAAGTGGCTTTTCTTATTTTATATATATATATATATGAGAGTTCCTCTTTTTATTGGTTGAAATCATAGAGTATGTTTATAATAATAAGAAAGATGTTGTATACCTGAATAGACGGATGTGAAACTATACATCCTTAAAACCAACAAATTAAATCAAACAAAATCTTTAGGTTGTATTGGGTTCAGGTTCAGCCTAAGTAGATAGCCTTGAATATGAATATTTATTTTAAGTTTTCTATAAAAAAATATTCAATATGTTATCCGCGTCCATTTCAACCTCCCCTTTGAACAATACCTAGCAGAAGAATTTAGGCCTAAGCCCACCATGTACATATACTGTTAAACAATATATATATATATATATATTTTGGTACAGAAACAATATATATTTTAAATTCAACTCTTTTTGTTTCTGGTTAGCGATATTATATTGTAAATCTACCAACACAAACAAATATAAAATATATGACACAAATAAGGGTGATAAACGAAACATGAGCCTTTCAGCGGCCTTGGCTTCGGCTCGTGAAGGCTTAAGCTTATATGTCTAAAATTGATTGTTGAAATAAGACTATGACTTGTATAAAAGCTCGTTTAATAAAAAGGTCTCATACTTCAATTCAAAAGCTCGGTCTTAGAGCCTCTCATGCTGGTTGTTATATTAATTTATATTTATATTTTATATTTTTTATACTATTTGTAGTAGCTCTCTCTCTATCTCTCCTCAATCCATTTCATCTGATTTTATTGGTTAAATAGGTTTTTTGGATGATTTTATACTGTTTGGATATACATTGAATTTATGAATATTTATGCAATTACTAGTGTTGTTGATTGTATATTCTGTTTTGATAAATTTTTGTTATCTTGTTTTTTTCTACACAGGCTAATAGGCTAAACCAGACTTTTATTTTTTTGTAAATAAGTCAGGCCACATGCCGATAATTATATTCATAACAGGTAACAGGCTTGGTCAGACTGACATATTTAAACATAGACTTAACCTTTTAAAATCAAAGCTCGGCTCGGCCCGTTAACACCTAGACACAAACGGAACCACCGTAAGCTTAGCATGATCCTCTTTTCATCACATCACTACCAAACAATTCTTAGTAACAGATAAATTCAATTAAGAAATCATTAAATTCAATTATATTTCATCAAAAACCCTTTTGACTGTTTTTTTAATGGTTATTTATCAGGGTTTGTACGTAGTTCTCTTCTCCCGCATCACTTTTAGGAGGAGTTTAAAGCTTTAATCTTGGACCCGCTCTGAATAGGACTAGTCGCGAAGCGATGAACCGATTGAAATATTCTTCAAAAAAAAAAAAAAATGATTTTTTTTAAAGTATTTTTATAGTGATCATTGGTTGTTGGTAAAGCCTTCCATTTGTTGTCACCATCCAAACAAAACAAATAAAAAACACCTGATATATTTGGCTTTGGCTTTATGTGCGGAAACCCCTTTTTCTAAACTTTATTTTATTATTATACTTTTAAGCAAAGATGACAACTTCTCCAAATATTGATCCAAAATTATTTGTTCTTTGAAGCCACTTTAGTTTGTTGCTTTCAAATTTGAGTCATGAGTAGTCACGGTCTTTTCTTAGTGACTTTCACCAAGTAAAAGAGAAATGATCTATGAACGTTTTTAGCGCTTAAGCAATAAAATAGTCCAAAGTGATATCCTTTCATTGACAGAAATTGAATCCGACAAGTTAGGAGAGTTAAATTTGAAATGAATTAGTGTGTTTGCCAAAAAAAAAAAAGTTACTTGTTTTCTTTCCTTTCTTGAGAGTTTTTCCACAGCAAGTCAAGAACTTAAAAAAGAGTCTTACCCCATAATAACCTCAATCACGTTGATTTGAAGGTTATGTAAAAGAACCAAGTTAAAACTAATTTATTTTTTTTATAGGATCTTATAAGTATGCCTACTTTATACACCACTAACTCTTATTGTCTTATTTGTGAGGATCCTTTATATCTCAGATTCTCAATACTAATTGAGACTGAAGCAAAATGTTTCATCAGAAAAACAATGATTGAAAGGATAATTCTGCAACCAACTAATGCACTATTTCGTTATTCTGCAATAGATTGAAGCTGAACTTTACTGGTCCCAAATGAATGTATGTTTAAAAAAACAGGAATTATTGTTTTAGAAGCGAAAGTACTGAATTGGGACTTGATTAAAAAAACAGGAATTTTTTCGTTATTCTACCAAATGTTTACACATCCAATATACCCCAACAAAGAAAAACAAAATAGACAAAACAAAACAAAACGAAAAAAACCAAAAGTAACTTGATTAACCTTGCTTTTAAGTTTAATCAAGTGCAGATTAGGCAGAGAGGGGATAGGGGGAGGTTACGGACTTAACTGACTCATTATGTCATTATCATAATAACTGATAAGAATGGTAATTAAAAGTTTTGTAGAGTGTATCATTTTCGGTTTAAAATTTTTGAAATATAGAATGAAAAATAACATTAAGGAGAAGAAATAGAAAGAAAGTAACCGTTACTATTTGTCAAGTTTGCTTCACTATAGGGGAAGGCCATCCCTCTATTTGCGGTCAATTCCTTATAAGAATGAACTTTCTTATTTTCTGCCATAAACCTCTCTCTCATTATTATTATTATATATTGCCCTGTGAGAACCTTCATCTGTTGTTGGGAGTTTTAGACTCAGCCTTGCCAGTGCATTTACCAGCACCAGAAAAGAAAACCAAAGGAAAAATACTATACTATATATACTCATTGAACACCCCTCATTTGTTCTTGAACTCAGCCTATCTGTGTGAGCATTTGCAAGCCCCAGGAAGAGGAAAATGGTGACATGTGAAGAACTTTATGGTGGAGAAGAGCTTCCTCTTGTCCAACCAGACCCTGTGGTGTTGGAGATTGATCGTTTGCAAAACCAACTTATAGGTTCATATCTATGTTATATCATCATTTTTTTTTTCTGCTACAATATTTTTCCTTTAAAGTTGGCTTTTCAGAGTCTGATCATGTTCTTGCACGTGAAACATCAATGGGATTGACTCAATTGTGTCAAGGAGCAAGATTCTAAAAACTTAACCTTTTAAGTGAAGCAGTATGTATGGATTTTATGTCAAAGAATTAAACTTTCAAAACTGGGTTTGTGGGTTTAGTACTAATTTTTAGTCTCTTATAGTCTTATTATTATAAATTGCTTGAAGGGAAGGCTTTGGTTTGATTGGTAAGAAACTAGAAAAATCATGCATTTTTTGTTTGTTTGTTATAGGGTAAGAATAATTTTAAGTGAACACTTTCACTAAATTCATACTTTTTTAAAGTAAGAAAAAGAAGTGATTTTTTTTTTTTTTGCCCCCTTAAAAAATTGATCCTCTAGTGTTAGAAATAAGGCAAATTATATAAGAGAATAGAAAGATACCTCAAAGGAGATGGGGTTTAAAAAAATTCATGGATGTTTGTTTGTCACCATGGTTAATGTGTAAAAGAAAATTCAAAGGTTATATGGTTTTTTTTTTTTCACACATCTTGATTCTTGACTAATAAGTGATAATGGTTGCCGCGACAATATAAAATAGGGGGCAATCAAACATACTAAACATATTTCTAAACTAAAAACTTGAGATTAGTGTGCCACAACTTATGGTTTATTCGCCACTGTTGGATCACGTTCTCGTGGTGTGAACCTCGGTGTTTCATATTGGGAAAATACTTTATAATGTAGTTGGAGAAAGAAACATGAGAAAGTATTTCTCTTGCCACATATACATCACTTTATGTGCTTTATATGATCGGATATTTATTTTTTTTATAATTTCTTAATGGCGTGTTTGTCCGAAAATTTCCCCTCTTTTGTTAAAAGAAAAATACAGAGAAATAAATAGCCCTGCCATATTATATGTTGGAGGTTATAGGTGTGAGAGAAAAAAGGTTAAAAGGTGTTTGAAATATTACACAAGAGACATCAGAATTTGAAATTAGAAAAAGATAATGCAAGCCATTAGACTTTAGCCCATATGAGCTCAAATAACCATGCTTTCACCTATTGGGTTTGTATGTGAACATATTATTGGATTATAAAGTTATATGCTTTATATTTCGTTTATTTCATTTATTATCTCATTCCAAGGAAATTATGGTTTTCTTTTATGGACATGAATCCCTTTATATATATTTTCTTTGAAGTTATGAGAAAGAAAGAGAAAAAAAATTATATGATAGAATTCATCGTTATTTATATAGAGTTCATTAAACTCATTTTTATGCCTTTTTTTCTGAGATGGAACAAGAGACAAGTAACATGATCCAAATCCATTTTCTTTTTGTCCGCACCAAAATGAAAAAGATACTATAGTATTAGAATGTCCTTTTCTACTAGCTTTAAATCAATGTTCCATCTACAAAATTAAAACTAAATTTTAACCCCATTGCAGAAAAGGTTAAGGAACTGGCAACTTGCCAGGGTGAAATCAAGTCCTTAAGGGCAACTGAAGCTCAGAAGGACAAGGCCATAGAAGAGGTATTTCTTTTGAGTAAAAATTGATCTATTGATATTTAGTTTTATTTTATTTTATTTTTACACATTTATTGGATTAAAATCATGGGTATTCTACCTATCTTTCTTTCTGCCTACCTTTGCTTACCACTCTGTAGCACTATTAGATCAGAATCTCAATAGTAGAGATAAATGATAAAGGTTGTTGAGATTCTGATCTAATGGTGTTGGAGAATGATAGGGAAAGATAGGCAGAAAAAGAAGTAGGTAAAATAACCTATCCCTAAAATCATATATTTCTTTTAGATGCAGCTACTAGCACTCTCCCTAGTGCAGATTCAGATGCACTGCACATTTTTTTTGTAAATAACAAGATATATAAACTTCTGTGTTACTAAAAATAGCTGTAATTATCTCTCCAATTCAGCTGAGAAATGAAATAAGCAAACTGGATGAGAGACATAGACTTAACGAGGATCATCTTAAACACAAGGTACACTGAACTGGTACTAGTTTATCTAGGAAGTTGGAACCATGTCAATCAATGCTACTTGCTAAAATGCATATTCTTCAAAATCTGTTCATATGCAGAATCTAGAAATCAAGAAACTGACAGAAGACAAGAAAGATGCATTGGCTGCACAATATGCTGCAGAAGCAACTCTTAGAAGGGTACATGCAGATCGAAAGGAAGATGATTTTGTTGCAATTGAGAGTGTCATTACTCCTCTTGAGGCTGAGATTAAGATGTATAGAAATGAGGTACTATGAAATTCCCACCAAATATGCTTTTTTTTTTAAAGGAAATAATGACAACAAAACATGTAAATTGTGCACAATGACAATAGTAACATCCATTTTGTCTTCAGATTACAGCACTACAAGAAGATAAGAAAGCTTTGGAACGACTCACTAAGTCAAAAGAGTCAGCTTTGCTTGAAGCAGAGAGGATTTTAAGAAGTGCACTAGAGAGGGCTTTAATAGTTGAGGAAGTTCAAAATGAAAACTTTGACCTCAAGAGACAGATTGAGATCTGCCAGGCATATTTTTTATGTTTCCATTTTCACATTTAGTTTCTATAATGAACTGTAAGTAGCTCAGCCAATTTACAACTTCCATGAACAGGAGGAGAACAAAATCTTAGAGAAAACTAACCGCCAAAAGATTTTGGAAGTTGAAAAACTAAGCCAAACCATTCATGAACTTGAGGAGGTCATCTTATCAAGTGGAACCACTGCTAATGCCATTCGTGATTATCAGCGACAGATTTCTGAATTGCAAGTAGGCATAACTTATGGCTAATGGCATTCTGAACTTATATTTGGATAATGAAATTCTGCTTTCTGGTTGATCTATGTAGTAACATAGTTTAGCACAAATTTTCAGGAGGAGAAGAGGACACTGGAGAGGGAGCTAGCAAGGGTAAAAGTTTCAGCCAACAGAATTGCAACTGTTGTGGCTAATGAGTGGAAGGACGAAAATGACAAGGTCATGCCTGTCAGGCAATGGCTGGAAGAGAGAAGGATTATGCAGGTATATCTTCCTCTGAGAAAATTCTTTGGAGCTCATAAGGTGTTTCCTTCTCAACCTCAAAACACTACTATTTGTATTTTCTGTTGACACATCCTAGACCAATATATGTAGGCAAAAATAAATTTAAAAGATCCAAACTCCAATCAAGAAAAGCTAAGCTTCAAGTCCTAACTATATACTTTAAAATGAAGGTGGCAATTCAAAAGAAATTTTTTATCCTAAATTTTGGTTATTCAATTATGGCCAAGAAATTTTTATGATCAAGTATGTCCGTGCATATGTAGGCAGAGATGCAACGATTGAAAGAAAAGCTACTTATATCAGAGAGAACAGCTAAGGCAGAGTCACAATTGAAGGTTACCTATCTGTCTTCCAAGTTCCAAGTAAGTATATAAATTTTTTGCGGGTGACTAATGTTATCTGGTATTTTTATCAGGATAAACTGAAACTTAGGTTAAAAACACTGGAAGAAGGCTTAAAGCTTTTCTCAAGTCATCCGATCAATTCGAATGCGTTTTCTGGGTCTCCAAAAGCAGAAAGGTCTAACATCTTAAGTTTCCTAACGACCACCAGTGGACTAAGAAACAGATCAACATCACAACCAAGGGCATCTACTGTTGGAAGCTCTTTGTTCCAAAAGCCAAATATAAAAGGCAACACAGGCAGTGTTGCTGGGAACCTTAAGCAGGGTGGCACTATAAAAAAGAAATACGGTTCTGCAGAAAATGTGTTGAAGAAAGGTATATGGGCATCAAGAAATAAAGTTGCTGATAGTGGTGAAAAGGAAAATGAGAAGCAGGGGAACCCGGGCATGAGTTTAAACAAATGCAATGATGAAAGAGAAGCAGCAGAAATTAAAACCAGTGTTGATGTTGACTCTAAAAGCAGTAGTAGTAATGATTTAGGCAGCAATGATATGATCTCAGGTTTTCTATATGATAAGCTTCAAAAAGAGGTCATCAATTTGAGGAAATTTTGTGAAATTAAAGACAGTAGTTTGCACACTAAAGATGAAGAAATAAAGGTAATAGTAACAGCTAGCCCCAATCCCCACCCCTCCCTTTTCTCACATTGAACTAAAGATAGGAGTATGCTTTTCAGATGCTCACAAAGAAAGTTGATGCACTGACAAAGGCTATGGAAGTAGAATGGAAGAAAATGAAAAGAGAAGCAGCTGCTAGAGAGAAGGAGGCTGCATCAGCAAAATCAGATGATAACAGGAAAAATAGAAGCTCAAACTCCTCTAAAAGGTTCTGTAACTTTTCCTTTTCAAGTGTTTGATACCTGTTACTGTTAACTGTCATGTTTGTCCTGTTTGTCAAATACTAGACCTCAATGTTGTTATAAAATTACTGCAGGGTGATGAAAGAACATTGAAGATTCTTTATTTAGAGAAAATTGAAGGCAATTTATTTATGCATGGCATCTTGTGGTTTTTCTTTGTAAATAAAAAACCAAATTCAGTGAGGTAATGTTGAAATAAAATTCCACTGGTGTAAGGGAGTTTGAGATCTCACTCTGCAAATATTTATATGTCTTCTATATTTAGATAAATGGTATCTTCTGTGCTCTATGATTGTGATTTTTACATACTAGCCAAGTTTGTCAAATGCATCAGCAGGGAGATGAAACATTATGAACACTCGGAAAAAAAAAATTGAATTTTATGTCCGCATTATGTGTATTAAAGAACGTATTTACCAAAGATGGTTGTTAAGAAGATTATTCCTAACTGATTTCGAGACTCATTATTGAGTATAGAAATTCTTAATGGTATGACTATAACATCACCTATAATTGAGCAATAAGGATATGTATCTACCTGTAGCAATCATGGATTATTACAAGCCTTTTAAGAATATATCTAAAACAAACTGAGAACGAGCAGATTCTACACTATCTTGTCTGTAATGGAGAAATAGCAAGGATGAATTCAGCCAGTAGTATCACTTAAGCAATAGAAATTGACAAATATCATATGCTCATTGATTCATCCTAGAATGTGAACAACAGCCAGCATTCACTACTCCTACAGTATGAATGAAAAACTCCTAAACCTGAAGAAAACAAAAGAGGATGTACAGTGAGAGGCTTTTCTTTTCTCTTTTCTTCCCCCTGCTGTTACATTTTTAAAAAATTGAGTAGGTAAACATCCTCAATTTCCTGAACAAATACTGACCTAACATCTTTCAGGAAATTTTGCAAAAACTATAAATAAAATTTGTTGCACATTTGATGATAAGAAGGCTTAAAATCCCACCACCCTACCATTTAACAGTTCTGCACCTCTTCAATGGTTGGTAAAGAAGGCAACCACTTTGGGCACCCTCGCAACCCAGAACTTTGCCTGACACGGGCAACTCTTCTTTTGGATTGGAACTTCATTGATCCACTTAACATCAATTCCAATTGTTCTAAAGTCACCACAATCTTCACATTCCTAGTCTTCAGGTTTCTGTTATCAGTTATCCTACAAGGTACCAAAAGCTTACCAGATTGCCTCATGAATGGTGCAAGATGGTGAAACTCCCCATTCTGCAGCTTCATACTCACCAGTTTGTAACGTTCACAAGAAGCAGAGTTCATCTTTTCCACTGGCACAGAGGTATCAACCTCTGTTTCTCTTTCTTCATCTAGAGTAGCTCTGGCTTGCTTCTTTGGTTGAGAATGACAAACCATACAGTTTCCCATTGTGCATGATCAAATGAACAGAGACTCTAACCATTATAAAGAGAGGGTTGGGTCAATTTTACATTGGAGGATATTTTAACGTGCAAGCCATCACTGACCACATCGCTTTTGTTCTAATTTTGACTTCTTTTTAAAATATACACAAGAGTTTCGTTCGGCCGAAAAAAGTTAAAAGGGGTGTGACTGGAAGCACTTGAAGTTCCATGCCGACTTCTAAAATATTGTTCTTACAAAAGTCAGAAGCCCTTTCTTAATTCATTTTTTCTAATCTTTTGTCAAGAAAAAAAATACAAATTCAAACCATAAACTCAAAGTCAATCCCACATATAAAAAAAGTAACCAAAAAAGGTCAACAATCTCATGTTCAATAAAAAGGTCAACCTCATTCCTGCCGGCATCTTTTTTCTTTTATTTTTCTTTTTAAGCTTTTTGGGGAAAAAAGAATAAAAATTAAAAAAAAAAAAAAAAAAACTGAGTTGCGCACGTAATATAATTTGGAAGAAATTCACACCTTCCTAGATCACTGAACAGCTAGCCATTACACTAGATACTAGTATCAGGCCTTCATTCCTAATATAAGACATCCAAAATAAAACATATATTATTTTCTGAATCTACCCAAAATTTCCTCACAAGGTAAAGGAAAATGCATAAAAGCTACATCCTACATGGCACAAAGTTGCCTAAAACAACATTATCAATGAGGAAGAGTCATTCTTGGAACACCTAAAATGCTGGAGTTCGAACCAACAACTATTTCAGTTGAACTCCTAGACTGCAGCCATGACTTGGCTGCTACATTTGTAGTGAAAAACCAACCAGGCTTATCAGTAGCCTCATGGAATGGAGCATTAAGTTCCTTCAGATGTGATTCAAATACACTAGCAAAACCTTTATTTGAAAACTTGTGTTTTCCATGCCCAGTATTGATTTCAAGTACCGTTGGAAGCTCCTCCCCTGATTCTACAGCCTTAGACAAGTCATTTATCCAAGCATGTAAGGCAGTAAGAGCAGCTCCAAACGAAAGTTTCTTTAGATGCAAAGACCACTTTGTTTGAGACCTGGACTGTATATCTGTATATATCCCAAGCTTCAGCCCCAGGTCCAGAAGGTCAAGTGCTCTGTTCGGCACATTGGAATTGATACAAAGATCAATTAGACAATTGCAAAAGGACTTCTTTACATCATCATCAATTGATTTAAAAAGTTCTGATGCTTCCTTTCTAAAATCTCCATCACCCTCTCGCTCTTCCACAAAATATCTTACCAAAGAACCAACCTTTGGATTAGCCTTCTCAATGCAATCTGTTATCTTACCAAGTTCTTCTTTTGGTATTTGAGTCATAACATTCAGAAGACAATCACAGAAGCGATCATCAGGACTGATGCCCAAATCCAAGAGTTGATTAAATATCTTCACAACATCATCAGTTCGCTTGGCTTTTCCATACATCTGGACAAGTGATGTCAGAACAAAAATATTAGGCTCAAACCCACAATTGATCATTTCATTCAACATTGCTTCTGCCTCTGAAACTTTCCCAATGCAGGAATACATGTTAATCAAGGATGAGTATGTAATCCTGTCTGGCCGGCAAGTCCAAGAACTTTTCATGTCTTCAAAAATTTCAACACCTTTATCTGCGAAGCCAACATCAGCACACATGTCAAAGAGCAAGTTATAGAGGACTGTAGTCATATCCTTTCCCTTTTCCTTCATTTCCTTATAAACACTCAGAGCATCTTCACTACATCGTGCTCTACAATAGGCTTGTAAAAGAGCTGCATAGGTTGCCCAATTTGGTGAAAACCCATTTTTTATCATCTCCTCATATATAGTCTTGGCCTGCCGGGCCCTTTTAGCTCTTGCCATGGCATACAACAGAGTGTTATATGTTACCATATTAGGCTTGCCACCAAGAACCTTCATATCTTTGTAAACATTTAAGCATCCATCATAATTTCCTGACATCCCATACATCTTAATCAATGTTGAGAATGCTACCCTATCAACATGCCATTTCTCTCTCTTTGCACGATCATATAGGTTCAAAGCCACATCAACATTACCAATACGTGCATAAGCATATATCATAGATGAGCTTAAGTTGTTATCCGGTTCACACCCGAAGGAGGGCATCTTCTCAAACCACCTAACAGCCTCATGTGGCAAAGAACACGTGGCAGCACAGCTAATAATAGTTGAAAACGTAATGAGATTAGGCTTGACCCCACTTTGAAGCATTTCATCAAACAGCTTCTCGGCTCCTTCAAAATCCCCAATCTTCCTAAAAAGCTTCAGGGTCACATTATAAAGAATAACGTGCTTAGTGGGTTTAATCTTCCGCTTGAAGTATTCAACAGCAAGCAACGCAGTATCGGGATTCACCATGTTATCGAGAATACCCACAGCATCACTTTCTAAAACTTTGTCCCCTAAACCCTTCAGGATTTCAGAGACGTGTTGCTCGCTGGGATCGCACGAATCCATAGACTTGGCTAGTTTCACGAGAGGTGAGCTGCCATCATTAATTTTCTTCAGAAGCAGTTTGCCTCTGGGGCTTCTGGGATTGACCCAGATGTGAGTTTTCGATAAAGATGAAGACTTTGCATCTGGGTCCTCAAGTTTTGCATCTTCTAGAACAATAGAGTCTTGTAAGGATAAGTGGGTCAAGGTTTTGGATTGAGAACAGAATTTGTAGGAAGAAGAAGGGAAGTTCGGTAAAATGAAATTGCGCGAAGAATAAGAGAAAGAGATAGAAGTGGTGGTTATGGATTTGCATTCATGGAAGCCAGAAGAGGGAGAAGAACAAAGAGGGTAAGCCTGAGCCATTTTCCCTTTCTCTGTGAATACCCAACGCTGAATAGCCAAGTCTCACTGTTAAAAAATTTGGATATGGCTTGGAAAAGATACAAACTATTCTGTTTTTTTCTTTTCTTTTCTTTTCTTTTTCCTTTTTTTTTTCATTTTCTCCTGAATTTGACTATTTCACCTTTTTTTTAGATAATTAGATTATTTGCAATGGAATTGAGATATTTATAAAAATATTATACATTGGAACATGATCCATTTACAAATTTTTTTGAATTTTTTTACAAATTACACTGTATTCTCCCGGGAGAATATAGTGTAGTTTGTAAAAATTTGTATTCTCCTGGAAGAATATAGTGTAGTTTGTAAACAAAAAAAAATTTATAAATATAACTTGCCCCTTGTACATTATATGTAACTTAAATCTTGACATGCATTGATTACCCAAAAAAAAAAATCTTGGCATACATTGAATTTGAACTAATCTGTTATTAAGGAAACTAATACTTTCATATAAATTTTTTTGTTCTCGTATTCTCACTTAAACCATATTTATATATATTGTTGAGAAATATAATCCTATATTAGTTGTATGGGTAATTAATGTGAGGTTTATAAGGCATTGAGCACTCTCACCCTTTGAGCTAGTTTTTGGGTGGTGACCTCAAGGTTCTTAACATGGTATCAGAGAGCGTTCGAAATCTCACCACCTCCCACTTTCTTTGTAGTGGAATTTACATATCTAGGAAGACTTGTATGTTGTCCACCCTTCAAGCCTAGTGGGCTCTCGTGTGAGGGGGCGTGTTGAGAAATATAGTCTCACATTGGTTGTATGGGCAACTAATGTGAGGTTTATAAGGCATTGGACACTCTTACTCTTTGAGCTAGCTTTTGGGGTGATGACCAAAAAAATTATTCTTATTTTCCCCTTACAGGTATTTCATGAATGATATTGATAAGTAAGAGGGAAAACAGATTAAAAAAATAAATGATAATGATTTGACTTATATGAGTTATTTTTTTACAATGCATTACAATTTGGATCCTAAAAGGTTAATTTAGTGTTTAAAAGACTTGTGACATTAATTTAATATCAGAAATATACAACGTGACATTGGTTTAGTTTTTTAATAATAAAAAATGATATTAATTTGCTTACCAAAAAAAAATGATATTAATTTTAATTTTTGTCATAAAAATTTGCATTTATTTAGTTTGCCAATAATAAAAATTTACATCAGTATAAACTTAAAAGAATAATTTTAATATCTTTGAAAAATTAAATTAACATAACTTATCTTCCAAGAAATAAAGGGATATTAACATAACATTTTAGGGATCAAGTATGCTTTTTTTTTTTTTTTGGGTGAAACAAATATGCTTATTTACTCGTGCGGTAAACATAACTCTTTGTATAAATTTCATGAAGAAAATAATTTTAACTCACCTATTTATACAATCTTATAAGTATCTAGGGGAAATGCTATGAAATGGTTGAGCTCGTAAATGCTTGACAATTTCAAGCTTTAAATCAGCATAAATTTTAGGAATGTGAGTATTTTGTAATTTTTTTCAAAATCATTGTAAAAATTTAAAATATAACAATTATAATTTAGTAGAGAATATTACTATATAATAGTAGAGAAGAATATTTCTTAACGTGAGTGAATGAATCCCCCTATACTCCAATTTGCGTTATACGGGCACATGCAATTTAGAGAGACCCATGTAAAACACATTCTTCCTTGCTACAGATGCTCCCTAGCCATAGTGAGCTCTTCTTCCTATTCATGAAAATGGAGGATAAGAGAAGGCCTTACTTATCCTCCTTCATAGGACTGTTTCTGTATGTAAATGGCTTTATATATTGGATAGCACCTGTTCATGAATACCGTATTTATTTTGTGCCTATTGCTTCTTTACTGACTATCAAATGCATCTAGCTCAGCCGAAAAAGATTATAAACATCTATATCAAAGATTTCAAGCATAGCATGCCATCTATGGATATATTAATATAGATGCTTAGAGACGATGGATAGGTTTAAAGCATTCAGGTTTCAGTTGACAGGATGATGGTAACAACAACAAAAGCATACTACTGGAATTTCGGGTGCATTAACAAAGGAAAATTAAATTTAAGGCCAAGGTATAACAAATATGCAGCTTCCTATACCATGGAACAGCTGCAAAGAAATATAGCCACTACACTAGATACTTGTATAAGGTCTTCATTTACTCTATAAGACATCCAAAATTTTAATATATATATTGAATCTACTAATACAAAATTTCCTCAAAAGGAACAAGAAAATGCATAAAGCCATAAAAATAACAAGCCACATCGTTCCCTACTAGTGAATGGCCATTGTTGGAACACCTAAGACCGGAGAGTCCAAAGCAGCAACTGATTTGGTTGTACCCCTAGATTCCAGCCATGATTTGACTGCTGCCTTAGTAACCAAAAACCAGCCAGTCTTATCTGGAGCCTCATGGAATGGAGCATTGAGTTCCTTCAAATGTGATTCAAACACACTAGCCAAACCTTTGTCTGAATACTTGTGTTTTCCCTGCCCGGTATTAATTCCAAGTAGTGGTGGAAGGTCTTCCCCTGATTCCAAAGCCTTAGACAAGTCATTCATCCAAACATGCAATGCAGTCATAGCAGCTCCAACTGAGAGTGTCTTTAGATGCAAAGACCACTTAGTTTGAGATCTGGATTGTATATCTGTATATATCTCAAGCGTCACTCCCAGGTTCAGAAGGTCACGTGCTCTTTCTGGCACATTCAGGCTGAGACAGAGATCAATTAGACAATTGCAAAAGGGCTTTTTTACTTCAGCATCAATTGAATTAAAAAGTTCTGATGTTTCCTTTCTAAAATCATCATCACCCTCCTGCTCTTCCACCAAATGTCTTACCACAGACCCAAGCTTTGTATTAGCCTTATTAATGCTATCTGTTAGCTTACCAAGCTCTTCTTTTGGTGTTTGGGTCATAACATTCAGGAGACAACAATAGAAGCGATCATCTGGAATCATGCCCGAATCCAATAGTTGCTTAAATATTTTCACAACATCATCAGTTCGCTTTGCTTTTCCATAGCATTGGACAAGTGATGTCAGAACAAAAACATTAGGCTCAAATCCAGATTCGATCATTTGATTCAACATCCCTTCTGCCTCTGAAACTTTCCCGCTGCAGGAATATACGGTAATCAAGGATGAATATGTCCACCGGTCAGGCTGGCAAGTCCCAGAATTTTTCATGTCTTCAAAAATTTCAACAGCTTCATCTGCGCAGCCAACATCAGCACACATAGCTAAAAGCCCATTATAAAGATCTGTATTAATATCCATTCTGTTCTCCTTCATTTCCTTATAAACACTGAGAGCGTCTTTGCTAAATTGTGCTCTAGTATAGACTCGTAAAAGAGATGCATAGGTTACAACATCAGGTGAAACTCCATTATTTTTCATCTCTTTGTATAAAGCCTTGGCCTGCAGGGGCCTCTTAGCTTTCAACATGGCACCCAACACAGTGTTATAAATTACCACGTTAGGCTTCACACCAAGAACCTTCATTTCTTGGTAGACATTTAAGCATCTATCATAATTTCCTGACATGCCATGCATCTTAATCAATGCTGAGAATGTTACCCTATCAAGGGGCCACTTCTGTGTCTTTGCACGATCATATAGGTCCAAAGCCATATCAACATTATTAATACGCGCATAAGCATAAACCATAGTCGAGCATGTGATGCCATCTGGTTCACACCCAAAGTTGGGCATCTTTTCAAACCACTCCACAGCCTTACTGGGCAAAGAAGACATCCTAGCACAGATAATCATAGTTGAAAATGTAATGTTATCAGGTTTCACCCCTCTCTGAAGCATTTCATCAAACACCTTCTCAGCCCCTTCAAAATCCCTACACTTCCTAAACACCTTAAGGGTCACATTGTAAAGAATCACCTCAACGTCTCTAGTGGGTTTAATCTTGAGCAGAAAGTATCTAAGAACAAAGGGTGCAGTCACAGGATTCATCATCTTATCGAGAATAAACACAGCATCTCGTTCTAAAACCTTGTGCCCTAAACCCTTCAAAATTGTAGACACATGTTGCTCACTGGGATCGCACAAATCGAGAGACTCGGTGAGTCTGACAAGAGAACTGTACCTGGAACTAGACGATTTCTTCAAAATCTGTTTAGTTCTCGGGCTATTGGGATTGACCCAAATGTGATTTTTCGATGAAGAAGATGATTTTCCATCTGGGTCTTGCAACGACACGTTGTTGAGGCGGAGAAAGGTTTTAAATTGAAGCGTGACCCGTTTGCGGGAGGAAGCCAAGTTTAGAACTTTGAAATTGCGCGAAGAAGAAGAGATTGAAATCGAGACAGATTGGCGATCATGGAAGTGAGAAGAGTGCGAGGAGCAAAGACGAGATGCCATTTTTCTTCTCTCTTTCACAGCTTCAGACTCAGACTTTGGCATGTACAAAATCAAGTTCAAATTCTACCTATTTAAGAAAACTTAATAAATTTAATTTAAAGAGATAGTATATTATCTTACTTTGTTTTACATATTTCATATATTCATCGTCAATATTTTAGGAAGCATTTGGTCGAGGAATTTTTTTTTTATTCAAGAATCTCGATTTTCAAAAATATGATAAAAATATTCAGTTTATGATAATACCGAAAATTAAAATTTTAAAAAAATTCAGAAAATCTTAAAAAATGACACAGTACCAAACTCTCCCTTAAATCAAAACATGAAGGTAAATTAAAATTCTAATATAATAGTCAAATAAAGTAAATATGTTATTACTTATTACCAAAATAAATAAAAAAAGTAAATATGTAAAGAAGATAAGGTAGGCATAGTATCTCATCCCTAAATTAAATTAGAGTTTATCACATTACCGTGATCATGACTTGAGTTATTACAGATTAAGGACGAGTTTAATCAGAATTAACCTTGATTGACTTAGAACATAGCTTATTAAGAAGGGAGCGTCTCACTTTCTATGTTCACGTGGTTTTATTCTACCGAAATCAAATTAATTAAAAAATCGATCATATGTTATCAAAAAAAAATAAAAAAAATCGATCATACAAAATATATAAAATAAAATTAAATTAAAACATAGTAATAATCTAAATAAAAAATATATATATATAAATTATGTTCTATATTTGGTTAAATCAAGAAATTAAAAAAAAAAATATTATAGATAATAATTTGAGCAACTGAGCTACTTTTTGCAAGATGAATTAATTAAAGTACCATTAGATACACAAACGCTACCTGATTTCACGACTCAAAATGATTTATTTCCGTTTCCTCTTCTAAGAACGGGGCTTCTTGTTCTCTGCCACCGAGTGAAAGGACTGAGCTAAGAACTTGAGCCAAATGTGGATGTGAGATATCACTCATCGTTTTGGTTGCAGCACCTGGACTGGATTGTTTGATGTCAGAAGTCCCACATCGGTAAGTAACACACAATCTTGTCAGAATATATATCAATGCTTGCAGACAACTGTTGTCCCTTCGGGGACATCCGATAAAATTGGAACGATACAGAGAAGATTAGCATGGCCCCTGCGCAAGGATGACACGCACAAATCGAGAAATGGTCCAAATTTTTTTTGTTTTTCACTCTTTCTTCTTTCAATGGAGAACCCTAGGTCTGGTTAAGATTGCTTGCATCAGATGAATTTCCTTTACATGAGTATATATGTTAAATCTGACTAAAACGAAGTAAGATTTCGAAAACCTTTTTATCAGACACCAGAATTTAGGAAAGAGAATACTTAAAAGTCATTTTCAGTGGTAAAATGTGGAATGTAAATACCCAATCTTAATTGTTCAATATACTTGTGTAAGTATGTGTGAGAGGGATTGGCCCTTTCATGTGGGTTTTTCAGACCCATTTATTCTTGAGTTCAAGTTTTGGTTTTGGTTTTATTTATCATGTTTTAGTGAGATTTTCTCTGCTTAGGCAGTTGCTCAGTCGAGGCATCTCCATAGTAAGTGTTTTCACTTTGAAAGAATAATGATTCATTTATGTGTCTCTTTGGTCCCCTTCATTTAATTAGTAATGTTTAAAAAATCCTATCAAATGTAAAAAGAATTTTCCATTGCCAATTTAATGTTTTCCTGCTCAATTTTAAACTTGCAAATCTCAGTAGTTGTATGTGCTACATATGATCGGAAGTTATGTAATTCGATTTTAATGAATTTCAATGATGAAAAGAAGAGCTTCAGATATAAGGAAGGAAAATGAAAGAATAGAAGAAAAAAAAATGTATATACTTCTTCTTTCCCATGTCAAATAAATCTATGGCTAGACTTAAGAGGAGGAGATATTGGCAGGGAGAGAAGATGGAACATGGGATAGACAAAGGGAAGTAAAGAAGCTTCCCATTCTTACATAAGTATCGTCATTTGCATGGATTGGATGATCCCTTTCGAAATTGACTTTTGACATTGAAGTGCATTTGCAAAGCTAAGCATAACATGATAGGTGATTCTCATAGTTTCTTTAGTAGAGAGTAAAACATCCCTTCTTGGAGATCCTGATGTGCCCTGAAAGTGGTATAGATTATGACTCACATATCCTCCTCCATTTGTCATCTCTAGAATTAGATGGTTGACATTTCGAGTTAAAACTTTGATCACATTATGACATTTATGTGAAAAATATTTGTATTCTACCATCCATTGTGGACTAGTTTAACTTGCTAGATGATGATGTTTATATATGAAATCCCATCACCCAGGAGTTTCTTTATTTTACCAAGATTCTATTTGCATTCCTGCAAAATGTTCATATGTGAAAGCCCTCAAGTCTTACAATGACTATGAAATGCATCTGGTTCTTCTGCAAAAGGGTATATGTATCTAAGATTTCAAGTTTTTCACACTCTATGGATATTTTAACATTGATGCTTAGAGATGATGACTGGCTTAAGGAATTCAAGTTTTTGTTGGCAGGATCATAGCAATATGAAATAACAGAAGGATATGTACCCAATAATAATAATAGAAGCATAGTACATGAATTTCATGTGCAATCGTGCATTAATGGAAAAAAAAATTAAGTTAAAGGTTAACAACGTATAAACAAATAGTGAGTCTGATGAATTACTTGCAGTTAGACTTTGAGACATATGATGAATTGCAGATTGCTCAATATGGTCTATAATTCCAGTCAGTTGTTTGCATTGTTGTGTTATTCATTACCATCCTGATTCCAAAAATATATTTAGGTATTAATATTATTTACAACAAGACAAAGGCATATATTCATTATATGTAGTAATTGAAGACATCTTGAAGTTTGTTGAATAATAGGACGACATATATTCATTTTTCAGAGTTTCAGAATAATGACTTTGCATCAAGACTGCTGAGATTAAGACTTATGATGTCTAATTGTCAATGGAGGAATTGACAGGACAAATGTAACCTTGCATTCATTTGATCACTTCTATGACGTTGATCCGCAGGTATACTTCATTGTTAGATTGGGTATTTTGCTTTGCCATTTGTATTTGCAGGACAATAGGAGCTTTAATATTTATCTGTCGATTTGGGTTGGTTCCATATGGTTTAAGGGTCTCACCTAATGTATTGTTTCGGGTTGGTTACTTCGATATCAATGACAATATGACTATATGAGCTAATTATAAGGGACCACGTATTATAGGTCCTCTGTTTAGTTCAAATATTCAATTTCCAACTAATCATTCACCCATTTTTAATGCAGCTTTTTCTTTTGTTTTGGTCAATTGGCTCTTCAGTTGTGGCATTTTTTATTTTATTTTTTTGTTAATTACTGATCAGATGAGGTTAGAACTACCAAACTTGATTAAATAGCTGGGTATTTGAAAAAAATAATAATTAAAAAAAGAACATGAATTGGACGGCTATATTTTTTAGATAATTTAGGATCATATGCCGCTAATGACACTGAGCACAAGCAGTTTCCTTAAATACTAGCTATTTTATTTGACATATCTGTCCAGAGCATGTGGAAGAAGGTGACAAATTTTGATGGCATCGTAACTTCGAAAGAATTTTGAAATGATGATGCTTAAGAATTGAGATGATCCTATAATATAATGTGGACTTTGGCTCCAGATGGTGGCTGCACTTCTTATTTACTATCTATAGATGATTCTAGGGGTGTTAACGGGCGGAGCCGAGCTTTGATCTTAACGGGCCAAGCCTATATTTAAACGTGTCCGACTGGTCTTAGCCTGTTACCTGTTACGAATATAATATTGGCCTGTGGCCTGATTTATTTACAAAAAATAAAAGCCTGTATGAAGTCTGTCTTAGCCTGTTAGCATGTTAAAGAATAAAAATAAGAGAACAAAATTCCACAAAAAATCAATTTCCAGATAGAAACCTTAGCTTCCAATTTGCAGCAATAATTTACAAAGTCTACAATAAATAAATAAAATTAAAGTGAGAGAAGGTAGATAATAGGTTATATTATCTTAGCCTATTATAAAAAAAGTGCCAACAAAAATAAAAATAAAATAAATAAAATAAAAAATAAATTGACACAAACGAGCAGTGCACAGTGGAATGAATGAGTTTTTGTGGGTTTGTTTGTGTGAAGGAGGATGAAGGATAATATAGAACAATATTAGTAATTCCATAAATATACATAAATTCAATATATATCCAAATAGCATAATATAGAACAAAATCATTCAAAAAGTCTGTTAAACCAATAAAATGGGGTGAAATAAATTGATGAGAGAGTTATTACAAGTAGTATAAAAATTATAAATAAATATTTATATACTAGGCTAGCCTGGGAGGCTCTAAGACCGAGCTTCTGAATTAGAGCCTGATGCCTTTTTATTAAACGAGCTTTTATGCAAGTCCAAGTCTGGTTCCAACACGAGTTTTTATTAAACAAACTCATGCCTTTACGAGCCGAGCTAGAGGTCCCTGAAAGGCTCCTGATTTGTTTACTACCGCTAGATGATTGTATGACCTCATCATCGAATGATTAATTTAGAGACCCCATTTTCCTCAGCCGAATGCTACTTGGCCCTTCCAAATTCCAATGTATAATTTCATACGTTTCACCTACATTTTTTTCCAACTTGATGTTACTTCTTTCATAATTCTCCTTTACTTTATTCGATTTGTCAAAAAGCAATCTTTTATGGGGTTGAAAGTTGAAACATATCTCTGATATCAAACGAAAATGTGAAAGCTTCTAATTAAGGAAGAAGAATAGAGATTGTATATCATGTGAACTTTGGTACAGCTAACTATATAAAGTGTTGATTATTCTGAAGAAAAAAAACAAATGAAGAGTTGATTGAATTGCATTAAATTCCGTGAAATAATTAAATAAGATAAAGTAAACATTATCTTTAGGTGAAAGCGACTCTTATCTCTTCTACCAAAATAAGCATTTTCTTCTGATATTACTTTTCAACATCTTTGCTTCCAAGAGGCGAAACTAAAACTAACGTAAGCAGGATCACCCCTTGCTAGCTATGGTATGGTGTATTTCAGCTTCGGTATGCATGAAGTATGGTTATTTCGACTCTTATACCTTAAACATTTTTTAAGCCCTTTCTCATGATTAAGCTTCCATGCATTTCCCATAGACTAACGAAATTTTTTGTGTAAAAGTTACATTGTATTTTAATATCTAGCTGTTTTCGTTCAGATTCGGTGTAGGTTCATGGATCCAATAACCAGGTTGGAAAAGCCAAAACTGTGGGTGTAGGAAAAAAGAGGATAATGGTTGTCAATTTGTCATTGTCTACTCATGGAGTGTTTGGTAAGAGGTTTCTTTTTAGTATGACTGAAAAAATTGAGATGGATTTTCTGGATGATTATGTTTGGTAGGAGATTTTTTTAAAAAATTGATCATCATTCGAATTTGCATAGCAATCTTAGTTTGTGTGTAAAATTGAAAAAATTTGACATTTCAGAATACCTTCTAGATGGTGGTATTCTCATTACCCCATCAAACCAAAAAGTAGAAAAAAAAAAGAGCAACTGACACAAATATCTCTTCAAAAAATATACCAAAAGAAAGCTAGAGAGAGAGAGTCTTCTTTATATTTAGTCAAGGGTTAATTTGTTAATTTCATCCCATTTTCTTATTAATATTTTAACTTCATTCAAACATAGATTTAGAAAATGTAACCTAATTTTTTCGGTAATATTTTGACCTACCAAACAACTTTTTTTAACTTTTCTACCATATTCTTAATAATTGTATTTTGCTGATAAATTTTTTTTTCTCCCAAACGCTCGATTAGGTCATTAAGTAATAATCACTAAAGCATGAGTAGCAACACTATTCAAATTTATTTACATGACAATATGCGAAAGAACTCTTAACAGTTGATCATGATCGTTTTATATCAATATATCCAATTTTTTATATATGTGAAAAATTGTCCCCAAAAAATTCCTCCAACATATAGTGCCATAGAAAAGAACTTCATAGGATAATGACATTATCAGAGAGTCGTTATTATGACATTGACCAAATAAAAAGTACTAGTGGGTGATTGTGGTTAGGAAGTTCATGATTCTCAACAAAATGAATTTAATAAAGCAAATCTACTGCGCAAGTTAGATATCTTGCCGTAAAGAAACTTTATTATCTTACCAAACGTAAAGTGAAACATCGATCTTAGTATTATGTATTGGCATTTAACCCAACCCACTAAATAACCTTTTATTTCCCCACATTTCATTTTTCTTTCCTATGAAACGCTTAAGATTTTAATAACATAAACAAAAAATAAAATAAAATAACATAGTTCCTTGGATGAGATTAACGTGCATGGCCACCATTTACAGATCCAAATCAGTGGTGTGCATGTGATCACATAATTGTGCACCCTGAAGCGTTTTCTTCGCTGAAATATTGATCAGATCGGTTCACATAATAGGGTCTGCCTCCACCGTAACTATCATAAACGGGCCTTGCATTGTAGCCATCGTAATGAAGCACGGGCCCACCATAATCATTGTAGTAGGGCCCAACTGGCCTACCCTCATAGCATGGAACAGAATATATCCCAACTGGACCCACCATCGGCGCTGGCGCCGGTGGATTCACGGCAACCGGAGGAGGTGCGGGCTTTTCCTTGGGCTTTTCAGCAGCTTCCTTCTTGGGAGCATCCGATTTAGGCTTTTCTCCTCCCTCTTTCTTTTTCTCGGGCTCAGCAGCAGGCTTGGGTTTGGGTTTCTCACCACCATCCTTCTTTTTCTCGGGCTCAGCGGGCTTGGGCTTCTCACCACCATCCTTCTTCTTCTCGGGCTCAGCGGGCTTGGGCTTGGGCGGTTCCACTATTTCAATTGTCTTGATGGAACCCCCACCTTTGTAGCAAAGCTTGTCCCTTATCTTCTCAGGGGAACAACATACAACTGTGATTGTCACAATGTTTTGTTTCTCGTCGAACTTCTGGTCTCGAATTTCTCTTGTTCACAAAATTTCAAACACCGACAAAAATTAACTCAATTTGACACCCTCTTTCATGTTTTCTAAATCCAAATTTTCACTATGATTCTAATAAATAAATTAAAACAATAATCAAGTGGTGATGGACTCACGAGGAATCTTGCAGAGAACTTTCTTCACCTTCTTGGTGCATTTCTCACACTCAAGGTCAACCTTAAGCTTCATGATGGTAACCTGAATGAAAATGTTCAAGAAAATCACCCATTAGAATTTATGATAGATATATTCAAGCACAAAAACAGAACCAGCTAATTAAGCAAGAATTGAAAATCGTATTTTTTTATTTTTCATTTTGTAAACAAGGACCACAAAAATAAAACATTTATCTAAAAGGGTATAATATATTTGCTTTGGAGATGAGAAAGAGAAGTAAAATCCACGTACCTTTTCAGCCATGACTATGGAATCAGAGTTCAGATCTGAGACACACAGATAAAAAGGTTAGAGAATGCAACAAAACAACACAGATGAGAGGGACAGAAAAGCAAACTTAAGGAGATAAGATATTAGAGAATGCAACACCTTAATGTTTAAAATTGTGGTTACACGGATGAGGACACTGAAGCTGGCCGAACAGGAAGGTTTCTACGCTGTTAATACTTAATATGTAGTCACAATTCACAAAGGATTGATGACTATATAAGTCAGCACAATGCATCCATCACCATGTGCTGTCTTTGATTTACATGCCCAACCTTATTGACTCTGCATGTTCTAGTCCCTATTAATAGTAGTTTATTAAATGCCAAATTTGTCCTATAAAATATTTACCCTCATTATTTTTAACTATTTTTTTATTATTTGTATGTATAGTTTTTATGAATTTGGTTATATTATATGTGCACTAATGATCATGTACCACCACATGCCAACCGTACACGTGTCTCAAGGCCTAGTGCCTCACATATATAATGTAAGATCTTATAATATTTACACCGCAGAAAGAGATCAAGATATCATGCTCCATTCCAATGGCGAGTTATGGATCTGGACAAAAACTTGAGCTGTTTTAAATTATTTAGAGGGTGGAAATGAGGAATACCACCACTACCTAATTCATTGGTTACAGATGCTCCAAATTTGTGGGCTCCAGATAGTGTGTCCACAAATTCCTTCGAGGTGACGAAAGTTTACCTATCATATATAGTTCTTAACCAAATGTGAGTGTTGCTTCTTGCAGCTTGTGTGAACGTGGTTCATTATGGTGAATGAATTATGAATGTGATTTTAGGCTTTTAGCTTTGGAGCTATATTCATAATTGGACCCCTTTTTCTATTTCTATGACTTTTGTTGCTGGTGTCTTTCTATTTATTTTTTATTGTGGTGATGGCTTGATTGGATAGGTTTATCTGATTTTATTTTACTAATCTTTTTATTTTAGTTTTAATTTTAAATTCATTTGAATCTAATATAACACATTTAAATTGAATTAAATTTTCAGCTTTTTTATATTTATTGAAAATACAGTAAATACTTTATAATATATATATATATATATATATATATATATATATATATATAATAGAAACAAGTTCGAAGTATCAAATATCTTACCTTATAAGTTATAACATAATTGATGCTAGTAAAAAAAAAATTAGAATACTAAAAGAAAATCTACACGTACATTGACACAATTTTTTTCATGTTCCAAATTTTTTAATAAAAATTTATAATCTAACATGTTGGTATCTATATTCGCTCAAATATACTTTCCATTCAAATACTAAGAAATTATTTTCACTCAAAAATACTTTTTTATAAATAAGTATGAGTTGTATAATAATTTCATCAATATATAAATACAAGTTTTATAACAAATTCATAAATAAAATTATATATGTGTAAGTTCATTTTAATTTTAAAAATTAATACTAAAAGTCGATTCAATCCAATTAAAAAATAAATATATTTTTTATTTTTCAATTTCATTAAATTGAAATCATTAAATCATTTTATAAACACCCCCGTTAGCTAATATTTTCCTTTTTTTTAATTTTTTTTTTTGTTTCCTGTGGATAAGAGCTCCATCATTTACCAAAAAAAAAAAAAAAGAGCTCCATCTGGAAGGTTACATGAAACGTGATGTTTTTAGCTACCACCACTAAAATTATTGCACTATGAAACATGATTCTTAAAACGACTGCAACTCTGCAAGGATACATTGGATACCCATAAATATAAGGATCAGTTTTGGCAGCATATACGAGATAAAATTCGTCCTTCTATTTAAAAGAATTCTAATTTAAGTTATATAGAAATTCGAAAGGTCATCAAATATTTTAAATTTTGAGAAAATATAAGGTTATTTGATTATATTATCCTATCATTTTATTCATACTCTCTTATTTTACTCAATGAATATACTAAAAGATAATGATAGAATTAGTAAAAAGTGATGGGTACTTTTTAATCTTTCAAAAGCGAAAAATAAATTAAAACAAACAAAAAAATTATAAAATGAGAGAATTAATAGATACAGAAAGTTTGATTTCGATTATTTTTTAGGAACTTTTTTAAAAATAATAAAATTTTAATAATAAGATATTTTAATATAATATAACCTTATCAAACATTTTTAGATTCAATAACAAAGTTGTTTTTTACTATTGAATAGCTATTTGGGGATAGTATACTGTGGACTTCAATGGTATTCCTAACATAGGAGTTATTGGGTAACCTTTTATAAGTATTTTGTGTTTTGTTCCTTTTGGTGTCGTTTGTGTTTTATTGCTACAGGTTTAGTGTATTGAACATATATATATAAAACTGATCTCCCTTTATTCATTAAGTTTTTTCTACCCGATTGATATATCTCTCTCTTTGTCTTTCTCTCTCGTTCAAAAGCGCTCTGAAACCCTATCATAGGGTTTGCTGATTTCATCAAGAAATCACCCTTTTGGTTTGGTTAATCTTGTGATTACCTGTGTGCTTCTTCTTCTCCTTGTGTGCACCTTTGTTTTCTCGTTCTCTTTTGCAGGATTGATCGAAGATCAAGATCAGGAGCGGCTGGGTTGTTCGCTCGGGACTTGGTGGCTTTAATCCAAGATCGTAGAAGCTCACTGGTTCAGCTGGTGCATGGGTATCTGATACTTTGTGTGATATTACATGCCAGTGTGTGTTTTCTTTTCGTTCTTGTAATCTGATGCATGTTTAGATCTCTTAGATGCTGTTCTTTAGAGTGTTGCTTTTGATTCTGAGTTGTAGATGCTTTATGTCTTTGCACATTGTATTGGGGTTCTGATTTAATGCAAGTTGATAAAGGGGATTTTAGCCCTTTGTCCTTGATGTAGGAAACTTGCTAATAACAAGTTTCTGAACAAGTAAAAATCATTGTGCCTCCTGTAAATTTTCTTCTGTTAACTTGTATCTCCACGATTAAATTTACAACAATTAGTATCAAGAGCTTCGGTTCTTGTTTTCTCTCTTTTCTGTGATTCGTGAAATTGCTTCTGCTGCTATCTCTGATCTCCCCTCCCTGTTAAATCTGTAAACGTGTGTCTTTTGCCTGAACTGTTGTTGTTCCTTTTTGGATAATGTTCTGTTATAGCTGTTGGTTGTATTCTCGTCTTTCTTGGATACAATCCTTCTTTTGTTGGCTAGAATCTTGTTTTAGCTGGTTGTACAACATGGGATCTGCACGCGTGGAGGTGGAGAAATACGATGGAAAGGGTGATTTTAATATGTGGGGGAAGAAGATGAAGGCTGTTCTTGTTCATCAGAAATGTGCAAAGGCTCTTGGTGGAGAAAAGGACCTTCTTGTTACTCTTAGCCCTGATGAGAAGGCTGATATGCTAGAAATAGCTTACAGTCTTCTTATTCTTCACTTGTCTGATAATGTTTTAAGACAAGTTGATGATGAGACCACCCCTGGTGGGGTTTGGCTCAAACTAGAATCTTTATTCATGACCAAATCCCTCTCTAATAAAATTTACCTTAAGGAAAAATTATTTGGCTTTAGGATGGAGTCTGGGAAGTCCCTTGATGACAACCTAGATGAGTTCAAAAAAATAACAATTAGCCTAGCCAACATAGATGAAAAAAATCTCAGATGAAAACCAGGCTATTATTCTTCTCAATGCCTTGCCTGACACCTATAAGGATGTCAAGGCTGCCATCAAGTATGGCAGGGAGTCCTTAGGACTTGAGGATGTGCTAGGTGCTCTAAAGTCAAAGGAAATGGAACTTAATTCAAATAAAAAGGGGGTTGCTGAAGGTCTTAGTGTTAAGGGTAAACAAGGAAAGAAAGGTCAGTTTAATAAAAATAAAAATAAGAATTATAATAATTCTAATAATAACAGTAATAATAATAAGACTCAAAGTAGTAGCAAGGTAACTTGCTGGCAGTGTCATAAAGAAGGGCACGTGAAGAAAAACTGCCCTGATCTTAAAAATAAGAATCAATCTTCTAACTCAAATAAAACTGAGTGTGCCAATGTTTTGAGTGGCTATGATAGTGCTGAGGTGTTGGCACTGTCATGTGTCTCTCATGAAGAGGAATGAGTGATGGATTCTGGCTGCACCTTCCACATGACACCTAGGAGAGATTACCTTTGGGGCTATAAACCCCTAGAAGGTGGTAAGGTCCTCATGGGTAATGACCATACCTGTGAAGTGACTGGTGTAGGGGCTGTAAAACTTAAATTGGGTGATGGTTCTCTCAAAATCCTAAAGAATGTTAGGCATGTTCCAAACCTTAGAAGAAATCTAATATCTCTTGGGATGTTAGATACTGCTGGTTTCTCCTTCAATAGTCAAGGAGGGTACCTTAAGGTACTTAAGGGTTCCCTTGTATCCTTAAAGGGGAAGCTAGTAGATGGTTTGTACATTTTGGAGGGTGAGGCAGTTACACAAGCCTCATGTGTGGCTTCAAAGAGCCATGATGAGTCCTTCCTTTGGCATAAAAGGTTAGGACATATCAGCAACCAAGGGTTGTAAGAGTTATGTAAGCAAGGATTACTTTCTTTAAAAAAATTTAAAGATCTTATTTTTTGTGAAAACTGTGTTCTAGGAAAATCACAAAGATTACGCTTTAACACAGCAAGTAGCATGGCTGAAAGTATCCTTGAATACATACACTCTGATTTGTGGGGCTCTCCAAATGTGCCAAACTCTCTTTCTGGCTCTCATTATTTTCTGTCCATGGTTGACTCTTATTCAAGAAGGGTGTGGACCATGTTCCTTAAGCAAAAGGATCAAGCCTTTGAAAGCTTTAAGGAATGGAAAAATCTGGTTGAAAACAAGCCTGGGAAGAGGGTTAAGGTATTAAGAACTGATAATGGCCTGGAATTCTGTAGTAATCAATTTAATGATTATTGCAAATGTAATGGGATTACAAGGCACAAAACATGTGCTAACACACCACAACAAAATGGTGTGGCTGAGAGGATGAATAGGTCAATATTGAATAAGGTCAGATGTATGTTGGCTGAATCTGGCCTAAATAAATCTTTTTGGGCAGAAGCTGTTTCTACAGCCTGTTATGTAATTAACAGGTCACCAGCTGCTGCCCTACATTTTAAAACCCCTATAGAGCTGTGGTCAAATAAACCTCCCAGCCTAAATCACTTAAAGCCTTTTGGTTGTCTTGCTTATGTGCACTCTAAGCAAGATAAACTGAGTCCTTGGGCCCTTAAAGCAATCTTTATAGGATACCCTATGGGTGTAAAAGGCTACAAAGTTT